GCACAGATGTAGGTCAAAATGGTCTTAGTCTAAAATAATGCTTAACTTTAGCCTTGGGGTTTATTGGGGTTTTATTAGGGTTGGGGTTAGCTCCATGGAGACCAAGGGGGCCAAAAACAACAAAGTTAATACCTCCAACTACCTCTGGAAATGATCTTAGTTGTGCTGGTGAACTTTAAACACTGAAATACTGCACTGTTCAATGGGCAATATTTTTCAACTAATAAAATAATGTGTTTATCTGTCCCAAAGCTGACTGACACTACCATTTGTCTGACTGACACTACTGATGGCTCAACCCAACATTCTGCAAGGAGGCTTCAATGGAAGACTAGTCCTTCCACTGTGACATACAGACCAACAGAAAGACCATGCCTACAGTATCTCTGGAAAACTAACCGCCCACCAAAAAGTTGATTTGGTAAAACCATGTCATCAAAAGAGATGACTACGGTAAATGCATCTAATGTTTACTAGCCTCTTCCATCTCCCCCTCTCTCGGCCAGACCCTTTCCGTGCCATTTGAGAAATTGCCCCTGTGGCCAGAGATCGGCTCAGAGGAATCAGATTGATTTAACAAGCTGCCGCTTAATGTGATCATGTATCAGTCGGAGCGACACGTTTAGCGCCGTAAATCTTAGCCATAGCAGCCTGCTTCATTTTTTAAAGCGTTGATCTTGCATCTCCCTCCTCTCTCATCCTCCCTCCATCTTTTCCCTCCCCATCGATGACTTCCTTCTTCCCCCTTTCTTTTCATTCCTTCATTAGAGCTTACCCCTTTCCCCTCCCCTATTAGCTCAGCTGTAGCTAAGTGTCGCTTTCGTAAAGGCACTCCAAGGGAGCAGCAGATACTACTGTTCGGTTTAATTAAAGACATTAAAGGGCTAGAGAGACATGGAGCTCCAGGGACGAAGTGTTCTCACACCTCCTGAAATATTCCTAATTTCTTCCCCTCCCTCTCTCATTCTATCTTCCATTCTCTCCATTTCTCTCCCACTCTTTTCTCCTCCTCTATCTGTTTCTCTCTCTGTGTCTCCGCCACCTTCTCCCTGGTGTCCTCCGACTCGTGAATATCCTCATTAGTTTAGTACTGTGGACTTTTTTTTACAGTTAATTGGTGTTTTCCCTGCTCGTTTATTTCCAATACGCTTGTTGCCGGATTTATGAAACTGTGTGGGTTTGAGTTTCAGGCACAAGGGTGGTAGCTGTGTGTTTGGAATATATACTGAGACCCTTTTGGGTGTGTGTTTACAGCTTCTGTGAGTTGGCATTTGTCTCACCTAAACTGTATAAAGTGTAGGCTTTTGTCCTTATGCTGAGAGAGCCTCTCCTAGAAGGCGTTGTTGCATCTGGTCCGTCTTGTTTCTCCATATTTTGCCATTTTATACATAATAATTGTGCATCTGTTCTGTTCCCTGTACGGCGTCACTGGCTCCTGTTTGTGTGTCCGCTCATCCACTCCTCATCCACAATTCACAGCTCACACACAAACACAACCGCAGGCAGGCGCTTTCTGATCGTCTCACATCCGCTCAACACTCCTCCATAAATAGAAAACCAGCTCCCCAGGGGGAGAAAACAATATTTGGTGGACAGATTAAAGGGGGGAGAGCTCATTGAGCGAGGGGCTGGCTGGCTAGATGGGTGAGTCTGGCGAGATTGCACGGCCGGTTTCATTTCTTCACATTCTCTCCCAGTGTGAGAGAGCCTGTGGGTTTTACATCCCTTGTGCTTGACTCATGTCCGCTGCTTGGCCCCTCTGCCATGTGAAATAGTAGGCCTTTTACTCCCATCACATAAAGACTTAGCAAAAACAATTACTGAGAATGGATTGAGACAAGAATGCTAATTTACTGTAAGCAGCAGCGCAGATGCAGAGCAAGTGTATCACATAATTGGCAGTTCAACAGACTTCACTCAATCACGTAAAATACTTCAATCAATTACAGAGAGATAAATGATATAGCCTACTGGGAGGATGCTTTCTTTCTTTATTACAAGCAGCGGATTCAGAGAAAGTGTACCACATAATTGGTAGATCAACAGCAGTTTGCCCCTGTGGAAGACTAAGTCGGCACTCCTTCACAGCCTACAATAAAGCCACCTGTCATTGCTACTGTTTACTTTCATCCACCGAGTCTCAACTCAATTGTTACGACTCAGAAATAGCCTGCTATCTGTGGGAAGGTGAGGTAGGAGCCGTGGAATGATAACAAAGATGAATTGTTTTGCATTGTTAACCCAATGACCCCAGCATTCTGCAACACAGACCCCATAGGTGCAGTTAAATACAATGTTTTGATATTAAGATTCACAATAATAATCAACTGCTCTTGTGATGTTAACCTCACCACCCCTGATTACTCAAACACCAAGACGCTAGAGGGTTGATATAGCCAAATTGTTTTGAATAATAATCAACAGCTCTTGTGATGTTAACCTCACAACCCCAGATCACTCAAACACGCAGACATAACAGTGCAGATATAGCCCCATTTGTTTTGAGATTAGGATAGACTGCAGACTGATGGTTGTTATGTTTACTACCTGTGGACTGAGTTCAGAGAATGAAGCATGCCACCCACTGTGAGATACTGCTGTGTGAGTGATGGCCTTGCTGGCCTGTGTGTGTGTGTGTGTGTGTGTGTGTGTGTGTGTGTGTGTGTGTGTGTGTGTGTGTGTGTGTGTGTGTGTGTGTGTTTGAGCCTAAGCATATGTGTTCTTATGGGTGGCATAACTGGTCATTTCATTACAAGTTGTGATACCAGTATGTGTTGTATGCATGGGCAGCGTGTTAAACCATCTCTGATGAGCCTAATGACAGATAGGGTGCCGTTAAAGTGTCATGTCCAATTACTGCCACACTTACTCTCCCCTCCCTCTGACACCAGGGCCATCCATCAAAGTTAGTTATCTGCGACATAAAGCCTGGTCATGTGCGATGATCATCCCCCTACAACTGGCAAATTAGGGAAAGGGAAAGGGGATACCTAGTCAGTTGCACAACTGAATGAATTCAACCAAAATGAGTCTTCTGCATTTAACCCAACCCCTCTGATTTTAAATGTTTAATAGGTGTTCCAGGCTGATTTGATCCCAAGTTAAGTATCTGACTACAATTTTGTCAGCTCGAAACAGGTCTGCGATAAGTAAAATATAAATTCTCCCCTCGGTTCTGCTAAATGTGATTTATGTAAATCTTTTAGAATCATACTGTTATAACCTGTTGTTACTGGCTGTGTTTTATTCATTATTGAGAAAGAGTTGCAACTTTGACCTGCAAGCATTATAGCCCGGAGAGTGCTATAATGCTATCAGACATGAATTTCCATGGTCCATTAATATTGTTTGGCTGTAATTGATACACTCATTAAATTGAACACAAGGCTCATGAACAGTGCACTCATTGTGTTCCAGACACTTACCTCTCAGGCTGTACTATTGTGTAAAAGGGTTTCCCTCCTCTCCTGACTGGTGCTGGAAGCCCACCAAACCAGGGTCAGGTTGGGGTCGGGAGGAAATAGTAAGCGGCTCATATCCTGCGCTGAGGGCAGAAACAGGTTCTTGGGGGAAGTGGCAGCAGCTCCAGAGTGATCCCATTAGGCCTCAGTAAGCCTGTGTGGCAGTCACACCACACCTCTCAGGAACCAGAGCACATATGGGCCAAACTCTGTTTGGCTGGGGTGTCTGATAATATTCTGTGGCAATAAATGCACTGTAATCCATCATCACAATATATATTTTTATATCACAAGCCTATTTTGGCCCTCGCAGTAACTTATCTCACCCGCATGCATTCAAAAATAATATTGAATCCTCTTTGAATTGTGTAATGAAAACATATGATTTTCATTGAAAATAATTGGGAATGGCTGCATAAATATATCCAGACGGGTAGTTTTATACCAGGCACTTATAAGTGATGTCAAAAGCCATGGAGTTCACTTAAAATAACAAGACAGCCCTCTGCTGGTGACAAATAAAAATGTGAAATAGCCTATTAGCTCCATATTCTCATTACCACACTCCCGATAGCAGTACTCTATTTTCCCTCAGACTACAATTATCTGAGTCAAATAGATTTTCGCCTCCCTACTGTCTCATTTCCAGTCACCTCCAAGGTTCCCAGAATTAACGCTGCCTGTTGCTGTGGCTGCCCGGAAAAAGTGTTGCCATGGAAACACGGACAATGTAATACTCTCCCTTGAGTCTGGCGGCATTTTTTTCCTCTATAATCTATTTCCCAGGCGGTCTGTGAGTCTGTCTGCAGAGATCTGACTTGGTATCATGTTAACCAGGGCTTTAGGGCACACCTCACTAACCTGAGAGCAGACGTGCTCCAATTGGAGAAAAAATCTGGATTAAAAGCTATTATAAAGGCCAGAGAATGGTATCACGACTCACAACCCACCCAGAGCCATAGATTGATATGTACCCCAGAAGGCCTAAGTCTGAGTCATGGTGATATCATGGTGAATTGAAAAGAAGCTAACACTGGTGATCTTGATGCTCCACAGAAGATCAATTAAATCTGTGACGGTGCAGCATCGAAATCACTAGAGTGCTGGAGTTTCTTTTCAATTTAGCAGTTTTTAACCATACACCTGGTCATTCAATAGCCAATAGGTGTGTGCGTTATACTTTTTCAATAAGAGTCATGGTGAACAGAACAGACTTGTGAACTACAGGTTGAAAGATATATCCCATCAATACAATTTGAAATACCTTTTATTTCTTCCCTGATAACCTTGAAGAGAAACATAGCGAGCTGATCTTATAATCATTAAAGTGAAGAGTGTGAAATATTTTGTGATCATACATCAGGTGTAGCAATCCATCCTCCTGGAGAGCAGGCTTTTACTCCAGCCGTACTATATCACACTTGGTTCAGCCAATCAAGGTCCTGAGGAGCAACTGGTGAGTTATAGTAGGGCTGGAACAAAACCCTGCAGGAGGGTAGCTCATCAGGAGGAGGGTTGGCCATCCCTGCTCTACAGCTGGACTTAAATCTATTTGTGTTATGGACAGATATGCATACATTGTTAGATACATAAATCAAAGTCAGACAGCTTATGTTAATTCGGAAAAAAATAAGTCAGCATGTTATAGATCAAATAAAACGAAAGAGTGTGAACGCAGAAAACCCATGCTCATCTTTTTTGCGTAAACATCTTTACTGAACAGGATAGAACCAAGCGAAGCATATCCTTGCTCGATTATTCGTATTGTGTGATTATGAGAGTATTGCAATGCATATTGTGTTACTGCAGATATGAATTTGGTGAATTCTTCAATACCCCCTTCATTAGCCCCAATCAACAGCAGGGTTATTCACAATGCAATATGGAAATACTTCGTACACTAAGTTAAAAACCTGCAGTCTGTCACTATGTCTACTTGTTTCGAGACTTGTACTGTACACCAGAGTAGCCTTTGTAGCTAAAAATAGCCATATCAGTCCCCAGGGTTACCACTGCTAACCCAAGTTCTAGCTTTCACTGTATTCCTCATATCATTGCTCAACATTAGAGCGAGCTTGGATGAACACTTCGAAAAATGTCAGTTTAGGGAGGCCTCTAATTATTACATACATGAGACCAGCCCTATTGTCCGTACGAGCCTCAGTCACAACTAAAAACCTCCACGAACAATGTACACATCTATTTTCATCATACAATCCACATTACACAACAATCAAGGTATTTTTTCCCTCTCACATAAACAAGCCTCAAATTCATTGCGGTATGATTAAGGCATTAAGTGTGCTCTAGTGTAGGGGGCTGTGATCCACTCCTGATGTATCAGCGGCAGCCACAGTGGAAGTCTGCGTTGGGGTCCAGCAGGAGGTTCTTGCGTTCGCAGTGCAGGCAGTCCAGGTGGTACCAGGCGTCGCAGTCGTCACACTGGACCCACTGCACCGTGTCCTGCTGGGGCAGGCGGCAGCGAGGCGCGGCACACGACTCCACCCCCTGGGACACTCCCTCCACTTCGTCTTCTGAGGAGGACGAGGAGCTCGAAGAGGACGAGGAGGAAGATGAGGACGGAGGGGGAAGGGAGGGCCGCGGAGGAGGGTGCTTCCTTGGTCTGCCCCGCCGCTTGCTGGAGAGGGAGGGAGGAGAACGAGGTGTGTGAGTGTCACATTTGACTTTCAATGCATTCACTATATTTCACCAAAAATACATATTTGAGAATGTGAAGTGAGAACGGAGCATATTTATTTACAGAGAAGGAAAATGTACGACAAATACTAATACACTGCTCAAAAAAATAAAGGGAACACTTAAACAACACAATGTAACTCCAAGTCAATCACACTTCTGTGAAATCAAACTGTCCACTTAGGAAGCAACACTGATTGACAATACATTTCACATGCTGTTGTGCAAATGGCATAGACAACAGGTGGAAATTATAGGCAATTAGCAAGACACCCCCAATAAAGGACTGGTTTTGCATGTGGTGACCACAGACCACTTCTCAGTTCCTATGCTTCCTGGCTGATGTTTTGGTCACTTTTGAATGCTGGCGGTGCTTTCACTCTAGTGGTAGCATGAGACGGAGTCTACAACCCACACAAGTGGCTCAGGTAGTGCAGCTCATCCAGGATGGCACATCAATGCGAGCTGTGGCAAGAAGGTTTGCTGTGTCTGTCAGCGTAGTGTCCAGAGCATGGAGGCGCTACCAGGAGACAGGCCAGTACATCAGGAGACGTGGAGGAGGCCGTAGGAGGGCAACAACCCAGCAGCAGGACTGCTACCTCCGCCTTTGTGCAAGGAGGAGCAGGAGGAGCACTGCCAGAGCCCTGCAAAATGACCTCCAGCAGGCCACAAATGTGCATGTGTCTGCTCAAACGGTCAGAAACAGACTCCATGAGGGTGGTATGAGGGCCCGACGTCCACAGGTGGGGGTTGTGCTTACAGCCCAACACCGTGCAGGACGTTTGGCATTTGCCAGAGAACACCAAGATTGGCAAATTCGCCACTGGCGCCCTGTGCTCTTCACAGATGAGCACGTGACAGACGTGACAGAGTCTGGAGACACCGTGGAGAACGTTCTGCTGCCTGCAACATCCTCCAGCATGACCGGTTTTGCGGTGGGTCAGTCATGGTGTGGGGTGGCATTTCTTTGGGGGGCCGCACAGCCCTCCATGTGCTCGCCAGAGGTAGCCTGACTGCCATTAGGTACCGAGATGAGATCCTCAGACCCCTTGTGAGACCATATGCTGGTGCGGTTGGCCCTGGGTTCCTCCTAATGCAAGACAATGCTAGACCTCATGTGGCTGGAGTGTGTCAGCAGTTCCTGCAAGAGGAAGGCATTGATGCTATGGACTGGCCTGCCCGTTCCCCAGACCTGAATCCAATTGAGCACATCATGTCTCGCTCCATCCACCAATGCCACGTTGCACCACAGACTGTCCAGGAGTTGGCGGATGCTTTAGTCCAGGTCTGGGAGGAGATCCCTCAGGAGACCATCCGCCACCTCATCAGGAGCATGCCCAGGCGTTGTAGGGAGGTCATACAGGCACGTGGAGGCCACACACACTACTGAGCCTCATTTTGACTTGTTTTAAGGACATTACATCAAAGTTGGATCAGCCTGTAGTGTGGTTTTCCACTTTAATTTTGAGGGTGACTCCAAATCCAGACCTCCATGGGTTGATACATTTGATTTCCATTGATAATTTTTGTGTGATTTTGTTGTCAGCACATTCAACTATGTAAAGAAAAAAGTATTTAATAAGATTATTTCATTCATTCAGATCTAGGATGTGTTATTTTAGTGTTCCCTTAATTTTTTTGAGCAGTGTACATGATAGAGCACTGTAGTTTGGATGCTGTCACGAGGGCATTCTCACCCAGAGGTGATGTGAAATCTGCCAAACTGCCCTGCCCGCCCACTCTCCTCTTTGCAGATCATCAGGGACGGGGACGCCAGGGTGTAGCTCTCTCCTCCCACCACCATAGGGGAGTACACTGGGGAGCTGTGAGCCTGTCGCCTTCCCCGCCCAGAGGATGGCGGCGAAAACACCTTCTGCTGGCGAAACACAGAGACGTTCATATTTGGGCCAGTCCTTTGATTGTTTGGGTCGATCTCCCACCTCTGATTGATGTTGAAGGATACATGGTTGAGTTTGCCGTTAGCGACGATGGTGTGACAGTTTGCGATCGGTTTGGGCACAGGCACATGTTTCAGTTCGAACTGGCGTCGTACATCCTGGTTCGTTTTGGGTAAATGAGCGTGGAAACCCTCAGACTCAGACTTATAGAGGCGCCTTCTCTTCGTCCCTCTAGGTCCGTCCTTCACTTCTCGCTGGTTCCTGGCCTCGTCCGAGCTGTCATCCTCCAGAAGGACAGTGTGGGCTGACTTGCGCCTGCTCTTGGATGAGGGCGGGAGTGACTTGGATGAGGCCACATAGGTAGTGGCTGGAAAGGGAGGAGGGGTGGCGGGTGGGACCAAGGATGTAAGGGGCAGGGAGGTGGAGCTTGTGTCTGTGATATTGCCGTCACTCCTTTTAAATGTCCAAGGAGTCCCATTCATCTTGCTCAGGCTTCCGATGGAATTCAGAATGACAGTCGCCCTATTGATGGACAATGTGGAGAGATCCAAGTTGGCCACCACCTTGCGGTCCAGGCTCGTTCTGATCCGGTTCTTCAGGTCGGAGGAGAAGGTGCCGGCCTTGGGGATGGTGATGGCGTCGAAGTCCAACGGCCGCACGCTAACCTTCTGGAAGAGGAAGTAGAACTCTGGGCTCCCTCTCTCTGATTGGCCGCCGAAGGTGAGTGTGTCACCATCTGTGAGCTTCCATTGGACACCTGGCTGCAGACGGACCTCATTCACCCAGGTACCTGGCATGGGAAGGTGGAGGAGAAAGCGCAGATGAAAGTAAAATACATTTGAATGACACCTAAGGAAACTAAACATAAGTGTGTGTGTAGTTGTAGAATATGTTAAAAGAAATGTAACAAAATAAATATTAAGATAGAATGAGACATATCAGACTACATCACAGTTGTATGTCTCCGATGGTGATTCTTCTAAGAGCAATGTACTGTAATCATGTTGGATGGTGTGGAACTCACCATGGCTGCTCCGGTCGTTTATCTGCACCTTCCAGCCCCCCTCAGCCGCTCCCTCCGCCTCCCTCTCAGCATGCAGCTCAGCATGGATCCGGGACACAGACATCGAGTCCAGTGTGACATCACACAGCTCTTCCGCACGGCCCAGCCGGAACACTGAGTGGGTCAGCGCCGGCCGGAACGTGTACAGGTCCCGGGCCGAATCTGTAGAAGACGAGCCAATTCTCAGCAGCTGGAAACACGGCAGGACTCCGGACAGCATGGCCACGACTCACCGATGCCCACCACAGTCAGTGACAGCTACTTTCTTACATTGAGCTTAAATAGCACTTAAGTCAGTGAATGTGATAAAAAGCTGTCTGTAATGCTAGTAAAAGCTTGGTTCTTAGTATGTGGTGTTGAATGAATTTGAACAGAGTAAACATTAAAACTCGTTTTAACAGTAAAACGTAAAAAATATGTTGTATACAATCTCTAACCTGCACGGTTATTTGCTGAGTAATGTCACCTAAATATCAGTTGTAATACTAATGTGTACAGTTGACTAAGCTAACTAATTCATAAATTTACACTAAAAGGATGGGCGCTAGAACTGGCAGCTTGAGGTGGTTCAATCTGAAAAGACAGAAGAGGGAATGTTTGTAAGACAGCATGCCCATATGACTCATTCAGCATGTCTACACCAGAGATGGTTAACTAATTTATATTGCTCATATAATAAATTATGACTTTCATATTTGACACAAATGACAATCTATGGATTGATGGCAATTTAGCATCCTATTGCCTAGTGATGGGGAGGGAGGGTTGATACAGTAACTATTTTGGGCGATATTATATCGATACTTTGACTCCAAGTATCGATTTGTAAATCTACCTTTTGCTAGGTAGTGTTAGCTAGAGATAGTCGGCTGTACCTGTGCCAAAACTCTGGTACAGTATTTTTTTTATCCTATAGCTTGTTCTCCATCTTTTTAAAATGAGCCTATTTTCAGCACTTATTTCACCACTGATCAAAACTCATTTTCACATGCTCTCTGCAGCAGACACATAGTGAGCAATATGTTTGGAACATCAAATCGCAATACATATCGTATTGGCACCTAAGTATTGTGATACTGTATCGTGAGGTCCCTGGCAATTCCCAGCCCTACCATTGCCCTATCTCAGGGATGGGCATCTGGCGGCCCACGGCCCCCCTGTTGTAGGCCCGCAGATCAATTTCCAAAAATGAATAGAATTTCCAGAAATATATTTTAGGAACTCAATCGGGATCTCAACTTACTGTTGAGAGTTAGAGTACACAGGTGTCATTTCTAAATGTGGTTGTGCATCAGCAGTTTCTCTTATGTCAGTCACTCAATTAGCCCATGTCAGCTAAAATGTTTTAGATTGTTAAGTTAGTCTAGCCAGCTATCTAAACTTGTAGTAATCATGGTTGAATTATCAACCGGGGTGCCCCATTAATTGTGTTAGTTGCTCTGCACCCTACGGCAAAATGTGTACAATTACAGGAAATGTGATGTAACCTTGCAAATGTTTCTCTTCGCCCCATGGAAAATGAGTAGAATTGCATGGAAGTTATAAAATTGCAAAACCTTCTCTCCGACCCATGGCAAAAATGGTAGAATTGCAGGAAATTAACTCTAAAACGTTTGTCCACGGTCAAGAGCGGGCCGCTAAAATATTTTGCTCGCAAAAAGGCTACAGCCAGCCCTGACTGAACGTATGGGTGTGGGTATGAGCCACTGTGGCCCCTCATGAGTTCCGAGTTTGTGGCCCCCACCCCCATCAAAGTTGCCCATCCCTGCACTCTGCATCTCAGAAAATATGCATAAATTAACAATATGCATCAACAGACTTTTACATGTAGTTGAATAGTAGGTACTACCTTGCCGTTATGAGCATTCACCAATATGATGCACATTGTTCTAAAGAAAAACTAACCAAATTGCATGTAGTTAGTTAATAACTAACGTTACTGGATGCCTGACAGTGCTGCTAATTTGCTAGTGTAGCACAAGGCTCGTGCGGTGAAATGGCACAGGGACAAAGCAGTGGACAGACAACAAGTGAATCACTTGTTAGGTAGCTAAATTACAACGAATAGTTTTGCCAAGATGACTATGCAAACTAAACAAACTAAACTATCGTTACACCGATTAAGAGGTGCATAATATTAAGAATTCAAAATACACTACTCGGAAAAAGCATTTCACAATCAAGTCGTAGACAGCTGGATAGTTCCTGTAATCCACATTGAAAGTCATACCTCCACAAAAGTGGTTCGAATCTGGTGCACTTGAATTCTTATCCACTGCCTAACTATGATGCTAACGCTGCCGATTGTTTAAAACTGTCTATATACTTTAGTATTTTGATAACTTTGGACGTATGTCCAATTTAAACGTTGTTTGCTGAACAGAGGTTTTCGCGTTCTTTTCCCCAGGAAGTCCTTTGAAATTTGGCGCGCCAGCCAGGCTTCCTTGTGCGAGATTCCACGCCATTTCCGCCCGCCTCTGTGCTGTCACTCACAGCTATGGCATAGTTATAAATGAAAGGTACTGTAGCTACCTGGCCTGCTACTACATAGGAAACTCGTAGGTAGGTAGTTAGTTAGTTAGGTTAGTTAGTTAGTTAGTTAGTTAGTTAGTAGTTAGTTAGTTAGGTAGGTAGGTAGGTAGGTAGGTAGGTAGGTAGGTAGGTAGTTAGTTAGTTAGTTAGTTAATAGGCTACGATGTCTGTTGATTTAATCGTTTGCTGTAATTAAGACAGGAAATTATTCAAGAAAAATACGTTTATAAGGTTTTTACAGCGTTTCATACCGCGTGGCCTTCACCTTAGAACAGTGCACTGCAGCACCTGCAGTAGATACAGATTTTATTTTTGGTGTCCATTACTGAACGTTACAGGTTTGCCTATACAAAACAGTGCCATAGATTTTTCAACTAATTTGCAACTCTCTTTGTTCATGATGCTGGAAAACAGTTATTTTATAAATGTCCGTGTCCAGTTGCAGGTGGTTCTACAAAAAAAACTGTGAAAACTTAGCTCGCCATCTTAGCCGCTGCACATCTACAATTTCCCAGCATCTTTGCCAGAACTAGTCCTTTCTATGCGACACGGCCACATGAAGAAGTAGAAGACAGTGCGACTAAAGCAAAGTAGGCATATCTCACTCGATACAAAACATGGATATACTATAAACTCTTCCTGAGTTTTCTATGGTGTTTGTAGGACCACCTGCAACTGGATACAGGCATTTATAAGATAACTGTTTTCCTGAATCGAGAACGAAGAGAGTATCGCCAAATGCAGGTTATTTGAAAAATCGTTGGTGAAATTTTGTATAGGCAAACCTGTAAAGTCCACCAAAAATATTTTGTTATATTATATTATCTGGTGTACAATATGTAGCTACACCTGCAGTAGGCTATAGGTCTACATATTACAGGAGGAAACTCGATTCACTTCCAGAATTTGACTTTAGGACATTACTTTCCCAACCCTCCTACACTAAGAATGTTCCCTAGTGAGTTTACCTCAGCTCAATATTTTGTTCCAAAAATGACAATCATTATATTGGAAGAATATTATTGCACACATGGTACTGACACAAGAAACAATAATGTCATCCTTTTCCATCTCTGTCTCTTCAAAATCCTTTAATGGACATTGCTCATTCATTACAGAAAACAAATATTTGTAAAAATTCTGTGCATGATGCCAAAAGTATAACATTTTCTAAATTGTTAATTCTAGCATACAAGGGCATAGTTGTTCATACATGATAGTGAAGTATTATAAAAGTCAATAATAATATAGCTAGAGAGCCAACAGTATGAATTCTGGACTTAAACCTAACAGGCGAGTTTGGAAAGTAATTCATTTGAATGAAACAAAACAATAAAATGCAATAATAACAACCGACGTTAGCATGCATCATTTCATTTGCAGAAGCAGTTTTCCTTAATAAATCTGACATCTTTTCCCACCAAGGTACCTGAAATAAACCTGCCAGGTAGGTATAACATTCAGCTGAATTCAGCTATAGACTTTGGGCTTGTGAACTCAACCCTGAAGTAGGTAAACTGGACATATATTGCTGAATACTAAATACTACTGAGTCTTGTTTGTAATGAATGGTCATACTTTGTTGCCGAAATCACACATTCTTTACCTGTATATAGCATAAAGTCACTCCAAGACATACTCTCAGCCATGGGTGACCATTTGCTTGCATACCATGTTGGCTGACATCATTATTAAGAATATAATCATTGTTCTCTTCTAATGCAGGTCTACAAAAAACATGCCCTCCCATTCTAGCATTCTGACACGTTTTTCCCCTTATATTCTTAGTATTTTTTCAAGACAAACATTTCCTAAGTCATCACATCATAAGCATTTAATACCCATTCCAATGAACCTAAAAAAAGAAACTGGTAGATGTGAAAATTGCAGAGGTGATTTTGTAATGGCTTTTGCGGGTGACGTGTACATTATTCCAGTCTTAGCCATACTAATATTGACAATGAGAATACCTCCTTGACTGCATGAACAGACACCAAAAGGATAGGATCAGCAAAAGGATAGGATCTACAGTGCAATTTAAATATTACAGTATTCCTGCTGTTTCACAGGCAATCTACAGGTCAACATGCGGCAGTCGTTTTTGGGTACACTATAGCTGACAACAGTTATCTGCATAAGAAGAAAAAAGCGTAATATTAGTTAAAGTAGTCGTGATACTAAGAGTTCTTATGAAATGTTCAAGCATGTCTAGCGTTTTCCAAAAAACATTCTGAGGTGCTGATACTATCGTGTGATACTGTAGGTAGATGATATGTGATGCAAACGAGAGCAGAAGAGAAAGAGAGAGAAAAATAGGCATTTTACTGCTATTATGTCTCCTCAATCACTCAGTCTAAGGCATCTCCTATATTATGTGTATCAGTGTAACTACTGTGAACATAGTGAAAGGATAAATTACCCAACTCAGGGATATAAAATCGTGCATAACTTTGCAGTAAGAAACAGTATTGGCAATACACATGCAATATATCTAGGCTATATACAAGAGTGCTTGAAAGTGAGCTTTGGGTAATGTTTGTAAGGTAAGAATTGTAGATTTTTTTCTTTCTGTTTTTGTTTTTTTACAACATTTCAGTGCTAAAGCACAGATATTGCTCAAGATTCAATCAGAAATCAATCCCCCTTCAATTAGCTAAAATAGGAATGAGTTCAAATGTACCTCACCAGACCATGGATTCAGTAGCTTCTTACCTGACATGAAAGGGATAGCTTTAAAGATTAGGTGGCTTTTACATTGTCTTTAGTCAAAGTTGTCATTTCATCCTAATCCAATTCTAAATAATCAGTGCAAATTCAGCACCCATTGAACACAAATCTATACAATTGTAATACTCTACAAAACCAAGATAATAGCTGATAGAATATCAACAATCAAGTAGCTACATCATATATGATGAATTTACACATAAGATATTTTGCATTAAAAACAATTTAACCTTAATTTTCAACCAAAAAAAGGAATGTAGAATCATACTTGTATTTTGCAGGTATTATTATTTGCAATTAAATTCATTTAACTTTTTCTCATATTATATTTGTGCTTTTTCTTTCAGACATCAATCATGTCTGCCTTACTCCCTTGAATACCACTCACGGACATCCTAAATCGGTTACAACACGAGGTAGCGATATTGCTAGCAGACGCTGTCCCCAACAACAACTATGCCATATCCCAGAATGCCTCGGACCGTTACACCCCTTCATTACCTTTGTTTTGACCTTTGTACCATGATCATCTATACACACACCAATTATCGACATACAGAATGCCCTTGTTAATAATATGCAGAACCTGATCGGAGTAGAGTTGAAACCAGTGAGAATCCTTAGTGGAATGGTGTGTATTAATATGCTGTTACTGAAGCAAATGGACTGGTGATGGATGTCTTTGTAATGTATATTTGCAGCAAATGGACAGATAGACATCGCTCACTGATGTTATCTGAACGGTTCTGCGTTTTTCCTGTTCAGAATGAATAGATTGAATAGATCCGTGATATAGGCCTATTTGACAGTACAATTCTAATAGAACTTAGACAATACAATAATCTTGAAATTTCAACAGTTCAGCAATCACGAAGTTGGATAAGAATTATGTTCTGTTTTGCATTGTGACTTTGCCGCTTTATTGTCATCTAGTCATGCATCCTCACCTATCTGAAATACAAGGCGTTAGAAAAAATGCTGTACTGAATTGAGATGAAGTAGCTACTGTTATTCGTTTAGAGTTTCTGGGTGGGATGTGTAGTTCAAATAAATGAATCTGACAGTACATATTGTGTTAAAAGGAAATGCGCAAACATTCTCCCATAAAGACCGTGATGAATGCAGCAGCAAATGCATTGAATCTTAATAACTTGCTGGCTTTGTTGGTACTCCATTCTCAGTAAGCGATGTGTTTTCAGTCTGTCAGGAAAGTTGGCTTAATCGTTAGCATTTATCAATTCAGCACTCAGTTCATTTTAGGCCGTGGAGTCAGGCAAAATAGTAATGAAAAAGGGAACGTGACATCATGCAGGTCATTCATTCTCAATAGGTCTGCCTTATCACCTTATTCTTCCACTATCACTCTTGAGTCTGTCTTTATTAAAGGGCAACGATCCAAACGTTCAGGTCCCGTCCAAAGAGATCATTGTCATGTGCGATCCATCAGAGAAGTTCTAGAAGTCCCTGTTCCAAGGCTTGTTCTGCAGTGGCTGGGGTTGTAATGAGAAACATGCCCTTATGTGGATGGGTTCAGAATGGCCTGATGTGAAGTTGCCGTTGGATTAGTTCTGGGTCAAGATGAGGGATGTAGTAAACATTTACTTTACTGGATGATGTCATCAAAAGTGGCAGAGATTGGACACCTTGTTACATACCCAGGGACACTACTAGCTTTCTTGCATAGAATGGTGTTATTCAATCTACGAGGCTTGTGTCAGTTAGCAAGAATTATCTAAGAAGATCTTGGGGGTTTTAGCTCTCCAACTCTGTTATTCTATAGAGGCTATATGCTGAGACAAGCGCTTTCTCTGAGTTGGTGTTAAAGCCTTCTGCCGTGCCTGTACTTTCTGTTAATAGTGTCTCTCTGGATGTAATGAAATTGTAGCGGTGTAGGCCTATGTCAGATACTCTGGGCTTATGGTTGTCAGAAGCGTTATTTACCAAGATTTTTTTTGAAAATAAAGTTGTCTTTATTGGTTTTGTTAATCTAGTATTACAATGTTATTCATATAATTAAGTTGGTCTATTACCCTATGTCATACTTTTTGCTGCCATGTCTGTGTCCCCACATACAGTATCGGTGGAAGGAACATTCAATGCTAATAAGAAAGTTGGATCAAATATATTGTAGCTCTGTCAGAAATGTTATCATTTTTGTCATTATAGGAATTCTGGGATTCATTTTTACAGGATTTTTTAAATATTATTACTCAAATCTGTGTGCGCTCATTTCTTTTGGACATTGTAATCTTAATGCATTTTCATCAATTATCATAATGCACTTTCCCTTAGTCCACCAAGTTATCTTAGATATTATCTCTGTGTCTGTGGTTCTTAAGCATGCATGCACTACGCAGTCATTAATACTATCAATTGCCTCTTGGCCCAGCTAAGGATAAATCCTGGCTTTAAGTCTAATTTAAAAACATGTGTAACAGGGGTCAGTGTGCTGCTAACAGTTTAGCGTTCTCCACTGTCCGACTGCCCCATACTGGGCTCGAACCGGTGATCCTCTGCTTCACAACACACGTGACCGCCCTCTTTGACAACATTCCAACGGGTTGAGCCACCCTAAAGGTACCAATTGGATGGCTCCATCCGCTGCATTTCAAGGTAGCTGTGGAGTGAGCTTACGGTATGTTCTTAACTCCATTACACATGCATTTCCCATATGCACAGAATTCAAGTGTTCTAATGAGCTAGGGTCTTGTATTTGTTCTTTAGGAAGTCTAGTGCATTTAGATTGGCAATTTTTACACCAAGTGTTTTTGTGTAGCTTTAGTTTAAAAAAGCAGTGATCAGGATTTGGGTAGTGTCTGTGTGAGGGGGGAGTAATTGAGGCAGAAGAGTCAGGGTGTCCGGTGGTTTGTGTCTGACTTTTAGGAATAAAGTGCAGGAACTCTCAGGTGGTGGTGCTCTCTGCAGTGGCATTGGGAACCAATGGGCTGCTTGCTTTATCAGCAGGCTCTGGAGTGCTGACACCCATCAGGTTTTCTTCAGGGGCATCGGCCTCAGAGCGGACCTGGGTCACAGGGCTGGGGCTCATGGCCGAGTCGGGGGTCCGGTTGGCGCTTTGGTCTCCCTCGGGGATGACGGTGGCGGCCACGCTGTCAGAGTTGTTGAGAAGCAGCTTGTGGGAGGTAAAGGTCTGGGGTATGTCCGTCTCGCATTCGCTGTCCAACGGGAGGGCAGAAGAGTTGAACTCTACCCCCGAGTCGCTCATCTCCAGGAAGTTCTTGTCCGAGGAGAGAGTGTGGTAGCGGCCTGCTTTGGATACCTCTAGACCCTGTGGAAGGAAAGTAACGTGGGGGAGGAGAGAGTAAAGAAAGGTTCAGCAAAAAAGGAACATGAATGATTCATTTCCTATGTTTCTGCAAATGTAGATTAGGTACTGCTTGGCATGGAGACTGCTTATTTTATGGAAACATTGCCCCAGTATTTTTGTTTATGTCTGTCTTTATTTAAAACATTTGCAATTATAATGGTGAAATCTGTTTTCCTCGTGCAACTTAACATGTTCACCGGTAGGCCACTTCCCACCCTATAATGTTTCCCTGAGCCCTGCTTACCTTGATAGTGACCTCAGTGCTTTCTGTAGCATTGCTGTTGTCCCACGTAGACGCCAAAGTGGACTCCTCAGCGAACCGTGTATAGGCCTCTTGAACAACCTACCACCAACAACAACACAAGAGGGTCGTATTTTAGCAGGAACCCACGGCAAGCACATTACAGTAGCAATCACAAGTTCACTTCATCATGTATACTGCGCGTCATAAAAAATACATACAGGTAAATAGGAGTTGGCGCAAAAAAAGCACATGTACTGCACATGAAGCTCTTATATAGATGTATAAGTTCGTAAGGTGTGTATATATAGTGACAAGTTGAGAGACTGGAGTTGTTGGCGTGAAAAGAACACCCTGGAAGTTTAAAGGACCAGGCTTCAGGGAGCCATCGTTCTTGCGGAACAGGGTATCGCATTCTAGTGTGTATGTCACGAGAGAGAGATGAGGTAGATCAATCAATTTTTATGTCGGAACGCTAAGGAAACTGCCTTTGCAGTCCCCACAGCAATCAGACAAGCTGTCCAGGTTTGTCGCCTAGTCTCCAGAAATCCATAATGAAGTGGGACATGAAGCCTCGCTACATCTTAATAGTGTCGTCTAAACATCCAGAGCAAACACCTTACAGGGGGATTAGAACAGTAGAGGCCCCTCACATCATGTCACAATATATACATGTAAATTATCTACGGTACACCACTTTCAAACACAAAAATGTATAGCATCAGGTGTACAAAAATTACACAGACACACACATAGACACAGACAAATACAAATACAAACAAAGAGAAATGGCACACCTTTGACACATATTTCTGTTGGGCTAGTAGCTGATTAAGCAATAGAGTTCCCCTCAATTTTTGGTAATCAAGAATACAATCTTACTTGGATGTACAGTGTCGCATACTTTGAATAGTTACTACAGTACTTGAATTGGCCCGGCTTCCCAAACCCAGATTAAGCCTGTAACTGGACTAAAAAGCATCCTCAACAGAGATTCTCCATTGAGCATGTGTTTTAGACCAGGAGTAATCTGTGTCCAGAGAACCCACCCAGTGTGTACTCTTAAACTACATGATGTCATAATGCACAACGCTCTTGATCGATGTACAGTAGTTATTTGATGCAGTAATGGATGTCTATGAACTCATCTCCACAGTGTTCCATTACTAGAGAACACTAATTGCTATAATACCATAGTGTATTTCTGTGATAATCTTAGTCCAGGTGGCAACTTAATCCAGTGTATTATACAGCCTAATCCCACATTATGTCTGTATACTCTTCATGTAGGCTACTGTAAGTGTGCTACTAACTAGGTGTACATATCCTGGTTCCTAATGTGCAATTCACAATGTACCACAGCATATAATCAAGAAAACAAGTGGTAGATCTAGTCCAGTATCACCAAGCCAATTGATATGTTAATCGCTACTGCCCCGGTCTTAGACAAACGCACAGTAGACACACACACACACCACACATCAGCACATACTCACACATACACATAAATACATGTTTACCTTGTAACTCCGCCCCCAACAATAATATATGTGCATATGTGCTTGAGAATAGCTGAATCGTATTGGACGGCTGCATCTGTATGCTTATTTGCACTGAGGCTATGACTGCAGTTATCATGAATTATCATGAATGAGTAACTGCAGTTATTTGTCAGCTTGGAGATTAGCGAAAGGAGGGAGGGGTGAGGAATGGATGGTACAGACAAATAATCACTGATGGTGGTATGAGGCCCACACAGCATAGTGACGCTATGACCATCCCCAGAGCGTTAGTACAAACACCAATACAGATTCATCCACTTAACACTACGGAATGAAACCAGAACACAGTTCTCTCACCAAGCAGAGGCTCCGTCGGAGGCTCCTTTAAGAGGGAGAAACGTAACCAAAGGCAAATCGTTAACTATATTTTCCCCAAACTTGTAATTAGGCTGACATCCATTGGGTGGACCAAATACATAAGGATTGAGATGAAGGTGATGGGTGGACAATGGCAACATTGTGGGCTGCAAATGTACAATATACTTAAAATGGCCACTGATGGATTCTGCAGTATGGAGTGCGTGATGATGTATGGGTGATCTCATTTTGTGACAATGGCAACATTGTGGGCTGCAGACAAAACACTTGAAATGACCACTATGATGGAATCTGCAATGTGGAGAGAGTGATGACTAATGATATATGGATGATCTCATTTTGTGTGATTCAAAGCATCACACATCCAGGAATCCGACATTGGGCAGACAGGTTTTGTTCCATGGTGAATTCCAGCGAATTAATTAAATTAAAGGACCTTAAGTTTAATTAAAGATATTTATCTGAGGCTTATAGGTCAAGACTAAAGACGAACACTGAGGAAAAGAGAGCAGGACAGACAAAGGTACACACAAACGCTCACAAATACAGTTAGATACTGACATCTTTCTTTGACCATACTTAACATTTTACAAAATTACATTTTGGTTTCCTTACCTTGTAAGCAGTCTATCACAAGGTATGACAGCAACCCATGCTTTGGTTTTGTTGAACTTCTTTGCATTTGTGGCACAAATCCAATGCAAGTCAATGGGAACAACATTAACATTGAGTTATAAAACCAATTTTAAGATACTTTAGGATGATTTGGACATTAAGCGCGAAAATACTAATGTTGTTCCCATTGACTTGCATTGGATTTGTGCCACTAATGCTAAAAGGTTAGGAGTTGAAACAGTGGCCAGGTACACAAAACCAAAGCATGGATTGCTGTCATACCTTGTACATAGACTGCTTACAGGGTAAGGAATCCAATACGTCATTTTGTCAAATGTCTCACTATCCGTTTAAGAGGGGTTACCATCACCATTATTTCTCTAACAATCACTTTACAATCTGCGACCTGTGTAATAGGAATATAGCATTATCATTTTGGAATCATATTCAGCCATTGTCGCAGTGTGCTATGGTCTACCAGTATATTAGGCCTACAATCATAGGAACATGGTTCCAAAATATTCATTAATAACCAAAACATGAAAACTGTGCTATTGAAGAGACAATAGCCGATAATTGTTAGTAAATTAAGTGTTTTGACATGAGAATAGCATACAGATAATATAAAGCAAATGCTGTTTAACTATAGTAAAAGGGTTGGATCATGGTGTCTTAACGTTTTCACCCCTGTTGAGGAAGCGATACGGTGAGTTACCTTGACGAATGCGTCTCCATCCCCCTTGCCCGCATGCTGGGCAATGAAGGCAATTTGCCTCGCCTTCTCCGCCCGACGGCGCACGTTGATCAGGCAGGAGAGCAGGCACACCAGCAAGAGGAGGACCAGGAGGCCCAGCAAGGAGAGGATTGCAACATACAGCGTGGGTAACTTATAGGCTGAAAGAGAGAGGGAAGAAGAGAGAGAGGAAGGAGAAAGGAAAGACAAGAAAAGAGGAGAGGAGAGGTGGATGACCTGAGGCGATTGTGGAGAGTTCCAACATGAAAACAATAGAGTGAAATATAAAAGAAGAAGGGAAAGAGCATTAAAAGAGGTGATACATGGATCCATATGTTAAAGCCCTAATCTCCTCCCTGACCAACGGTTTACCTTCCACCTCCAGGAAGATGTTGGTCACAGGGAACCCCAACAGGTCTGTCACTCTGAAGAGCCCTATGTCACTGACCCGGACCCTCTCCAGAATGCACATGGAGCCTTCTACAGTCAGCCTGCCGTCCAGTGATGGGTCCACCGGCACCACTAGCTCTCCTTGCTCCAGTATGACCCGGTCCTTCCGGTCCCAGTCTGGAGTGTACAGGAGGTTGACTTTGGTGTGGTCCACAAACAGGTTGATCTTCAAAGTACTGCCATATGATAGGTGGACGAAGTTCTGGTGCTCTTTGGAACAAAGGGGAAAGATAAAAAGGACAAAGTTGTCAAACTATTCTGCTTGCTCTTACCTTGGCCTGTGTCTTTCAAGCTTTGTCTACCATATTTTGCCCACACCCCTAACCACAATTTAAAAACCCCTAGACCATGTATTATCTCCCTTCCATCTCTGACATTGACCACTCCCTCTCTGACATTGACCACTCCCTCTCGGACATTGACCGCTCCCTCTCGGACTTTGGTCTTCCTCATCTCACCTTTCACGTTCAGGCATGACCTCCTCCTGACTTTCCCGTCGCGATCCAGTACGGTGAAGCTTCCCTCGTCTGTCCCCCGCACCATGCTTAGAGTCACCCTTTTCTCGGACACACTCAGACGACCCTTGTACTCCTCCGCGGGGATGGAGGTCTGGTTGAGCAGCACTACCGCCGGTGGCTCTGTGGTCTGATTGGCCTGGACTTGAATGGGCCTGAACTCCAGGGTGATAGGGCCCAAGATGTCACTGAGTGGGATGTGGTATGTCTCACCGTATTTGACCACCTGCTCCAGCGCACAATCTGCCAAGGAGCACAGTACTATCACTCTGGGCTCAGGGGGAGTATTTTATTCCTATACAGTTGCACTTGCATCAGAACAGTGATCGTAATCGATTGCAGACCAAATGCAACTACCTCAACAATGCAAGAAACTCTCATTTAGATCGATATCTGCCTCTAAGGGTTACATTGTTTGCGCAGAGTTAGGATACAATCTTAGATAGTGAATGTATTAGATAAACAACGATATGAACAAGCATACAAACAGGTCGATTACAACGTTAGAAGAAAAGTTTGAAGAATTAAAAGAGCTGAAGATGATTTAACTGTACAGTAATTAGAAGAACAGTACCCCTGACGAGGAGGATGATGTGTTTGACATCGGCAGGCGCCTCGGTGTTCTTGATCATGTACATGCCCTCGTCCTCCTCCCCCACATCCTCCAGGATGAGGTGCTTGAGGGAGTTAAGCTGGGCCCGGTGGCTCACCACCCGCCCGTCCCTCATCAGGACCACCTCGGCGGTGGGGTTGGAGGCGGGCTTGAAGAGAACCTCAGTGCTGTCTAGGGATGGGAGAGGGATGTGCACATCCTCGCCAAAAAAAGCAATCTTGTGTTCTTCTTTGACTGTAAAAGAGGTAGAGATTGATAAGGGTCCTCAGAGTTTAAGGAATAATATGTCAGAATCAGGGAAAAGTTACTGATGGTATTCATACTCAATCTTCAGGTTTTGACAGTCACAGACAAACAAACGGTAGATCATGCATGACTTTACCTTTCAGGGATGCAGTCAGAACTGTAGAGTAAAATAAAGGTTTAGTTTAGCATTACAAAGATCCTTCAAGAAGTTAGACATTCTTTGTTCTGCTGGAAGAGAAACCACAGAACTTGGCAAATATCACAAAGCGTTTGCAATGTAAATGCCCTACATTCTCACTGCCAAAAATAGAACTGCTGTCAACAATATCAAACCCTCCATAAATTAATGAAGGGAAAAACGAAAAAAGGAACAGATAATAAATGACTCTACCCATTTTGTACTCATGTGAATAAAATCTGATATAATCATTTGACTGTGTCAAACTTTGCTTTATGCTTGTTCAACCTCTCAACCTAAATCCCTGGTAACTAATTCTCCAATATGCTTACCACTGCAGAACACGGCAACAGCAATTCTTTTCATCTTGATTGAATCTCTGAAAACACAAAATAAAACATTGTTTTTTTTTCCAGCAGGATATTGCTTATCTAAATATGGATTTAATTATTGTACATGCATGCAGAGTATACAAATACCTTTCAAACTAAATTGTAGAGATATGAAGATTAACTAAACATAATAGGGTATAGTTTAAATCTGGACATTCAGAGCTCATATTCAATAATCTACTCCCAGTAAATTCTACTGTAACTGGAGGTAAAAAGCCATTTAAGACAAGGTGTCTGCAGTGGTATTGAGATCATTTCCTGAGGTTAACAGGAGTGGCTTGTAGTTCCCCATGGCATTAGTCAGCTCTTTTGTATGATGATGAGGCTGACCACCGTTAGACTAGAGTGGACATGAGCCTAGGCTTAGACCACCATTCTGCCTACAGTGACAGGACATGGGAAGGGGAAGGAGTTAAGTGGCTCCAAGGATCCTAGTGTACAACCATGAAAGAACACAGAGTGCTGTTTAATAAGCATTGTCTCTTTCAGCGGCATAAATGAAGAAATTACAGATTACAGAACTGGCTCTTCCCTATTTGTATCTCATATTCAGGACACAGGCTGAAAATCAAAGTGTTGCCAGAGTTTTGGAGGCAATTGATTTCCAATGGGTTGTATTTAGTATCCGAGAAGAAGGACGCTATTCTATGTTCGAGTAAAGCTTGCCTTGAGCCTGTCGCATGCAATAACAATTGACATCAATCAGTCTATTTGAGTCTATTTGACAAATGCAGAGTTAAAGGTGTTCACCCCAATTTCTCGTACATATCTAATCACTTTGACGTCCCCTTGTCGCTTTTCCTCCACTACACACTGTCGCGCGCGCAGCATCCTCTTTCTTGTTCTATCTCTCAGTAAAACAGTGTGCAGTCTATACACCCGTGGTGTGACAAGGGTGTGTCACGCTCCGCTGCATGGGCTGTCCCAACAAGATAATACACAGCTGTGGTAATGATGATGACTATACTGCTCTGAGACTATAAGACATAGAGACTCCTCCTAACTCGAGTTACGATTTCTGTCACCCGTGTGGATTTTGGCAAAGCTCGCGCTCTCTTATTTTGCGCGCATCACACAGTACACACTCACAAACCCTCCCTCACTCGCCCCCCGACCCCCCGTCCCCGTCCCCCTTCGCACAAGAGCAACTGCCATTGAAAAACCTGTATTCTGTCTTCAGTACAGTGAGTATGTGACCATACCAAACACTTACTCAGCGACTATGCTAAATTTACCATCTGTCGTTCCCATTAATTACGTAGCCTAACGATTGGGTGTCCTGGCAGGGTGTCTACACATTAACGCATTGGGCAGGACATCAAACAAATAATGAAGAATCACTAATTTCACATTCAACTACCATTCGTTCATCAATTACATAAACGATTGAGTGGGGAGAAAACGAAACCTCCTCATATTGTTTGTTCTAGTGTTCATTGTAAGGATATAGCCTACAATCTGAAGATGCAGAGAGGCCGTTCAACCTTTCGAAATAGCATAAGTAGCCTATGAAATGCTGCCTGGTGCCCAACATTAGTCATTTTCTATTATTAGCCTTTGTTTATGGGAAGTGCTATACTCTACATGTAAAATAATCATGATCTTTTTATGTTTTCTAGGTGAAGATTAAGGTAATTACTGTCATCCTACCCGATTCTGCTGCGTTATTACCAGTAACACGCCCTAAATCACGCATATTAGATATATCTGTTAGACATGCATAAAAAAACAACCAAATTACCAGCCAGCAAACGAAAAAACGTCAAAATTTAACCCATACATTTCCCGGTTAAATAAAAAACCAGTAGAACTGAGCAGATATCAATGAATCATAATTCGATGCTGGTAAATACCTTTCAGACAGGCTTGGATCCGAAAACAGCAAAGCGGATGGGCGGGGTACAAGAAGTAGGGTTTTCTGCCAAAAAAATTGTTTTTTTCTTCTTCTTAATATCTTCCCCCTCTCCCTCACCCCCAACCCGTCAAAGAAAGGGACTTCAATGGTGTTACGAATCGGGATAATCTGGACAGCTTCGGTAGTTGTCGGCTTGTGGTCTATTAATGATCGGTGGAGCTCGTGCAATTTCGTTAGAATCCGGACTCCGGAGGTTCGGGTCTGGAAAGCTACCACTGGTATTCATGTCGGATTATGACTACTCGTTTCTGATTGGTTTGAAGGGCGTGCATTATTTCCCTTTATAAACTGGGTGGTTCGAGCCCTGAATGCTGATTGGCTGACATATCAGACCTTATACCACGGGTATGACAAAACATTTATTTTAACTGCTCTAATTACGTTTTGCTAACCAGTTTATAATAGCAATAAGGCACCTCGAGGGTTTGTGGTATATGGCCAATATACCACGGCTAAGGCCTGTATCCAGGCACTCTGCGTTGTGTCTCACTTAAGAACAGCCCACATGCTGACTAGACCCGGCGCGCGCGTGCACTCACGCATTATCATTTTGTCCACCTACACAAGACGCGATCAGGACATGCAGGTTGAAATATCAAAACGAACTCTGAACCAACTATATTTATTTGGGGACAGGTCGAAAAGCATGAAACATTTATGGCAATTTAGCTAGCTAGCTTACTGTTGCTAGCTAATTTGTCCTGGGATATAAACATTGGGTTGTTATTTTACCTGAAAGGCACAAGGTCCTCTATTCCGACAATGAACCCACAGATAAAACGGTAAAAGTATGTTTTCTAGTAATCTCCTCCTTAAGGCTTCTTCTTCTTCTTTGGACTTTATATGGCGGTTGGCAACCATCTTTAAAGTGCATTACCTCAGTTCATCTTTCAATCACCCACGTGGGTATATTTTATTTGTCTGTCACTGTTTATGCCCTTTTGGACCCCATCATCACAGACCCAGGTGGAGGAATCTACATATTATAATCTAGTGTGTTAGACAAGGTAGCAATATTTGTTTTCAAGTGCTTATTCATATTTATACTCTTTTATAATCTTGTTTTACAAATCTAACAGTTTATTGATTTGATATTTGTTTCTATTTAACTGATTTTCAAAATGTTAAATGCAATGGTGTTACAGTAAATGTATTATTGCTTCATTATACCACAATATTATTTTCCTTCCAATAATAACACCAGAGAGGTTTTCTAAAAAAGACTTTTTATTTCTCCACAGAGGCACCTTGCTTTTCACTTTCTCAGAGATACATTTTTTAATAATCAGAATAGAAAAAATAAGAAAAAAAAACATATACAAGAGAGTTGCAGGTTCAGCCCTTCATAGTGCAGTACAGATGTCAACAATACCTGACACTATAGCCGGGTTTGGACATATAGATGACCTGGCTTGGACCTAAAATAACAATGGCATCTATTTGAATAGTGGTTCAAAATGTAAACAAATGTACACACACATTTGCAGAGGTTCCTTCAGATAATTTGTTTCAAAACCTTGCTATGGTCAAATGGAATGAAATTCCTGGACCTCTCCCCATTATGTTCCAGTTCCACTATCATTGAGATTGATAATACTGGTAGAACCCAAAACATTGCCATGATATTGTTGTTTGTTATAAAGCTCCATTGGCACTATCAAACTAAATCCATTAATTCATTTCATCCCACCTTTGTCTGTGTCATCCTGTATTAGCGGACGTTGGTTGGCGTCCGGGTGAGGGTGGCTCCAGGTGGCACAGACACATTCATTAAAGTCAGGCAAGAATCAAGCCCCCGTTCAGAAGTTAATTAATCTGATCCCAGATCTGTTTGCCAATGACATGGCAATGACCATAGAAGTTGGAGGCAAGACAGCACCAACAGATCTGGGACCAGGCTATAAGATAACCATAGTCTCAAAATCAGAACTCCATCTGTGGGGTGAGAGGTCCTGTAGTGCTTACATGGTCACATTCACATTTATTTGTGACATGATTAAATGCAAAATGGCAACAACAAAAATAACACTGAAAATAACAGGAACAATCTTTTCATAGGCACAGGCTTCTACTTTAACTTTCTTTTAACAATTTTGTTTCTTAACTTACTCATTTATTAATGGTGTCACAGTAAATGGAATGCAGACTGTGTCTGGTTTATTTGTTCATAATGCTGCTTGTCACTCCTCTCCTCCTCCCTTACTTACATTCATTCTCCCTTGTCCAGTCACATTCTTCATTCATTCTGTTCTCGTTGAGCCATTTCAGCCATTTTCAGATTTGATCCTCCATTTCTGGGCGATTGGTCTCCTCCTCTCCGGTTTTCTTTTGGCACTTTTCTTGTTTTCCTCTTTTTGTGGTATTTTGTTATTTTCTTCCACCCCGCTCGTGTTGCTTCACTCTGTCTTTAAGCATCCTCCTCAGCCTCCTCCTCAAACTCACCCTCCTCCTCAGCGGTGGCGTCCTGGTACTGCTGGTACTCAGACACCAGGTCGTTCATGTTGCTCTCTGCCTCAGTGAACTCCATCTCGTCCATGCCCTCTCCGGTGTACCAATGGAGGAAGGCCTTGCGGCGGAACATGGCGGTGAACTGCTCAGAGATACGCTTGAACAGCTCCTGGATGGCCGTGCTGTTGCCGATGAAGGTGACTGCCATTTTGAGGCCTCTTGGAGGAATGTCGCAGACGGCGGTCTTGACGTTGTTGGGGATCCATTCAACGAAGTAGCTGCTGTTCTTGTTCTGGACGTTGAGCATCTGCTCGTCCACCTCCTTCATGGACATGCGGCCACGGAAGACAGCGGCAACAGTGAGGTAGCGACCGTGACGCGGGTCACATGCGGCCATCATGTTCTTGGCGTCGAACACTTGCTGGGTGAGCTCCGGCACGGTGAGGGCACGGTACTGCTGGCTCCCCCTGCTGGTGAGGGGGGCGAAGCCGGGGATGAAGAAGTGGAGACGGGGGAAAGGCACCATGTTGACAGCCAATTTACGGAGGTCGGCGTTGAGCTGTCCGGGGAAACGCAGGCAGGTGGTGACCCCGCTCATGGTGGCCGACACCAGGTGGTTTAGGTCTCCGTAAGTTGGCGTGGTGAGTTTGAGGGTACGGAAGCAGATGTCGTAGAGAGCCTCGTTGTCAATGCAGAAGGTCTCGTCTGTGTTCTCTACAAGTTGGTGAACCGAGAGCGTGGCGTTGTAAGGCTCCACCACAGTGTCCGACACTTTAGGGGAGGGCACCACGCTGAAGGTGTTCATGATGCGGTCGGGGTACTCTTCACGGATCTTGCTGATGAGCAGGGTGCCCATGCCCGAGCCAGTGCCCCCACCCAGGGAGTGGGTGAGCTGGAAGCCCTGAAGGCAGTCGCAGCTCTCAGCCTCTTTCCTCACCACATCCAGGACTGAGTCCACCAACTCTGCTCCCTCAGTGTAGTGGCCCTTTGCCCAGTTGTTTCCGGCACCGCTCTGACCTAGAAACATAGCAGGAAAGGAGGGACATGTGAAGGAGAAAAGGGGAAGTAAGAACACCTCAAACCCTATTTTACTTCAAAATGACAGGACTGTTTCATAATATGTATTTGTATCACTCCGTTTCATTTTCCTATGTGTGCTAACTAAAAGTGATATGTCCCTTACATTTCCAAGCAGTGCTAAACTCAAACCCCTCTCATTCCTTACCAAACACAAAGTTGTCTGGTCTGAAGATCTGTCCGAAGGGTCCGGATCTGACAGAATCCATGGTGCCGGGCTCCAGGTCCACTAGGACAGCTCTGGGTACATACTTGCCACCTCCATGAGAGACAAAGATAGAGAGACACACACCAGCTCAATACTGCAGGGAACAATAGGTTATATGATGTCAAGGGGAGTGGAACTCCTGTCTGTCCACCAGGGGGAGGACATAATATATCACGTCCTGTACACCTCCATTAGTCCACGAATTATGTGATCCTATTCAGTATCCCATGCCACATTGAGATTTTCACCCATTACGTTACATTATGGATAGAATTTAAATGAATCTCAATTTCAATAGAATAAATGCATACAGTGGGGAGAACAAGTATTTGATACACTGCCAATTTTGCAGGTTATCCTACTTACAAAGAATGTAGAGGTTTGTAATTTGTATCATAGGTACACTTCAACTGTGAGAGACGGAATCTAAAACAAAAATCCAGAAAATCACATTGTATGATTTGTAAGTAATTAATTTGCATTTTATTGCATGACATAAGTATTTGATACATCAGAAAAGCAGAACTTAATATTTGGTACAGAAACCTTTGTTTGCAATTACAGAGATCATACGTTTCCTGTAGGTCTTGACCAGGTTTGCACACACTGCAGCAGGGATTTTGGCCCACTCCTCCATACACACCTTCTCCAGATCCTTCAGGTTTCGGGGCTGTTGCTGGGCAATATGGACTTTCAGCTCTCTCCAAAGATTTTCTATTGGATTCAGATCTGGAGACTGGCTAGACCTTGAGATGCTTCTTACGGAGCCACTCCTTAGTTACCCTGGCTGTGTGTTTCGGGTCATTGTCATGCTGGAAGACCCAGCAACCACCCATCTTCAATGCTCTTACTCAGGGAAGGAGGTTGTTGGCCAAGATCTCGCGATACATGGCCCCATCCATCCTCCCCTCAATACGGTGCAGTCCTTCTGTCCCCTTTGCAGAAAAGCATCCCTAAAGAATGATGTTTCCACCTCCATGCTTCACGATTGGGATGGTGTTCTTGGGGTTGTACTCATCCTTCTTCTTCCTCCAAACACGCAGAGTGGAGTTTAGACAAAAAAGCTCTATTTTTGTCTCATCAGACCACATGACCTTCTCCCATTCCTCCTCTGGATCATCCAGATGGTCATTGGCAAACTTCAGACGGGCCTGGACATGCGCTGGCTTGAGCAGGGGGACCTTGCGTGCGCTGCAGGATTTTAATCCATGACGGCGTAGTGTGTTACTAATGGTTTTCTTTGAGACTGTGGTCCCAGCTCTCTTCAGGTCATTGACCAGGTCCTGCCGTGTAGTTCTGGCCTGATCCTTCACCTTCCTCATGATCATTGATGCCCCACGAGGTGAGATCTTGCATGGAGCCCCATACCGATGGTGATTGACCGTCATCTTGAACTTCTTCCATTTTCTAATAATTGCGCCAACAGTTGTTGCCTTCTCACCAAGCTGCTTGCCTATTGTCCTGTAGCCCATCCCAGCCTTGTGCAGGTCTACAATTTTATCCCTGATGTCCTTACACAGCTCTCTGGTCTTGGCCATTGTGGAGAGGTTGGAGTCTGTTTGATTGAGTGTGTGGACAGGTATCTTTTATACAGGTAACGAGTTCAAACAGGTGCAGTTAATACAGGTAATGAGTGGAGAACAGGAGGGCTTCTTAAAGAAAAACTAACAGGTCTGTGAGAGCCGGAATTCTTACTGGTTGGTAGGTGATCAAATACTTATGTCATGCAATAAAATGCAAATGTATTACTTAAAAATCATACAATGTGATTTTCTGGATTTTTGTTTTAGATCCCGTCTCTCACAGTTGAAGTGTACCTATGGTAAATTACAGACCTCTACATGCTTTGTAAGTAGGAAAACCTGCAAAATCGGCAGTGTGTCAAATACTTGTTCTCCCCACTGTATATGTATGTTTACATATACAGTACCAGTCAAAAGTGTGGACACACCTACTCATTCAATTGCTGCAAAGAAACCACTACTAAAGGACACCAATAAGAAGAAGAGACCTGCTTGGGCCAAGAGAATGCCAAGAGTGTGCAAAGCTGTCATCAAGGCAAAGAGTGGCTATTTGAAGAATCTCAAATATAAAATATATTTTGATTTGTTTAACACTTTGTTGGTTACATGACCCATATGTGTTATTTCATAGTTTTGATGTCTTCACTATTATTCTACAATGTAGAAAAGAGTTAAAAAAAAAAAAAAAAAAAAATCCCTTCAATGAGTAGGTCTGTCCACATTTTTGAGTGGTAGTGTATGTACATGTATGTGTAAGCACCAAATACATTCTTCTGTTGAAAGGTTATTTGTAACAGTAGAGGGTGTAGATATGCTACCTGAAGCCTCGTTGTAGTAGACACTGATCCTGTCCAGCTGCAGGTCGCTGTCTCCATGGTAGGTGCCTGTGGGGTCGATGCCATGTTCATCGCTGATCACCTCCCAGAACTAAAGAGGTCAGATCAATAAAAGTCAACAGAGAGGCTTGAATTGACACAGGCCAGCACTGCTAAAGTACAGGTTGTGCTGAGTGGCTGAACTACCAACATCATGTAATAGCCCATTCCCTTGTGTGGTGGTGTGAGGTCAAGTGGTTGGGAAGCTGAGCTAGTAGTGTATATTTGGTTGTTGTTACTATATTATTATATTAGAAACGTAATGAAAAAATGACTATTGCTGTAAAGATGAACATGGCCATATACCATATATGGTATCCTCTACAACACATCACTTACAAAATACCATGCAAGACAAACTATTATGTTAAGTTGAACCGTATACCATATGGATATTCAATACATTACATCATTCCAAAACTATTCAAAATGTCTCCCAGTGGCATTGTCTATCCTGGCACAGATGTGTGCTCTTGACTTCCCAGCTATCACATGGGTGAAAAATTGCTGTCGAATTCTCTCAGGGAGTGTAGAAAGCAAACGTGGGCATTAGCTCAGAAACTACCCTCAGTTCCATCCCTCCTGAGGCAAATTCAAGAGATAATTACCTTCGCAGTCACAAGACATTGAGCAGTACGTTCAAAATCGCATTTGCAAGCCTGGCCTCTAGCCCTAAATACCTGTTTCTCTTCCTGAATTAGTGCTTTCTAGCTAGGCTACAAAGAGTCCCCCTTGTGTAATGTACAGTATGATCACAGTTGGTGTGTGCTCTGCTGTATTCATTAGTTCAGCTTCACAGTCACACTGCAAAGCCATAGTCGGTCGGCAGGTAGTCTAGTGGTTAAGAGTGTTGGGCCAGTAACCGAAAGTTCACTGGTTCGAATTCCCGAGCTGACTAGGTGAAAAATCTGTCAATGTGCCCTTGAGCAAGGCACTTAACCCTAATTGCTCATGTAAGTCGCTCTGGATAAGAGGGTTTGCTAAATTACTTTAATGTATTTGGTATTTTGAAGTCTGTATAGTAGGCCTATGTGTGGATGTGAGTGTGTGTGGTTGTGTCACTACCACTGGTGTCACTTTTCTGACATGGGAGGCTGCAGCATTAACAAGGGATTGGAGTAATCTGGATAAACATCTAGCCTTGGAGAGGAAGCCAAGATCAAGACATGGCGTAAAGAGCTGCTTAAAACAACTGTACGTATACTATAATAATAATATGCCATTTAGCAGACGCTTTTATCCAAAGCGACTTACAGTCATGCGTGGTCCCGGGGATCGAACCCACTACCTTGGCGTTACAAGCGCCGTGCTCTACCAGCTGAGCTACAGAGGACCACTACTATACTAGAATAAGACCGCCCATGAAGATTCATTCTAAATGGCTAAACAAGAGCGCGAGAGACGCAATACTCTGTAGGCTAACACATAAGCAGGTAAAGTATAACCATCCCAGAGGAATTAGACTACTGGGACAGATTGATGGGGTGAGACGTTAAGGCGAAACTTCGTTAAGGAAGTGGCACAGACTGTCACATGAACTCAACTGACACTAATCTAAAATTGAGAGAGAACCTTGTGTTATATCATACACATCTTGATCTTTCACTCCACTTTGCCATCCATTCTTTAACCCCACTCAATATCAAGAAAGATGAGTGAAATGGCCAATTCTTGTTCACCATGCTAATACAAATTCTCATTTAACACATCAACAAGTTAGGGCTACAAAATTAGGCTAGAGACACACTCCATTTCCATTCACCACAAAGGGTAGGGCTGAATAGATTTATGTAGCTAACCAGAATAGACAGCATATTTAAAGAGAGTAATTGAGGCCTTGTGGATATTAAATTATGTTGATTACATTTCACTGGCCCACTGGACCCTCCATGGCGGTGTTCCCAAATGGTGTTGTGTAAAATAACTAAGTTGTGGATAGAAACATATAGGCTACACTAAAGCGTCAACTCGGCTCTTTATCACAAGCGTTAGTCATTTAAATGACGTCATCTGCTCTCATAGTCTACGGCTTGTTCATATCCCTCCCCCTCGCCCAGAAGCCCCCGTCACAGTTGTTGGCATTCGTTCCTCTCCCCTGCCTGCTTCAGCAACTTTCCCCTTTTTTTCTTAAAGGGCGTTTATTCAGCTCCAACAAGACAACAGTTGAGTGTCCCCGCTATTCTACTTAAATCACCATTGTGAAATGACCATCATAGCGTTAATAATGGTTTATTTTACTGGTCTATTATGCGCACTCAGCCAAGAGTCGGCGTGTAAATGCGCAACAGGGCATGCGTTTTTGTTGTAAAAAGCCCATTACTCTTTTAAAGTTTGACTTGTGCCACTGCCTAAAGATGATTCAAGAATAGTAGTCTATCTAGAGATGTAGGCCTAAATGTATAATGCAAGGGAATACTGAGACTAAAATGATAGGAAACCTTGACTTGGCAAACCACAAAGAAAACGAAATAAATTGTCTCGAAAATTCTATCTTTGCGCGTCAACATCTGTAAACCACGGGGGGTGAACTATATGAAGCTATAGTTTTTTCCACAGTGTCATAACTGTAGGACTAAGTGTATTTTGTAGTTGTTTTATCATTTGTGTTTTAAAGTCTTTTTAGACATCTGTTTTTCGTAGTCTATTGAAGAGAAGGCAATTCCAGACACAAAAACAATGAGCGTGGCAGAGAGAGAGGCCAGACAGAGGGACACAGCCACACGCCCAGCATAATCATGTCTCGATAGACCCGTTATCTCACTATAATAAAATAACTGTCAGCGTTTTTCCAGTTGCGCTTTCTTCTACAACTAGTTCACATTGGCAAATGATACATTTATATCCCATAATGAACAAAAACGAAGTAGAAGCTTTTAAACATGACTGAAAAGGGGCCAACAAAAGGGATATTCTTTCCGGTCCTCTTCATCCATTGAGAGAACTTTAAATGGCCATCTCATGTTAGAAAAAGAGACCATAACGGAATGTTATGCATTGAATGTTTATCATTTAGGCTAAGTGGAACATTTCAACTTAAAATACACATAGCCTAGAATACAACTTTTTGTCTCGATTAGCAACAAATGGTACAATGCATTATTGATTAATTCCCAAATGTAAGCCTTGTTCATTTCAGTTTTCAAGATTCTTACCTTGGCCCCAATCTGGTTACCGCACTGACCGGCCTGAATGTGTACGATTTCCCTCATTCTGTATGCTTGTTATAATAGAAAATACAAGAGAAGAAGTGGTGTGCTGTTATGTCCACACAGTTGACCCACTGACCACTGTGAAGTACGTGGATGCCACCTTTGAGCAAGGCGGGACAAAGATTTATATGTCTGGACCGTGGCCAAACCGAGGTTTCGGAAACCCAATCTTGATTGGCTGAGGAAAGAAAGTCTAAGTCTAAAGGGTTTCTCTGCCGTAATGAAAGGGGCCGGAAGTAGAGAGGGAGTGCCGCGTCTCGTCCTGTCATCACTGTCCTGTTGGAGCAGGCCATGGAATCAGCGCACTTGCTATAAAATATTTTCTAATGTATGACTTGCCTGCCATGCATCCTGTAAGAATCCTATAGAATTGGCTATTAATGCAAAAATGTTTTGTTGGATAATCATTTTTCTCCTATTAGATGTGAAAATAGTCCCTATAATAAAAAATAAAAAGTGATATTATGTACAGTAATTGATTACCTGAAATCAGATCAGCCAAGACAAATGACTGACATGTTGATAACCTTACTACAATAAATGCAAATATGTTCATCATCCAAAATATGAGTTTTAAACAAATATAATTACTATGCAAAATACAATCTTCTGCTGTTTTGTGATAACATATCATTGCCAAATGTAGCATAGATACATGTGTTGTGCTGATTACCCCCAGTCACTTCACTTGAGGCCTTAATAAGACAATCATTCAATGGGGTGGTTGCATGAAGCAACACATTCAAGTACAACCAGTCACATTGGTGCCATGACCGAGATCACAGCAGATTGGCCTCACTTGAAAGAAGTTTGGTTGCCTTCAGAATGAGAGGCTATGGGTAGACAATTTGAGGACACACACATACATACACACACACATCCTCTCTCTCGCACCGCTTTTCAAATAGGCATGATGCCTCCTCATCCATCTAATGAGGCACTGACACAACAAAGAACAAAAGGCAACTACATTGCATAAAGTCAATAGCTTTGTTGAAATAGCTAAGTAATTCGATTTTGTATCCTAAATGCTAAAGTATTTCACACTGATCATTGAATGAAATCCAATGAATCACCGCACCACCAGATGGCGATAGCACATTTTGCAATGGGCGTGACACGATGGATAGACGCTTTTGACGGGAAGAGTTATAACGGGACAGAAGCATCATATATACATACAGTCATTGGACAGACGATAGCAAGAATAACACGGCTGTACTTTGAGAGCAAAACAAGTATTGTTGCAACGCATCTATCTATACATTTGCATTCTGCATTAGTTCATTCTGTCAAATTGGTAAGTGAACGGACATATTTTGCCAAATCCTTCGACTGATTTGATGCATCTCGGATTGCAACATATATAAACATCAGTGGGGTCTAGCAAAAATGATAGTGGAATTGGATACATTTGTATCATTGCTAACGAGTTGCTACACCCCTGCATGTTTTATTTATATCCTATTTGCATGTGTGTTGATACATGTGTTGATACAGTACATGAGCGTGTCTTTCTATGCGCTTTATTAGCAAAATATCCTGGGTGGCTCGTGATAGAAATGCTGCGCAACATTTACGCAGATTCAATTAGCTGCCATTGATGTCTCGAGAGCTTTCTCAAGGCTCCTGCCCCCTTGGATTTTCATGGGCATGTTACAATAGTTCTGATACTGACTACCTGCTCAGATTCAGATTAAATCTTAAATGAAATATCTTCAAAATGTAGTCACATTTTGTTACTTACAGCAGCTATACAAATTATTATTATTAGACCTACTGTATAGATTTCAGTCAAAGCTGTCATGCATGGCTGATGAATTACAAACACTTGAGCAATAGGCCAATGTAAGACTCTCCAGTAACCCACTGTCAAGCCCATTGCCCAGCATTGGAGCTTGGTATATGAAATTGTGTAATTAAATGTTGTGTGTTGTTTTTTGTCTTTACAGCATATGAGGAAGAAAAACATGTTCTACACGTGTGGTCCAAATGAGGCTATGGTGGTGTCAGGTCCATTCTCTAATCCAGTGTTTCCCAACCCTGGTCCTTGAGTAACCCCAACAGTACACAGTTTCATTGTAGCCCTTGACAAACACACCTCATTCACCTCATTGAGGGCTTGATGATTAGTTGACAAGTTGAATCAGGTGTGCTTGTCCAGGGTTACAGTAAAAATGTGTACTGTTGGGGGTACTGGAGGACCAACGTTGGGAAACACTGTAAACATGTTACATTAAAGTAGCTGTAGGATGGTAATAATACTCTCATGCATATCTCCCCCCCCCCCCCCCCCCCCCCCCCCCCCCTCTCTCTCTCTCTCTCTCTCTGTTTCTCAGGGTTCCTCCGGTCTCCTCCAGTAATGATTGCTGGAGGCAGAGTATTTGTGCTTCCCTGTGTTCAGCAGATCCAGAGGTAAAGTCTCTTTTCCTGTTCATATCTGCAAACTCATATGGTAATAATCTGGCCATGTATAGCCATCTGCCATTGTTTTGGGATATCATAATACAACATTGTGGAATGACTATATCTCTCCCTCCTTTTCTCTCTTCCAGGATCTCCCTGAACACTCTGACGCTGAACGTGAAGAGTGATAAAGTCTACACCCGCCATGGGGTTCCCATCTCGGTCACTGGTATTGCCCAGGTTTGTCTCTCCATCTTTCTTCTTTCTCTGTCTCCATTTCGTTCTGAGCCAATGTAAGTACACTATTCTGTCACATCACCAGTCATTTAAACATGTTTAGACACCCTAGTTTTGTACACAAGTGTAAGGGCTTTCTTTGATTAAGTATGTATCAAGTAGACTATTAAAACCTGCCATCTGTTTCACTTATATCATTCATTTATATATACATTGGCATTAAATACCTCACTCTCTTGTGCTGTGGACAGGAGAGAGTAACCTTGCCTGTTCGAGTGTTAATACAACTACTACTGCTGTGTAGTTGGGTAGTGTACAGCACATGCTTCTGTTTTTTTTTAGCACTGTGCACACCTGAGTCGTGTTCATTAATCACCAAAAACAGACTAAAACAGGGAAGGACTACCTGAATTTGCTCAGAAATGCAAGTTTTCTGTTTAAAAAACTTTTTAAAATGTTATTATGCTATTATGTGTTCTCTCCTCCCTCCAGATGAAGATCCAGGGGCAGAACAAGCAGATGCTGGCCGCAGCCTGTCAGATGTTCATGGGGAAGTCGGAGGGCGAGATCGCCCAAATCTCCCTGGAGACGCTGGAGGGCCACCAGAGGGCCATCATCGCCCACCTGACTGTGGAGGTAAACTTAACAACACGAGAGGGCGTGGGTTTTGACCTTTTTAGCACAGCTGTGCTGCGGTCGGAGGTACAAGGCGAAGCCGAGTACCGCCGACTACCCAATCACAATGCTTGTTTTGACTAACCCGTTGTAAAACAACTGTTTTGCAAGATGTCACAAACAGATCTGGGACCAGGCTATGTTATAGCAGCTCACTCATTTTAGTGCAATATAGAAACATTTCGGCACTATTTGCCTTCTTCATGGTTACATGAGGTAAACTGAACAGCATCCTTACTAGCCACATCCACAGTTACAGTTATAGTTATAGTTATAGTTACAGTTACAGTTACAGTTACAGTTATAGTTACAGTTATAGTTACAGTTATAGTTATAGTTATAGTTACAGTTACAGTTACAGTTACAGTTACAGTTATAGTTACAGTTATAGTTACATAAACAGCACATTATAGCAGCTTACTCATTTCAATGCTGTAAAGCCATGACCAAAGCCAAGAGCTATGGCCCTACGTATTTATTTGGACAGTGAAGCAAAAACCTTTAATTTGGCTCTATACATTTTGGATATGAGATCAAATGTTTTAATGAGGCGACAGTACAGAATGTCACCTTTTATTTGGGGGAATTTATTTATGTATGTACCATACTCAAAACAGCATATTGCATGGTAGAACTGTCTTGTGACATACCATAACAAACATACCATAACAAACAGACCAAAACAAACAGACCATAACAAACAGACCAAAACAAACAGACCAAAACAAACAGACCAAAACAAACAGACATAACAAAAAGACCATAACAAACAGACCATAGCAAACAGACAAAACAAACAGACCAAAACAAACAGACCATAACAAATAGACCAAAACAAACAGACCAAAACAAACAGACCAAAACAAACAGACCATAACAAACAGACCATAACAAACAGACCATAACAAACAACACATTTAACAGTTGTATCAGAACCATAGTCATATGGATATCTATGTATGGCTATGTGTTCAACAACTCGTACATAGTAACATGATGGAGAGGGAACACTGCAACTTTTTACTGTCATGATAATTACACTAAACAAAAGTATATCAACATCGGCCCGAACTCTGTTATTTCACCCCCTCCAGGAGATCTATAGGGACCGTAAGAAGTTCTCAGAGGAGGTGTTCAAGGTGGCCTCGTCCGACCTGGTCAACATGGGCATCAGCGTGGTCAGCTACACGCTCAAAGATGTTCACGACGACCAGGTGTGCATTCTCTCTCTTCTTTCAATGGAGACTCCATTCTTGCAACTGCTCCAATGCGAGATAAATAATGGACCCTAAACTAAAAAGTAACCAATGTTGTTCTCTTCCTCTCTGTGGTTCAGGACTACCTCCACTCCCTGGGGAAGTCCAGGACCGCCCAAGTGCAGAAAGACGCCCGCATCGGAGAGGCCCAGTTCAAGAGGGATGCTGTGATAAGGGTGAGCCACCTCTCCCTTCTCTCCACTCTCTCCTTCTCTATACCTTCCTTCTCTTCTTCTGCCCTTTATCCTGTCCCTTGCTCTTCTTTATTTCTGAATTCTCCATCACATGTTCTTTCACTTGGTTTTCCCTATCCGTTCTTACTTTTCTCTTTTCTCGTAGCCCATCTGAACCTTTCCTTCTCCAATCTCCTCTTGTTCCTTTTTTACACTTCCTGTGTGTATCTCTCTCTGTAGGAGGCCCATGCCATGCAGGAGAAGATCTCAGCCCAGTATGTCAATGACATCCAGATGGCCAAGGCTCAGAGGGACTATGAGCTGAAGAAAGCATCCTATGACATCGAGGTCAACACCAAAAAGGCAGAGTCTGAGATGGCCTACCAGCTACAGGTACAGTGCATTGGGAAAGTATTCAGACCTCGTGACTATTCCCACATTTTGTTATGTTACAGCCGTATTCTTAAATGGATGAAATTGTCCCGTCCCCCCCCCTCATCAATCTACACACAATACCCCAAATATGTTTTACTCTGAAATATCACATTTACATAAGTATTCAGACCCCTTACTCAGTACTTTGTTGAAGCACCTTTGGCAGCGATTACAGCCTCGAGTCTTCTTGGGTATGATGCAAGTCTTCTTGGGTATGACGCTACAAGCTTGGCACACCTGTATTTGGGGAGTTTCTCCCATTCTTCTCTGCTGATCCTCTCAAGCACTGTCAGGTTGGATGGGGAGCGTCGCTGCACAGCTATTTTCAGGTCTCTCCAGAGATGTTAGATCGGGTTCAATTCCGGGCTCTGGCTGGGCCACTCAAGGACATTCAGAGATTTGTCCCGAAGCCACTCCTGCGTTGTCTTGGCTGTGTGCTTAGGGTCGTTGTCCTGTTGGAAGGTGAACCTTCACCCCAGTCTGAGGTCCTGAGCGCTCTGGAGCAGGTTTTCATCAAGGATCTCTCTGTACTTTGCTCCGTTCATCTTTCCCTCGATCCTGACTGGTCTCCCAGCCGCTGAAAAACATCCCCACAGCATGATGCTGCCACCACCATGCTTCACCGTAGGTATGGTGCCAGGTTTCCTCCAGACGTGACGCTTGGCATTCAGGCCAAAGAGTTCAATCTTGGTTTCATCAGACAGATAATATTGTTTCTCATGGTCTGAGAGTCCTTTAAGTGCCTTTTGGCAAACTCCAAGCGGACTGTCATGTGCCTTTTGCTGTGGAGTGGCTTCCGTCTGGCCACTCTACCATAAAGGCCTGATTGGTGGAGTGCTGCCGAGATGGTTGTGATTCTGGAAGGTTCTCCAGAGGAACTCTGGAGCTCTGTCAGAGTGACCATCGGGTTCTTGGTCACCTCCCTGACCAAGGCCCTTCTCCCCTCGATTGCTCAGTTTGGACGGGCGGCCAGCTCTAGGAAGAGTCTTGGTGGTTCCAAACTTCTTCCATTTAAGAATGATGGAGGCCACTGTGTTCTTGGGGACCTTCAATACTGCAGAAATGTTTTGGTACCCTTCCCCAGATCTGTGCTTCGACACAGTCCTGTCTCGGAGTTCTTTGGACAATTCCTTCGACCTCATGGCTTGGTTTTTGCTCTGACTTGCACTGTCAACTGTGGGACCTTATATAGACAGGTGTGTGCCTTTCCAAATCATGTCCAATCAATTGAATTTACCACAGGTGGACTGCAATTAAGTTGTAGAAACATCTCAAGGATGATCAATGAAAACAGGATGCACCTGAGCTCAATTTCCTGTCTCATAGCAAAGGGTCTGTTTTTTATGCTTAATACATTTGCAAAAAATTCTAAAAACCTGTTTTCGATTTGTCATTATGGGATATTGTGTGTAGATTGATGAGGGAAAAAATTCATTTGATCCATTTTAGAATAAGGCTGTAACGTAACCAAATGTGGAAAAAGTCAAGGGGTCTGAATACTTTCCGAATACACTGTATGTCCATGATATGACATGATAAGACATGGATGTATTGTATAGCACACCCATTCTTGTTATTTGTTTGTTCTCAAAATCACAAAGTATGGAAAGCAGCTCACTAAACCAATTGAAACAAAGCAACAAAAAGATAAACACAGAATTTTAAAAAATATTGAGGAAAACATAACCTCTTGAAAATGGTCATAAATAGTACTAATGAGATCTTGGGCTTACCATTTGAACATAAAGAGGACTACTGAGATCTTGGTCTTACCATTTGAACATAAAGAGTACTACTGAGATCTTGGGCTTACCATTTGAACATAAAGAGTACTACTGAGATCTTGAACCCGTCAGGTGGCCAAGACCAAGCAACGCATCGAGGAGGAGAAGATGCAGGTCCAGGTGGTGGAGCGCTCTCAGCAGATCATGCTCCAGGCCCAGGAGATCACCCGCAGGGAGAAGGAGCTGGAGGCCAAGGTCAAGAAGCCTGCTGAGGCCGAGAGATACCGCATGGAGAAGCTGGCCGAGGCTCAGCGGTGAGTACCAGCTAGGGTTGGGCCGATATATGATTAAATCTAATATCGTGATATGCAAGACCATATATATCGTGATGTGCAAGACTATATAAAATCAAATAAAATGTATTTAAAGCCCTTTTTACATTACATTTACATTTACATTTTAGTCATTTAGCAGACGCTCTTATCCAGAGCGACTTACACTTAGTGAGTGCATACATTTTCATACATTCTCTTCTATCGTAGAGAAACAGTGCCTCCTGTGCACGACTTTCAGTAAAGTACTCTTCTTTTTTATAAAAAGGTTTTTGGCTCATAAAGAATCACAATTATGTAAAGTTGTATAAAAAAAAACATATCTCCTTCTTCCTCATGTACACTAACCTGATCCATAGGAGTCCTGGAGTGCAGTTAAACTTGCATTGGACAATCAAGACCCTCAAAACCATGTTGAAATGTTACTTCCATGGTCTGAAACTTAAAACCTTCACCTGTTTTAATTATTGTCATTCATGAGGTTTGGAAGGGAAGCTCGTTTCAAATATCAGTCGAACTTTAACACTTTTTAGCAAAAGAAACATTTATGAAATCTCTGATCAAATAAATGTGACCAACTAGATCAAGACGGAAATGTACATGTTGGAGTACATGCCCTGTCAAGGGGGGTAATAATCACTTCGAGGAAAAAAAATATTTCAAGGTGTTGTAATAAAGAAATAAACAGAACACCCAAATCCTTTTCCTCTCCTCAAAAAACAATCAAATGGATGTGTCTGTCTCTCTGGCAATACCTGATGCTTTTGTGACAGCTAACATTCCAAAGCCAAACCCGATGGAGCACAGCAACTCGAGGGTAAAATAAATTAATAATAAATATAATAATTATTAAATAGGTGTAATATTGTAAAGTGGTTATCCCACTGGTTATAGGGTGAATGCACCAATTTGTAAGTCGCTCTGGATAAGAGCGTCTGCTAAATGACGTAAATGTAAATGTAGGTGTGTATTTACTGCTCCGATGCCTGTGGAGCGCTTCGTGGCTCTGCTGTCTCCTGGCGGACCATGACTTGACCTGAGGCACTGCTGGGCTTGAGCCTCTGACCAGTCTTGCCACAGAACGTGCCCTGGAACTCCTGTTTGATGGAGTCCCCGTACACCTCTCTGCCATACTTGAGGAAGGCGGTGGTCCATTGCAGGGTGGTGGCTTTGTCCGTCTCGTGGTTACAGAACGGCGCCAGCACATTCAGCTCATCACAGCAGAAGCGGATCCTCCTCCTGCGGTCCCGCTCCTTGCTGTTGTGCCTCTCTCTGCGCTGGCTACTTTCCACTGGTGGCCCTCCTCTCTTCCTGGTGCCTGCTCCTCCAGCTGCTCTTCCCTCCACTGAGTTTGGGACAATGCCGGGGGCCTTGACAGCACAGGGTCCACGGGTCCTACCGCGTTTAGCAGTCTTCGCCACAGCATCATCTTCCACCTTCACCCAAACTTTCTCCTCTGTTGGGTTGGGGATGTTGACGCATGGAACTTTGTCAGGCATCTTGTCTGGCCGATAGCTGAATGTGAAGTTCTTTGGAATGATCAACCCTTGATGCTTATTGGGTTCAAGCATATGAGGGACCATCCCAAACCCTTGACGGGCGCCAGCGATGGGGTTGAACATGCTTCCATATGGGTATGACAGCTCAATAGGGTTGCCACGATCTGACCTCACCCACTTCTGCGGTTGTGGATGCATTGCTGCTTCTTGCGCCTCATTGGAGTGATGAAGCATCAGCATATGTGACAAAGTACTTCTACAGAAACCCAGCCTAAAACCCCAAACAGCAAGCAATGCAGATGTAGAAGCACGGTGGCTAGGAAAAACTCCCTAGAAAGTCAGGAGCATAGGAAGAAACCTAGAGAGGAACCAGGCTCTGAGTGGTGACCAGTCCTCTTCTGGCTGTGCCAGGTGGAGATTATAGAGTACATGGCCATTAAGGCCAGATTGTTCTTCAAGATGTTCAAACGTTCATAGATGACCAGCAGGGTCAAATAATAATCACAGTGGTTGTAGAGGGTGCAACAGGTCAGCACCTCAGGAGTAAATGTGAGTTGGCTTTTCATAGCCGAGCATTCAGAGGTCGAGACAGCAGGTACGATAGAGAGAGAGAGCGAGGGGGAGAGAGAGAGGGAGAGTCGAAAACAGCAGGTCCGGGACAAGGTACCATGTCCGGTGAACAGGTCAGGGTTCCATAGCCGCAGGCAGAACAGTTGAAACTGGAGCAGCAGCACGACCAGGTGGACTGGGGACAGCAAGGAGTCATCAGGCCAGGTAGTCCTGAGGCATGGTCCTAGGGCTCCGGTCCTTCGGGAGGAGAGGGAGAGAGAAAGAGAATTACAGGGAGCATACTTAAATTCACACAGGACACCAGATAAGACAGGGGAATTACACTAGCTATAACAGACTGGCACATAGACTATTGCAGCATAGATACTGGAGGCTGAGACAGGGGGGGGTCAGTGGACACTGTGGCCCCGTCCGATGATACCCCCGGACAGTGCCAACCAGGCAGGATATAACCCCACCCACTTTGTCCAAAGCACAAAACCAGACAGGAAGATCACGTTAGTGACTCAACCCACTCAAGTGACGCACCCCTCCAAGTGACGCACCCCTCCACTCCTATACTCTATTTGAACATTTCAAATCAAAACAGTGCAGTTTTATCAGTTAGGCTGTATCAATATGTTGAAAATGAAGTCTAAATGAATGAAATAAGTCTTATTGTTTTCCCATACTAAGGTTATTTAATTAGAATGTGAATATAATATCGTAAAATAAGCACAAAAATTGCACAGTCTGGAAATATCTAGTCATTAACGGCGTAAAACGATTATATTGGATATTGCGATATTTGGAGTAGCATATCGTAGAAGAGATCTCCCCAAATATCGCCCCAACCCTAGTACCAGCCACACGTCTCCAAATGACCACACGTCTCCAAATGACCTTTCACAAATTATATATTGTATTTTGTGAACCATGTATTGCATAGACAATGAAAATATACTAGATATTAATGCATTCCATGGAGTATGAGACAGACAAACAAACAAATATACAAACTATACTGAATACTGTATGTACTATGTACTTTATAATGTACACCTAACAGGCCAAACAAAATATGTTTCTTTTCCCACAGTGCACAGCTCATTATGGAGGCTGAGGCTGAGGCAGAGTCCATTAGGGTGAGTGTGTCTATAAGTATCACATTGTTCCAGACAAATTCTGAAAAGCAAAAGTACATTGTTACTATAGGACTGTTACTGTTCCAAGCTTGTTTTACCCCTAAAAGCAGTTAATTCTTGTGTCTGTGACTCGTATAAGCAGAGAGCACTTTAATAGTAATAGAATTCCATGTTTACCACACTCAAGTCGTTTAGCTTGTTCAATCAATACTACTAAATCCTGCAGTTAACTTACGATAAGTCACACCCAAGGAAGCTGTAACAACATAGTATGACTGTCATAATACAATAAAACCTTCAAAAATGTTCTTCTGTCTCTCAGATTAAGGGTGATGCGGAGGCCTTTGCTGTGGAGGCGAAAGGGAGAGCCGAGGCAGAGCAGATGGCCAAGAAGGCCGAAGCCTTCCAGCAGTACAAGGAGGGAGCCATGGTGGACATGCTGCTGGAGCAACTACCACTGGTGAGAAAACCTTCAATGAGATAGAGCTCAAATACACAGAATCCTAATTTGAGATGAGCGCATTTAAAGATTGCGTATATCATGCATTGAATTGAAGATTTGCATGAAAAAGTCATAAAACTTATATAAAGTTAGTTTGAATACAAAAATACACATCATTATAGAGTCCAAATTCTGATCACTCGTCACTGGGGTGAGCTTTAGGACAGAGAAACTGGACGAACACCTCTATGTTCCTCTGCTCTCCTCTAGATGGCGGAAGAGATCAGCAGGCCTCTGGCGCAGGCTCAGAAGATCACCATGGTTTCCAGCGGGGACGCCGAGGTGGGCGCGGCCAAGCTCACAGGGGAGGTGCTAGACATCATGACCCGCCTTCCAGCGACAGTGGAGAAACTGACGGGAGTCAACATCTCACAGGTGAAACAGCCTAACCAACGATGTGTGACGTATTATATAACTAGAGGACTGTTATTTGTCTGAATAACAACATTCTCAGTAGGTCTCCAATTCATTAACCAGTGGTTACCCCCCAAAAAATAGTTTTATTGTCACATACACCGGATAGGTGCAGTGAAATTTGTTATTTTACAGAGTCAGCCATAGTAGTACACCGCCTGGTATTTGAACCAGCGACCTTTCAGTTACTTGCCCAACGCTCTAACCACTAGGCTACCTGCCACCCCTGATCCGGAGTTATATTTCACAGAATAGGATATATGAATAACTTGCCAGATAACGTTGACAAACACGCATGTACATGTATAACTCTAAATGTTACAGTTTATAAAGAATGCTAAATGTTAATATGGGCACCGTAAGCATCAAGTACAAGATAGTATATCATGCACATTTCCGGTTAGTATTGTTAGTAATGTTAGTAAACCTAGTTGGCTAACTCACTGAACCTACTTTGTGAATCCCGGCTCCTGTTGGTGTTCTATGTTAAGACTTCATTTTCTCTCTTTCTCCAAATCCCTCTCTCTCATCCTGTCCTTCCATTCTCTAGGTGACAACTCGTATGGGCTGAGGAGAGGCTCCGGTGCTCAGGCAGACCTATTTCACACCCCTGCCTACTATCACAGCCTTACCCTTTCTCCTCAAGTATGTTATACCAAAAACATACAGTGCCCTCCGTAATTATTGGGACAGTGAATAATTTTTTCTTCATTTGGCTCTATACTCCAAAAGGTTGCATTTGAAATCAGACTGTCAGCATTAATTTGAGGGTATTTTCATCCATATCGGGTGAAGCATTTAGAAATTACAGCACTTTCTGTACATAGTCCCCCCATACTTAGGGGACCAAAAGTATTGGGACAAATGTAATTATATGTGTATTAAAGTAGTAAAACATTGAGTATTTGGTCCCATTTTCATAGCACACAATGACCACATCAAGCTTGTGACTGACTATACACATTTGTTGGATGCTGTTAGGTTCTGACAGATTGAAAAACTAACGGACAACTAGTCAAAGCTCAAACCAAGTTTATTCACCCACTGGGTCAAACAGCTGAAAAGACAAAAGACATGTTACCACCAGCACAAGTATTTATACCCTCCTTTAGGCGGAGTCTCCTCCTTGCACCTCTAAACACTACATCTTTGTTGCTAGGCAGGAAGTTAAGTGATGTGTGTAATAAAACTGATCCTTCTCCCTTAATCTAACCTGATCTGACCTCGGCCCCCATTCCTCACTAATCCACAGCTATCCAACCTTATCAGTGACCGCAACCAAGTGATTGCCTTTTCCCTTACTTTGTAACTTTCCAGACCCCTACTTGTTATCCACCCTCCATTGACCCCACCATATACATTCATCATACATGTAACCATACACTTCTAGCATAGCAGGTATTTCAAATTAGAACCCAATAATGCATTTGCTGTTTGTTTTGGTTGTGTTTCAGATTATTTTGTGCCCAATCGAAATGAATAGTAAATAATGTATTGTGTCATTATGGAGTCACTTTTATTGTAAATAAGAATATAATATGTTTCTAAACACTTCTACATTAATGTAAATGCTACCATGATTACGGATAATCCTGAATGAATTCTGAATAATAATGAGTGAGAAAGTTACAGACGCATAAATATCATACCCCGAAGACATGCTAACCTCTTACCATTACAATAACAGGGGAGGTTAGCATTTTTGTGGGGGGGGTTATGATATTTGTGCGTCTGTAACTTTCTCACTCATCATTATTCACAATTTATTCACAACCAAAACAAACAGTAAATGCATCCAACACATTTGAGTCACAAGCTTGATGTAGTCATTGCGTGCTACGAATATGGGACCAAATACTTAACGTTTTACTACTTTAATACACATATAAATGAATTTGTCCCAATACTTCTGCTCCCCTAAAATGGGTGGACTATGTACAAAAAGTGCTGTAATTTCTAAAAGGTTCACCCAATATGAAAATACCCTCAAATTAAAGCTGACAGTCTGCACTTTAACCTCCCAGTCATTGTTTGATTTCAAATCCAAACTTTTGAAGTATAGAACCAAAAGAAAAATGCTTAACTGTCCCAATAATTAGAGAGGGCACTGTATCTAGTATCTACCCTTCTCTCAACCCCCTCATCTTTCCATGTGTCTTTCTCTGCTTGTCTCACCTTTCACCTCTGTGTGTGTATATTTGGCCCTTGATTCCCTCCTTCATAACTGCCTGTGTCCACTGCCTTGCTGCCAAACCCTAAGTGCATCTTAACTGGTCAAACGCACAGTCAAATCCTCCACCCAGTATTCTTATTCTCAGTGCTCAGTCTTACTCATCAGAAGCAAAGGTGACCTGACCAAATCCATGTTTCAGAGAAATCTCATTGCTCTGTTGGTACTATGTTTGAGTAACAATGAATGTACAAAATATGAACCATTCAAAGTATCCAATATTCTAATCTATACCTGCAAAGGGTCTTGGGAGATGTAGTGTGAATAGGCCAGTCAACTCAGCTTTGTTTCTCTATATATTATAATTTTCTATGGATTTCTATCTGCGAAATGTGTGCCATTTATGTGTGTCTACATTCACTGTTACAACACGTAACTTACGTGTTTTTGATGTTGTTTTTTCGTTGTATTTTCTGCATCTCTCACACTGAATTATCCTCCTTAATCGATAGTCTTTAGAAAGGACCTTTTAGTCAAGCAGATTATGTAGCAGCTCTCACAAATGTGACTTGTATTAATTTTGTCCAGAGTGCTAGGGGACTGGTTTACTGCTCTGCTATAGCTGTCAAAATGGTAATATGACGTTATAATCATGGAATTATTGCACTTCTGCATAACACTACATAATGTCAAGTTGTACTATTGATGTTAATTGAGATGTACTGTTAGCATTGAAGCTACGTTATTATTAAGATGGTCCTCAGATCACCAGAAATGGTAGCTGCGCTAATGACTAATTAAAGGAGGAATTTTCTGTTAGAAAAAAAGTGACTGTCATCAGAAGTAGAAAGAGAGGTGTCATATGTATAAAGAAGAAATTCTGAAAGCAGGTTGTTTTTTCTATTTGAGAACCTTTCGCAGCCCTAACTAAAGCTAGCTGTGCCGTATTGTACTACTAATAGACGTAACTACTAGTACATAATAGCATGATATACAATTATTGAGTACATGGCACATATTTCATGACATTGCATTTCACCAGAGGAAAGGCAAGCAGTCATTCCTCATCACTGTATGTATTGGCTGGTACAATCACATTTCCTCTCTGGGGGATTAATAAAGTACTATCTTATCTTATGGTTCAATCAATGCCTCAGATCAGTATGTTCAATGGAAATCATTCAGATAGCATAGCTTGCTAGCCATGTGTGTCTCATGGCATTGTAGGGTCTAGTGAGACGACTGACTCAGTATAGGAAGTGAGGTTGACAACCAACTTGCCTTATCCCCACACACTGTCACCCTCTACCTCGCCATCGCCACACAAGCTCCCTCTCATGAACTGATGATCTTACACCGAATAGTCTGAAATGTATTTAATTTTATATTTAATTTAAAATGTGTTTTGTTTTGTTTATGTGAAACACGAGATCATGCATGTGATTTATTATATTGAAGTGTGTTTTTTTCAATATGATTTGTCAGGAGCCTGAATGCATGAGCCATACCAGGTGCTACTGTTATAGCTCAGTAACCAAACCAGGGACTGAACCAGAGGTTCCAAATATGGCCAAAGGGTCAAAATATGGGAATATTTTAGATGTAATTATTGTAGAAATGCCACTACTCTACCCATTTTAGTGAAGTATTATACGATTTTTGTTCAATTTAGCTTGAAACAGTTTCTACTGTACGAAAAGATAAAAAGCTGATTTGAAACATATGATTTTCTTATGTCAAGTTGTCACATTTATCTTAATTTATGAAGGACCTTCTGAGCTCAGCTGCTGGCCTGGGGTTACATTGAGTTGCATCATAAGATCAGAGTAATCAAACATCCTTATCCTTACTAACACAATGTTACCATGTTTCTGTGTTGTATCTTACTTTAACCAGGATATCATCTATGTTCATGGTTGTCCCTTGTTTTAGCAAGAAATAATACCAATAGTTGCTTATTATATATTCTTAAATGGCATGTTGAGCTTATTTCAGTGAACACCAAACAAAACTTGGGGAAAAGTGACTTAATATACATTTAATGAAAAGAACAGGACGAATTCCATGGCAAGTAGTGTATCCAGGACTGATTTCATTTTCTTTGAGTTATATTAGAAGTGTGTTGTTGACTTTGTTTTTGAGGACTTGCCAAAATTGGAATGTGCCTCCATTGTTTTCCAATTGCTGTGCACTGGTGTCATGAAGAACCTTAGACATCTGTATTTTGTAGGAAATGTATACCCTTACATTATATCAAATACATAATTCCTTTGATTCCAAAACCACAACCCTCGTGTTCTTTGGTGTGTGTTTGTGTGGGAAGGTCATGAAATGGGCATGGCACAGGGTATGGCAAATTAGTGTCCCAAACACAATCACCTAGCAAACCATTCCAACATACAACATAATATTTCTATTATTTTAATGTATAATCTACCTATGTACTGTACATTGATACAATACCTTCAAACTGACTTTCCACAGCATGTCTGCATGCAGTAAAAGGAGAATCTGACAGCAAGCTTGTCATCTCCGACTGTCTCACTTTGTCCTTACAAGGAGAAACAGTCTCTTCAGATGAATGTGTCCTATGCATATACAGCAAGTGTAGCATAAGGGTAGTTCATAACGGTATTAGGAGCGATAAAAACATTAATACGAATATTGAGAACTGTGTTATTTCAAAAGACACATAATGAAGTACAAGGAGTATACATAAGATAACCGGCCAATAAATACAGAGCAGAATAGAGCTCTGTGATTGGACGGGTTAGAAATACACGTCAACGATTCGTTACTTTTGGAGTTCTTTTGTTTTCCTTTTCATATGCATTTAGATCTCTGTTTTACTTTAACGAGGCAGAGAGTAGTAAGTACATCATTCCCTTTTTTGAATAAAAAAAAGTCATTTCTATATATATCTACATAGATTACAGTATCTTCCAATTGATAATAACGATAACATTGATACAGTAAGAATAATGAAGGTAGTAATATTCCGTATGAAAGGTTTAAAAAAACAAAACAAAAACTTGTTAACAGTACCTGACAGCCATTTCATTGTTTCAACACGATATGCCTTTCTCCCCCACGCCCCTTGCTTTGCAAAAATGAGTTGGGAATATAGAAATTATCATTCTTAAATACAAAATCTGCTCTGTTTCTAGATGTTTCTCCTCACTCACTTCCTTCCTTGCACAATCTTTTTGCTTTCCCACGCCGTTCGTTAACACACTCCACTGTTGGTAGAAAAATACATACAACAAATAAATGAAACGATGAGAAACCGAAAAAATACAACATTGATCAAGTGCCTTCTTTATATCAGACCCCCCCCCCCCCCCCTTCTTTTCATATCCCTCTCCCTTTTCGGTGTCTTCTCCTTTAAGTGCATTCTTTGAACCATTCATATATCATCTCTTCATTCAATACTGGACTACATATCCCATGTTTCCTCTTCATCTCAGGTAGTCCCTTCACCAACCTCCTTTCCTTATTCTCTGATTGGGTCTTGCCTCTCCAAACCTCATTCTTCCATCCATTCCTTCGCCAACCCCAAGGCAGTGTAGTTTTTACAGTGGAGGCTGGTGGGAGGAGAAATCGGAGGACTGCCTCATTGAAATAGCTGGAATCAAACACATTTAATGTGTTCACTGTGTTTGACACCTTTCCATTCATTCCATCCATTACAATGAGCCCATCCTCCCATTTAAAGTGACACCAGCCTCCATTCCATCCCTCTCCCCTCGTCCATCCTCCCCTCTGTCCATCCTCTCGCTCTATGAGTTCATGTGCTCCACCTGGATGGCTGAGGTGGACACGGTGAGGCAGAGGTCCTTATGGGCCGACAGGTCGGCGACGCTGACTGGCTTGTACTGGATCTCGCCGGCCGACACTGTCTTGTACTGGTGAAGGTCGAAAGGGCACGGCACGCCCTCCGTCTGCGGGTAGCTGCCTTGCTGAGGGTTCTGGGGCTGGTTCTGACCCTGGTTCTGACTCGCCCCTCCGGGACCGCCTCCTCCTGTGTTTGCCCCGCCTCCTCTGCCACGGCCCCTCCCCCTGCCCCCTCCTCCATGAGTGTGACCCTGAGCCTGCTGGGCGGCGACGGCAGCCGCCACCGTGAGGGGGTCCGGGTTGTGCTTCCGCATGTGTTTCATCAGGTAGGTCTCCTGGAGGAGAGGAGAGGAGAGAAAGAGGGTGAGTGAGGTAGACAGTGCAGTGAACACTTACCATGCAGTGGGTCTAGGGAACAAAACGCAAGGGCTTGGCAGCACCTACATACAAACTCAGTAATATGTCATCTATGCAAATGACTGGGAGGAAATAGGGGGGGGTGTTTTTAACTACATAGCCAAAGCCTACCTCTACTGTCCTATACAACCATATCGGTTACCATCAAGCCAGACTACTACTTGTACATGTTAATCTACTCTTCTACTGGTTGTTCAACTGTTTTCACTACCAACCAACTTACAGTACCTGAAGTAGTCCTTCAAGTAATCTAATACTGCAGTTACTGAAAGAAGTACATACAATTAATTAGTCTCCACCCTCACAATGCTCTAGCCCCTCCCCTAAATGATGACATTGCTGAACATCACTTTCGTGCAAAAGGCCCCTCTCACAAGTTGAGGCCTTGCATCTAGAAAGCAAAAGTGGGTGTGACACTTTTAAAGGGGTGGGGCGTTGAGGAGGAGGGTAGAAGGAGGAGTTTTAGGGTGACTGGCAGGCGTACCGAGGTGTAAGCGCGGTTGCACAGGCCACAGGAGTAGAGCTTGGCGTGTTTGACCGTGTGAGTGGACAGGTGCACCTCCAGACTGGCCGCGTCTGTGTAACCGCGGTTACAGTTGTGGCACTTGTACGGCTTATCTTTGTTGTGCTGCCGGCGGTGAGACTGGGGGAAGCAATGAAAGAGTTAATACATTATGATTACTGTGACTATGACGTTATCATATCATTACGCTTCTGTTATTAACTGACGTCATTCATTTAGAGCTAAGTGAAGTTTTGCTATGTGAAACTTACAATCAAATAAATAGAAATTGAGATGAAATTGAGATCTATTGGATGTTGAGATGTAGTAGGCCTACCTGTAAATTGGAAAGCTGAGTAAATGCTTTCTCGCAGCCAGGATGGATACACTTGTAAGGTCGGTCCCCGGTGTGGATCCTATGGAAGTGAAACACAGTCTGTAATGAACTACAGCTCCCACAAACCCCAGTAGACTGACTACTTTCATTACAGTGTCACTCACTCCAAGGAACTGACAGGAACGATGGAAAGAGAGACATCCAATCCCAAATCAAACAAACTATCCATAGAGATTTCTTGATGGCCCTTCATAGATAGAGTTTCCACCATATTGCTTCCTGGTACATCCAACCAGTCCTTTCAGATCTATGATTGAATGAGCAAAAACAGGGCTCGACATTAACGCTTGTCCCCTTGTCCGGGAAAGGTTGTTAAAAAAAATTCGGACAAGAAGAATATATATTTAAACTGTCCGAATGGACAAAAAAAATAAAAAAAATCCCAATATCAAACAATTGCTCTGATTAGAATTGGATGGGAGAGGCCAACATTGGAATAATATTCATATCTATTTTTCATGTAGGCTACAAAAATAAAAAGCCTAAAATTATCTACAGCCTCATGTCCAAACCGATGCTGACATGAGGGACGCACCAGAAAATGTAGCCAACTTTAATGAGACTTTTAATTAAAGAAGTCTGTGGGGATTAGGGTCGTTTTGAAATTGAGCAAGAAGATAAGAGGATGTGAGAGACAATGAGTGAAAGGAGTAGGTGACTGCAGAGAGGGTGTGTGCTGACGTGACTGCAGAGAGGGTGTGTGCTGATGTGACTGCAGAGAGGGTGTGTGATGACGTGACTGCAGAGAGGGTGTGTGCTGACGTGACTGCAGAGAGGGTGTGTGCTGACGTGACTGCAGAGAGGGTGTGTGCTGACGTGACTGCAGAGAGGGTGTGTGCTGACGTGACTGCAGAGAGGGTGTGTGCTGACGAGACTGCAGAGAGGGTGTGTGCTGACGTGACTGCAGAGAGGGTGTGTGCTGACGTGACTGCAGAGAGGGTGTGTGCTGACGTGACTGCCCACTGTCCCTGTTTAGTAGTGTTTACCTGTGGTGCTGCTGTAAGTGACTGAGCTGCCTGAATGTTTTCTGGCAGAAGGAGCAGGTGTAGGGCTTGGCCCCGCTGTGGATGCGGATATGCTGGGCCAGGTAGCTGGAGTTGGCGAACGATTTGGAGCAGTGGGGACACTTGTGCGGTTTGCCCTCAGTGTGGTTTCTAACAAGGGGATGGGGAGATGGAGAGAGAGAAAAAAAGAGAGAGAGATTTATAACGTATCAAATCAGCGGCGAATGATCCGGAGATCAAATCATAATTAAATCAAATCACCCCAAATCAAGTTTAGCGCAGTTGGATTGACAGTGTGCACTTTTTTGTTGTTGCTGTGTCTGAGTTGCGAAACACAGTACGCAAACAGACAGCAGGCACAGTCCCCCTTTCCTTTCTCTCTCTCTCTCTCTCTGTCTCTCCACCTATCGTGTGCTACCGATATTGTGTGGTAATCCTACAGAGGCCTACTGCTAAAGAATTTGAGTGAAGGCAAGCTTGTGTCTTTATCTTGAAACCTAAGGCTAAACATTGAGAGGGGCATGTGAGGGAGGATATGTAGCCTAATAGAGAAAGCAAAGCGTGAACTTAACTCTAACACAATGGTGAGGGGGAGGAAGGAAAAGCCATTCATTTCATTACTCAAACATTCAAGAAACCAAAGACTGATGGAAGAGATGGTGCACAAATAGAACTGAAAGTGTCATGGAAAGGCAGCGAAAGAAAAGGAAGAAATCAATTTGGAAAGTTGTGGTCGTAGGATAGCTAAATGTACAGATCACTTGTATGACATAATTGTTTAACATTATGAAGCTGTTTCAGGGATAGTTTACCCAAAATGACATCCTTTCCCCAAGGATGGACGTGACTTATTAGTCTTTGCTGTGGTTGTCCAGCTATCTAAAAGGTTAGAATGCAATCTGTCAAGGAGTTAACCCTTCAGATCAAATGTGGTGTTCCACAGGGATCGATTCTTGAACCTGTACTATTTCTAGTTTACCAAACGCATCAACACTACCATAATTTTCAGACTATAAGCCGCGCCTTTTTTCCCATTTTTCGACCCTGCGGCTTATATAACGGTGCGGCTAATCTATGGATTTTTACAGCTAACGGCCACTAGAAGACCTCCTAAATCTATGGATTTTACAGGTTACAGTCCACCAACTTTAACTCTATGGGCTCTATGACCGGTCCGCGCCCCCCACCTTTAAGCGGCGGGCTCCAGCAGGAAAAGCTGGAGGCCGGAAAAGAGTGAGACAGGTAGCGCGCAAAAGTAAAAGTGGAACCGAGAGTGGTACGAGAGCAAGACAGACAGACATTACGAGAGCGAGACAGTTTGTCTCTTTCCCGACAATCCCCTCTGTGCACGAACCCTTACATATGGTAATTAAACATTAAAACACCTGCGGCTTATAGTCCAGTGCGGCTTATATATGTACACATCATTCAATATCATTCAATTTAGCTGCTGCGGCTTATACTCCGGTGCGCCTTATAGTGCGGAAAATACGGTACTCAGATTCTGTTTATCAATAACATAAGCATCTTGAATTCCCAAAGAAATCTGCAAACCATACAAAAAAACCATAGCCGCCAAGACAGTAAACAACGCAGATACACTTGGCAACAAAAAAACATTTCAAACAGCACCCACTCTCCTTATAAAAAGGGTCACTAGCTGTGACATTTCGACAGAGAAAAAAAGGCGGTGCTGCTTTGTCACACGTCACCAGAAATATAAATATTGGGTTTGTTTATTCTAAACCTGCGGTCATAGATGTAGTACAATAAGAGTTTTTGAAATCAGTATTATTGGGAGTAATACTGTCTCATTTGGTTTGTCAAAATAAAACCCTATGTATCTAATGCAGAGTGGTTACTCATATTGTAATGGTCAAATTCAAAGCCAAATGTAGAAAAGTACATTGGTATCACTAGCACTGAATTTGTAGTGATAGTGACTGTCTTTACTACCAATCCTCCATTCTAGTGACAATCTATATTCTGCAGTCACCTATTCCCTTAAATCAACCACCACACACACACACACACACACACACACACACACACACACACACACGCCGGGGAGGCAGCAGTACCGTGTGTGCTGCTGTAAGTGACTGAGCTGCCTGAATGTTTTCTGGCAGAAGGAGCAGGTGTAGGGCTTGGCCCCGCTGTGGATGCGGATATGCTGGGACAGGTAGCTGGAGTTGGCGAACGATTTGGAGCAGTGGGGACACTTGTGCGGCTTGGCCTCCGTGTGAGACTTGGCATGGATCTGCATGTCCGACTTGCTGAAGAACGTCACCGCACACATCCGGCACCTGGAGGATGGGTAAGAGAGAATGGTAAATGGTGGAAATGGAGAGAAACAGAGATATGCTGTTTAGAGATGAGGATATGTTGAATGGGGAATAAAATACAGGGTTAACTTGCGTAGCAAATGGTGAGAGTTAAGGAGTAAAAAGTATGTAAGCACAAAGCCTGTAATCTACCTGTATGATTTGGTGCCATCTTTGTTCCCATGCTCATCCTCATCATTTGATAAGTCATAATGGTCGGCATTGTGGTGCTATAAACAAACACAAAACAATGTTGTTTTTTTTTATAATCAACACTTTGCTTCACTAATCCTGAAGTAATGACACTACAATATGTAGCCTTAACACATTTTATCATTATGGATTGGATTGAATGGGGAGATGCAGTGTTCTAACCACAACGTAATACAGAAGATAACTTCTGTAGAGGCTTACATGCTGACCACACTGGCCGCGTTGCGGGCGCGAGCGTTGCAAAATAAATGTACACATGCATGTTATTCAATTATTTCATCCAAACTGCTCGCGCGCGTCAACGATCGTCTGCGTAGCCAGGCGCTAAAATAGAACTTGCTTCTATTTTAGAGGCTTGACGTGCCGCAAGTCCCGCCTCTCCCATTTTTAGGGGCATATATCCACATGGGTGATTGAAAGATGAACGAGGTCCACACTCCAGTCCAGTCGGTTGTAGTAATGCACCTTAAAGTTGGTTGCCAACAGCCATATAAAATCCACAGAAGAAGACTGAACAAGGAGAAATTACTAGAAACTAACTAGGTTTCCCCTTTTATCTGTGGATTGATTGTTGGAGTAGAGAACACATGATTTTGTGTCACTCAACATGGGTCAAAATTCTACAAAGATCCAGCAACAAAAAGGACCTTGTACATTTCAGGTAAAATAACAACCTAATGTTTATATCCCAGGACAAAATAGCAGCAACAGCAAGCTAGCTAGCTAAATGTCCATGAATGTTTCATTTGTGTTTCGACCTGTCCTCAAATTAGTTTTGATACTTCAACCTGCGTGTCCTGACCGCGTCTGGTGTGGATGGACAAAATCAACATGTACGCGATGCGGCACGCGGACGCACGCGCATGCCCGGGTAGTCAGCATGTTAGCTCTTATGTGACATCACTTAATATCTCAATCACCTGCCCCCCAGCAGCCAGGTGTGCCAGAATCAACGCATCACTTCCTGGGGGGAGGTTGGCGCCAGCCCTCGGCATCATCGACTTCTTCTTCCTGCCCCGCTTCCCAGGCGTTGGCATGACAACAGCAGGGATGACCAAATCCTCTTTCTTGTCTGAAACAGGGACATAAACAAGGGATGGAGGGAAGGGGAGAGAACGGAGGAGAAGAATAAGGCTCTGATTAAAACAGACCAAAAACCACACAACCTATCCCATGGGCCTCTCTGCTTGGTGAGTATCATCCAAAGCGGTGTCTCCTGGTATGCAATGGTGAAAGGAACAACGTGTGAGTGCTACATCACCCCATAACACAAAGGCATTTTAATATCTTCACCCATATACTGGAACACCTGACAGACTTCATCGCTGCAAAAATAATTGGTTACACTCAACTGCCTAATTGGACAGTGTTGCACAGCTACATAACTAAAAAAAAAAATGATTTCGCTTTTTAGAATGGGCCAGATACTGTCGTTTGTATGTTTTGGAAGTTAAGACAATGATTTTCATCAACTTTTGGATGATCACATTCATGGATGAAATTGCACCACCAGAGAACAGCGGCATATTCCAGATCACTCCCTTGGTCCTCCAGATCACTTCCTTGGACCATTAGTGGGGGTGCATCAGATCATATTCTTTGACTTTCAGATTGGGTTTTTGCAGTCAATATAACTCTATTGAACCATCAATAGGTCACAGATTTGATCATCTTCATAATATGTTGTGCTATTTATAGTGTGAGCTTAAATCTAAATAAAGTCTTCAGTAAAACACTACATCCAAGCATCCTGCACATTTAAAGACATTTTCTTTGCAGCTTATAACAGGGCTTACAGCAGCGTTTCCCAAACTAGGGGTTGCGGTGGGGTCGCCTGATTTGAACATGGGGTCGTGCTAACCTCTGGTAGCCGCTAGATGCGGTTGTATTAAACAGAGTGGTTTCTGTTTTCTTCCTACAAATGTGGCTTTATCTTTTGAATGGTTTAAGCTACAACATATTATGACCCCATCACTGAAAGATAAGACTCCACATGTGTGGATGTGTGTGTTATGTTTCCCTTTATAATGCCCACAAGCCACGCAGGACTCATTAGAGTAGAGAGGACGGGACCAGGCTCTAAATCAGACTGGGGGGAAAAAACATCATCAATTCTACACAGAAAATCATACAAAATTATTGCTTGATGATCTTCTGAACTTCCCAATACCTTTCGGATGCATTTCAGTCATTTCAAACGATACTTCCTTCAGATTGAAATACTGTCAAAAGTACTGTCAGACTGATTTGTTATAGACTGTCATAGCCCCAATTAAAAAAGTAAACATTGGCCGTTGATAAATAAAACAATTTAGATCAAAATAGGGTCGCGGGCTAAAAAGGTTTGGGAACCTCTGCCTTACAGTATCTCCGCACAGACAAGTAATTTAAAAAGCAACTCAACTGCACATCCAAACCAGGCTTCAAACAGTTCAGAGTGCAAGTAAACACAACCACAGGACTGGCCATGGGCTAAGGCTGCAGGGCGTTGCTGCTAAGCAGTAGGGATGGATGATGGCATATGGGGAGGAAGTAGGGGACTAGGTGAGGCAGGGTGGAGGGGAGACGGAGGTGGGTACTCACTGTGGCTGTAGAAGTAGAGAGAGGAGTGCTGGCTGCTCTCTGACAGAAACCGAGAGAAGAGGAGAACACACTCAACACACGGAGCTCACTACCTGGCTCGCTCCCTCGCTCTCTCACCGCAGAGGGTGGGGGAGTTGGATCCGGTCAAGGGTTAGTGGTTGGCTGCTGGCAGCGCGTTGCCAGGGTTAGCTCAAGCAGCAATGTGTGTGTTACCGTGTGTTTGTGTGTGTGTAATGCATGTCTGTGAGTGTTGAGGATGGAAGTTTGTGATAAAAAAAGACTAGAAGGTGGTGCCACCCTTGCTGGGTCAGCCCATATCAACTATGGGATTAAATAAAATAAAAAATAAATGCTCAAATGAATGTATGTCTGTATGTGAGTGTGTGAAAGTGAGTCTGCTTTGCTTGTTGATAAGCAAGGACAGGTTTGCAAGCCACTCAGGCACACAACCTATCACAGTGGGGGGGTAACAGGTTTTGGGGAACGGGGGAATGGGGTGGAGGTTTTACCTGTGTTTGTGGGGTGCAGTGCGGACACTATCATGGTGTTGGCAGGGGGTCCGGGCACGAAAGATTGTGTGGAGGTGGGTTGAGAAACCAGGGTGCCTTGGGGAGTGGTTATCACTAGCCCCGCTGAGAGGGAGAGAGAGACGGTGACCTGACTGCACCACACCCCTCCCAGAGAGAGCTGAGGCACACATTACACACTACACACACAATGAAATAGTGAGAACGTTTGAGAGACATCACTATAACATGATTAAGCCAGACAGAAACAGGGAGGAGACACACATAGAACAACCACAGAGGATAGCCAGACAAACGGACACTGGCAGTGTGTCTTGTTTACTTACCTGCCGTCATGATGCCGGTGGACTGGACAGGCACCACCGTGATATTCTGTGAGGTGTGCGGCTGGTGCAGGTGACCGCCTACGGCGTTCAATTGGACGCCACCGCCTCCACCTTCCTGTTTGGGCACCACCCGGCCTCCCGTGTCCATGGTGAGCACAGCGGTGGGATAGTGCGAGGAGTGAGGGAACGACGGAGAACCCTTATTGTCCGGACCCAACTGCTCCTTCATCTTGTTCAGGAACATGGCGTTTTCAATCTATAGTGGAGGGGGGAGGTGGATAGGAAAGGACGGGTGGAAAAGAGAAAGACAGGCAATAGAAAGAATGGTTGAGATGCCAAAAGGAAATGAGTAGAGGTGGTAGAGGTTGAAAAGGGAAGTGGAAGAGAGGGGGGGGCAGAAGTGATCATTTGGGGAGGCTCGTTGTTTTGTTACTTACACATAAATTACAGTGAATTTGATGTTTTGCCATCCTCACCAAAAGGTGCAAGCTCATTATTTGATAGTGCTACCTAACATGTATTATGTCTTTATTTGCGACACCACCATGTACATTTCAAGATAAGGTCCAGTAATAAGGTTTCTACCTGTCCTTGTACTGTGGGAACGGGAGACCAAAAGTATGATGAGTTGAAATGGGAATCTTCCATTATTTCTGTAATTGAAAAGCAACATAACTTATAAACACCTGCTCGATCTTCGTCATCAGTTGAAATGAGACCATGCCCATCTCAACTGATGTCTGGCCAAAGTTCTTGGTCTCTCGCAACTGCTAAGCATATCCAAGAAGTTGAGTTAAATAAATTAGTTTTGCTCAAGGGAATGGGGAACGTTGAACAATACAAATGCTGAACTAACACTGTTTTTCGTCACTGGCATGCATTTTGCCCACTGCCAATAGATTTAACTAAGATAGAGAGGAGTGAGCCATATTGATTGCAAGTCTCCATGGCCCCCGGACAGAGAGTGTTGCTGTTGGTCAGGATTGTAAATGTTACTGTTCACATACAAATACGTGCATGCAGAGCGCAGTAGTGGGAGTGTACAGAAAGAATGTTTCATCAATGGCTACTTATAACTTCTAGCACAGTCTACAGATGAGATCATAACAACAAAGAAGTATGGATACATTGTATTGAATGCATAATAGAATATTTAGCTGAAATATTTAAAATGCCATGCAACTCCCGGGAACCTACTAGCTAGCTTCTCTCACTGAGCTACATGGCTGGAGTGGGCACTCTAAATAGCAAGGAACAATGGCAAGTCTGTCATTGAAAACCATCCGGCTAGGTGTATAACGGGGAAGTTATTTATTGTAGCTTTGTAATTCAATACACCAGCAACAGAGAGGTGTCTGCTAAGCATTCTGATGGGGAATATTGAGTTATGTTAAGTTATAGTATTTCCTATCCCAGGCCAGGGCACACATAAGACAGCTTGCCAGGCAATGGGATAGCCACAACTACCTACAAGAAAACACTCGTCTACCCTTTCTTTTAGCTAAATGGCTGGTGGCAAGCTTGATAGACTGCTATTGATGTTAGCTAGTTAATTAGCTAGCAACAACAGAGGAGTGAAATCTGAGCTAGCTAGATAAATAGAAGCTAGCTAGCTCCTTGAGATTAGCTAGCTACAGTAGCTAACTTGCCTCCATTAATTTCAGCTTTTGTTAGCTAGCTTGCTACTATGCGGCCTATTTTTAAGTCGACAATAAACAAATACACTTCCGCTTGAAAACAACAATGTCACAACCCCTACACCTCCATCCCTCTCCGTGTTCCGTCACACTGAGAGAATTAAAAAAAAAAAACAGAGAAAAAAACGTCGACGCCAATGCCCCTGTGCGAGACGCAGTTTCATGCAGACTTCCGGCTGTCCAGACAGAGTGGAGTAGCAGCTCATATGAGTTGCTCTGTCACACAGAAATAATTAACGGTTGAGTAATAACTCGATGTTAATTACCGGTGTTGGCGATTCCCTCTCAACCCCGGGGCTCCCTCGGGTCGGGACAGTTCGGAAACTAAGTCTAAATCCACCCGAACCCTCAGAATCTCCGTTTTTTTTTTCCTCGATTTTTTTTCTTTGCCCCTCCTGTGGGTCTGCTCCGCTCTATACTTCCGGTGCCGAGAAATTGATTTCCGGTCTTTGGGGACCTGTACAGAACTATTTAAATTAATATGACCATATATTATATGATTATTTAGATGGATTTATGATGATATGGAATGTACTTGTTATTGTTGGTAGCCTAGTGGTAGCTTAGTGGTTAAGAGCGTTGTGCCAGTAACCGAAAGGTCGCTGGTTCTAATCCCCGAGCCGACTAGGTGAAAAATCTGTCGATGTGCCCTTGAGCAAGGCACTTAACCCTAATTGCTCCTGTAAGTCGCTCTGGATAAGAGCGTCTGCTAAATGAATAAAATGTAAATGTAAATGTAATGATGGCTGATACAGGTATGCCACAGTACAGGCAAAGAAAGGGGTTCCCAAACTGGGTCCCCGGGTCCAATTTCCAGCAAGGTGCAATACATTTTTTTAAAGAAATGAAGCTCCATCAGATATTGTTCCCCCATTATATTGTAGTGAATGTTTTTCCTGCTATGGCTTTACCGTTCCCTCAACTTGCTGGGTGTGTGTTAACTAACGTTACCTAGTTAGGACCCAGCTGGTCTTTGAGGCCTGTTATAGCTCCCTAACAACAGCTCGAAAAAGAATGTGATAGGAAGTGAAAAGTTGTTATGGGGTTTACGGGGTATCATAAACAATAGTATCTGATGGGGGAACATTATGGGTGAACAGTATTTGACAGGGAACAGTATATGATGAGAGAACAATGTATTTTAGGAACAGTAGGTTTTAATGAATGTGAAAATGTATATAATTTATGTATTTAATCCATAACATAATAATAATAATAATAATAATAATAATAATAATAATATTAATAATAATAATTGTAATCATCATCATAATAATTCATCAATTGGCAATGTGTTGTGGAAATATTTATCGGGGAAAAGCTAGATTTTAATGAATTCAAACAGAGAAGAAAAAATGGTTTACATAATATTTCAATTTGTTTGTTTTTGTTTTCTCTCACCTGCATCTTGACTGTATCTGACTCAAGTTTCATATTCAATTTGCTCATATTTAACTAAATATTGTTATTTTATAGAGCCACGCTGATGATTCCGAGCTATATTTCTATTCTATATTCGATATCATATTTAATTTCATTGATCCCCACCAGTGGTCAATGTTTCTCAATGATAGAAATGCGGAATATTGGCCATCCCCCAAATGACTATAATTTAAATTTGATTGGGTAGTAAGGCAAAAAGAAGGCGGGATTGTGTTTCCTATAACGCGATTGGTCTAAGGTCAACCAATTACCTTGGACGGTCACCAAAACGTTTCATTTGAAATTCAACGGCTGTTGTGTCTGCAGCAAAACCAGTGTGAATGCGCGTATTGGTAAGTAAATAATGCTAAACTAAAATGTATTGTTTATATGGTTGTAATCACGAAGAGTGGTTAAAATGAACGGCTGTTTGAATTTGGTTTTTCCTGCTATGGCTTTACCATAGCAGTGTGTGTTAACTAACGTTACCTAGTTAGGTTGGTTGGATAGTTAACAGTACAGTAGTTAACTTTAGTTAGCTAAGCCAGTTAATTTGAGTTACACTCCTGCCAACTTGCTATTGGTTTATTCACACAACTAAAGCATGGATTTCTAGCTACAATCTTTACAAAGTTGCGGTTTAATTCTACTTCACTTGGCTTACTAATGTTAACTGGCCAATGCTGGTTTATTTATAGCTAGCCCTATGTCATCCCATTGATTGATTTGTGGTTAACGTTACATGGTGCTCCCTCTGTTTCAGGTACACATTTAAGCCATATGAATAAGGAGGTGAGTGGGACTTCGATATACACTAACGTTATCAGTCAAAAGTTGACACACCTACTCATTCAAGGGTTTTTCTTTATTTTTTTACTATTTTTTTTACATTGTATAATAATAGGTAATACATCAAAACTATGAAATAACACATGGAATCATGTAGTAACCCAAAAAGTGTTAAACCAATCAAAATATATGTTATATTTGAGATTCTTCAAATAGCCACCCTTTGCCTTGATGACAGCTTTGCACACTCTCTTATCACTTTGTAACGTTAGATGATTTTTCCTTCACTAACCTCTGCAGAACACCTCCCGACTACCAGTCATGTCTGGTAAAAGAGTCCTCTCCACTAGCAAGCAGCAGTGAGAGTATAAACTCCTGCTCAGACCATCAACCTGCTCAGGTGTGTAAAAACCTTTTGCAAAACTAATACAGACACTGATGAACATGTTCAATTCCTTTAGAAATGCACCACAAACACAAGTTAGACGTGTTCTTCTGTTTCCAATATGTCCTTAATTGCCAGTAGTAAATGTGTTTTTCTCCTTTAGAAAAAGATGAGAAGGATTGATTCCGACCCAAAGATGAGACATGCAGCAAGTGTGACAGGAACAAAGAGGCCCCTTCCACCCAAGCGAGCTGTTGGTGAGTGTCCTCAAACACTTCAACGACTGGTTGGGCAATGTCATCACCTCTTGTTTTTAATAGTTTTAGCACTGTCTTTCTGTATTACCAGTATGTGTATCTCTTCTCTTAGCAGCCAAACTGATTCGGCCTACAGGAGCAGCCACTATAGCTGCTGGTCCCTCTAGAGGTGAGATGCTGTGTCATGAGAGATGTATATATGTGATATTAATAGCTAGCCTTGTAAGTCTGTCTTGTTTGGTAATATTTCTTCACAATGTTGTCTGACTTTTTTACCCCGACTAGGTTTTCAGAAGCCGCCCATTGCCTCTGTCACTAAAGCAGGTAGGTACCCTAGTCCCTTTTTTTTCACATGGTCCTTCCTTAATCACATTTTCTGTATATTGTATCCATAAAGATTATCTTCCATATCTTAAGACATGAGGGTGTTGAATGTGTTTCCCTAGCACCAACAGCAGCTGTTGGGGGTTCACGACGGCCTGCATGGGACCTGAAGGGAAAAGTTACCGACATGGAGGGCAAGATTTCTAACTACCAGAGCAAAGTCAAAACGGTGGCCCAGGAGAACGAGAGTCTGAAGGAGTCTGTAGCTAAAAGCAGACAGAAGGAAGCACAGATGACTTCAGACCTACAAGAACTCCACACACAGCTCAGGTACAGAGTGCCAAGGAACATGCATAGGGTTGACCATTATGTGAAAATAGGTGTAGTGTCATGGGAAAGGGCATTGTAACCACAGGAAAGAGTGACTTATTTTGCATAAGGAACGTCAAAGGAAATCATTGATTTAGCAAAACAAGTGGGCCTATAGCTGACATGATTTCTTGCCTTTCTTGAGTCCTAAACTAGTCATAACTTTATGCATGCATTTAGCCAGTAGTACTGTAATAATAACTTTTGGTCCTTCTGGTGTTTGCCAATCTTACCCAGTTTTACTGTGTTGCAGCCAGTATGAGCTGGAGCTGGCTGCCCTGTCTGGTGTCAAAGAGCAGCTGGCCATTGTGTCCAGTGAGAAGGCCTCCCTGGAGAAGACCTTATGCAACCTCACCGACGAGCACAAAGTTCTTCTGGGCTTGAGGGAGAGTTTGGAGGCTGAGCTTCACAGTGTGAAGGTAGAACATGTTCTCCCACAAGTGAAATGGCAGGCAGGCTTACTCATTGTGACAACGGATCACCTTGACTGCTGTGACATGAGATGAATGGTGTATAGCTGTATTGAATGAGGCAGGCTGGTTTTCTAACGTGCCTCTGCTCCTTGGTCAGTAATATCTAAGGAAGTCTGGCATAGCCCTTTGGTCCAGCCTCATTCAAACCCACTGCCATTACGGCTCGTCACCAGCCCCCATTGCAGCCCAAGATTTTGGTTTTAAGTGCATCAGTGTCTGACTTATCTCTTTCTACCAGACCCAGCTCTCTGTGCAGGCCTCCACTCTCTCCCGTTGCCAGACCACCCTGAGGGAGACCCAGGACGTGGTCCGCAACTTGGAGGAGACTGTGGCCCGCCAGACAGATGAGATTCACTGTGGAGAGATGGAACGCAGGGGGCTCCACAACGCAATCCAAGAGCTCAAGGCAAGGGGGGCCTTTCAGTAGGGGGAATGCTAAATTCCCTGAAGATATGATTGTATTGCATAAAATTAAATTATCTAGAGCCTATTGAATTAGTTTTTTCTTTATTATATTTCTGCTTCAAACATACTGTATGTTCTTGTTAGATAGGCCCCTGTCCATTGCAGCTCATGACAGAGGAACAAAAAGTTGCAATGTTCTTCTCAAACTAAGAAGACTTACCGCTCGCTCTCTTATTTCTATAGGGAAACATCAGAGTTTTCTGCAGAGTGCGCCCCCTGCAGACCGGCGGGCAGATTGACCATATTCAGCTCCTGGCCCACGACAACAAGGCTCTCACACTGGCCAAGACTGAAGAGGTAACAATCACACACCTGAAGCACAATCTTGAAATGGGTCATTGTTTAGGTAATTGTATGTTTTTCAGTGTGGTCCTCTAATCTTAAGTGTCAAAGATGGCAAAAAAATAATCACTTCCCCATTCCCACGTAGTCTCACATAGGGCGCTCCGGAGACACCCAAAAGAGCTACAACTTCAGCTTTGACCGGGTGTTTGGGCCCTCCATCCCACAGAAGGATGTGTTTGAGGAGATCTCCCTCCTGGTGCAGTCAGCCCTGGACGGCTACAACGTCTGCTGCTTCGCTTACGGCCAGACAGGCAGTGGCAAAACCTACACCATGGAGGGTGGTGAGATGGAGGACATGCGTGGGGTCATACCCCGGGCCGTTCAGCAGATCTTCCAGGCCTCCAAGAAACTGCGGGAGCAGGGATGGCAGGTACTGATGACGCCATTGGTTTTCATCAGTATGAGTGGTAGCTGAACATTTCTATTATAGTGAACAGGGAATTTGAACTCGTTGATTTGACATTTACTGTATCTATGTATTTCTGGTTTTCAGATCCGATTATACTGTATATTTCCCATTTGTTATTTAAGTGGAATGAGTTAAAGCTGGTGTAAATGCATGGTACTTGCAACATCAACCTTTTTTTGACTGGATTTCGGCAATTTTCCCCCCCAGTTTACATTTACTGCCAGTTTCGTTGAGATCTACAACGAAACTCTGCGTGATCTCCTCTACACTGGCAAGGCCAACAAGAGACCGGAGCATGAGATTCGCAAAAGCACCAACAACGAGATCACTGTCACCAATCTGACCTACCAGAAGGTCAACTCTGAGGATGAGGTGGGCATTTCCACACTCATTTTATCCTAAATTTGACTGTTAGACTTTCATTTTATTTGTACATTTTAGATTTAAAGGTAGACTCAGCGATATGACGTAGATGCAGAAAGTAAACTGCCTAGTAGGTAAATTTCCGCAACTAAGAGTGATGATGCGCTGTTTTGGTCCCGTGGCTACCACGTCGTAAAAGCGTGAAGCGAACCCGTGCACATGCACAGATACTGTGTGAAAGCAAAGTTGTGCATCTCGCTCATTGCAATATCTGCGGTGCTGCTTGAGGCAACATCGTTTCGCTGAGTCGACCTTTAAGTAATTTGGATGGCACTTATCCATAGACATAGCGAATTGTGTAGAATTGAAGTATAGGTATGTACAAATGCATACCAGTAAATGCATAATAATTACCTCAATAGTGCTACAGTAAAGGAATGATGCGAAGTAGCCTCTTTTTTTATTTATTTTTGTTGCCCATTTAGGACCTGAATTGTCCTACATGTCAAACACAGGGAGGTAGAGCAGTTGTCTGATAAACCTGTAGTGGTGGTTCAAATCCCTCTGCAATAAAGTATCCCCTATTCTATAGGCTAATCTAATGGGTCCATTTTTACCAATTGTCCATCCAGGTCTGCAACCTGATCGCACTGGCCAACCAGAACCGATCCACAGCCCGGACCAACATGAACGACCACTCCTCCCGCTCGCACTCGGTGTTCCAGCTTGACATTGGGGGCGAGAACTCTGGGAGAGATGTCAAGTGCAAATGTCTGCGTTTTGTACATCTGCAACTACACAAAGGCTGAGATGTTAAATGAGAACAAATAATAATCCTGTTGTCTGACCTGCATTCTGGTATGAGAATCCTGACTGTTTCTGTGTCTGTCTGCAGCCTCTCTGTGTTTGGTGGACCTGGCTGGCAGCGAGCGGGTGCAGAAGAGCCAATCCCAAGGGGACCGCTTCAAGGAGATGACAGCCATCAACGGCTCGTTGACCAACCTTGGGATTGTTATTGCCGCCCTGGCCAATAAGGTATATGTTTGCAGACCAATGCCTCTAGGCTAGTGGCTTGTTTATGGCGTTACGGGTGCTTTGTAAGTTATAGCTTGATTGCGTTCACTTACCCTCCCACTCTTTGTCTGTATTCCAGGAGAGCTTTATCCCGTACAGAAACTCAAAGCTGACTTACCTTCTCCAAAGCTGCCTCGGAGGAAACAGCAAGACGTAAGTTGAAGTTGGGTTATGAGTTTAAATGGAATTTGTGAGCAGATTAGTCTTGTTAATGGACTGTTATTTTAAGCTTGGGGTTGTGATTAGCGGATCAAAGTATGTAACATTTTGTCTCTGCTCTTCTAGCTTGATGTTTGTCAACATTTCCCCAGAGGCAGACAGCTTCCCGGAGACCCTGAACTCTCTGCGTTTTGCCAGCAAGGTCAGTGGCCTCACACTATTTAATTTTTTTAACACCACATACAATTCACTCAGGAACATGTTCATATGCTGTGCATATTTTGTTTAAATATCTGAAATAACAATGGCATATTTTTAACTGTTTATTTATTCTGTTGCAGGTGAATGATTGTGTTATTGGCACAGCATCAGCTAACCGGAAGTAAATGTGCATCCTGTAAGGGGAAATGTAAATTGACTGTGGTGTCTATACATTGAGATTTTTCAACGTATGCCTTTTTATTGGTGGCTTCATTTTATATTATTCATTTTTAATCAATTGGATCAATGTACAACAATCAATAAAAGCTCATTTTTTAAGTTGTTTGTCTTGTACTTCATCTGAGAGATGGATGTTTTCAGTAGTGTAGGGTAAACCCAGTTTACCCACCTTTTTAGTTTGCCCAACAATTTACCCACCATTTGCTGAAATGTTTTTAAGTATTTTTAAAAATCATTTGAGTTAATAAAGCTGTATACAAACATGGTCTCTTTTTTTGCTTTCTTGAGTAAGGCAGCTTCAAAATGCAGGTGTTTCAGCCTAGCTGAGTGCTTTGTGTGGGTAGGTGGGGCAGCCAGCAGAAAATACGGAGCGTAGGGATCACTACGTTGCTGCCAATCCAGCATGACTTCTGCCGCGTTCAAAACAACTGGAAACTCAGATAAAACTCGCTCCGACTGGGAAAATACGGAACATAATTGAGCGGTCATCCGACTCTGAATTCTAAGTCGGGATTTCGGGCCTCTTTCTAGAGCCCACAAGAAGGACCGCCGTGCCACCTTCTTGTTCAAGTGAGCACAGCACAACAAGGTGAGTCCAAAAATGTATTGTATTCTGCTGCATAAATGATGTAATATGCCAGGGAGATATGTATACTGTAGCTAAGAAAGTAGTACGAAGTGTATGTTGTGTAGTAAGCTGTTAGTAGCCCATGTGCCTCACCCTAATAATTTGGTCCCTTTCCTCCCTCATAACTTAGCCTACTGTTCTGACTTGGTGGTGCACATGTAGCCCATAGCCTGTTTTAGAGAAATGTAATCATCGAATATTGTAAGAGCTTTCATTGTCTGCTTGTATGCCCCCTTTATTTATCCTACGGTTCTGACTTTGTGTACAGGGAGAATACTGTAAGAACGGCCCGTGTTCTGAATTCTGTCCCTGTACATTTCAAAAGTGCTGAACAAATACATTTAGTTATTGACTACATCAGTCCTAGCTCGCTCATGAATGTCTTAAGCTAAATTATGGATTGCCTCTTATCCGCTCGTCGTTCCCTTATGCCATAGTTTGTACATCTCAATTGTCAGTCAAAACCACATTTTAAGCAAGTCAGCCATATCAGCTATGTTTTTCAAAAAGGCAGTAAATGAGGCTGAATGAACTGTTTTGCTGTCAGACAAGGCTCCGCTGATAGCCAGGTGTAGCAGTGGTAAGGATTCACTCCATGGTGCTGAAAAGAAAGCTCTGCTGTTGGTACAGCTTTATGTGGTCACCGTTATAGTGTAATGAATGTATTGTTTAGTGTTGTGTTGTGGGTTTGCTGGCATGCATATTTTTTAATCTTATTTTTTACAATTGTTTGCCCCACCAAGATTTACGTGCTAAAATCGCCCCTGCTAAAGAGAGAGGTTATTTGGTCTGATAATGTTGTATTCCAGATCTGTTGCAGAGGTTAAGCTGAAATACAATTTAATCAGAGAGGAAGAGGCGATGCCCCTAAATACGTTCAGAATAAGCCCAATGCATTTCTATGGGTTTAATATGCAGACCTAAGCTTGTCGCCTGCCTTCCCGCCTAGCGCAGAGATATGTGCATCCCATTATATACACAACAAAAATACAAACGCAACATGTGAAGTGTAGGTCCCATGTTTCATGAGCTGAAATAAAAGATCCTAGAAATGTTCCATATGCACAAAAAAGCTTATTTCTCTCAAATATTTGTGTACAAATTTGTTTACATCCCTGTTAGTGAGCATTTCTCCTTCGCCAAGATAATCCATCCACCTGACAGGTTTGGCATCTCAAGAAGCTGACTAAACAGCATGATCATTACACAGGTGCACCTTGTGCTGGGTACAATAAAAGGCCACTCTAAAATATGTAGTTTTGTCACACAACACAATGCCACAGATATCTCGTTTTGAGGCAGCATGCAATTGGCATGTTGACTGCAGGAATGTCCACCAGAGCTGTTGCCAGGGAATTTAATTTTCATTTCTCTATCATAAGCCACCTCCAACATCGTTTTAGAGAATTTGGCAGTACATCCAACCGGCCAGGTCATGTGGGCAAGTGGCTTGCTGATGTCAATGTTGTGAACAGAGTGCCCCGTGGTGGTGGGGTTATGGTATGGGCAGGCATAAACTATGGACAACAAACATAATAGCATTTTATTGATGGCAATTTGAATGCATCAAATCCTGAGGCCCATTGTCTTGCCATTCATCTGCCGCTATCACCTCATGTTTCAGCATGATAATGCACGGCCCCTGTACACAATTCATGAACGCTAAAAATGTCCCAGTTCTTCCATGGCCTGCATACTCACCAGATATGTCACCCATAGACCATGTTTGGGATTCTCTGGATTGACGTGTACGACTATGGAGGACTAAAAGTGCCACAATTAAATAAATAAATACACCATTAAATAATTACTTAAATGTGTCATTAATTAATTAAAATTAGAATTAAATACATAAATGTGTAATTAAATGTATCATTAATTAATTCAAATACCGATTCATTTTATGTAAAATACATATATAATTATTTCACTATTTACATTTACATTTCATGATCCTGCATTGCAGTGATTCATGAATTACTTAAAACTGTCAAACTGACCCATCAAAGTCAGTGGGCGGGGCTAACGCGAATCTAGTCTGATCCATTGCTTTGGTCTGAAGTAGAGTAGGCCAACCCGGATAGAGACAATGGAGGATCTCCGTGAACTTTCCAGGGAGTTGGTTAGAGACATTTTAAACTTAGCAGAGGATGTAGAAGCAGGACCTGCTGACCCAGAGCATGTAGCTAGTAAAGCAGAGGAACTTATTGAAGTTGTTGGAGTCATTTCCGCACTTTCCGACGAAGATATCGACCACAGAGTGATTGCAAATCTAGAAGAAGTTGTCCACCGCTTCTCTGGTACCAGGGCACTTCAGGCCCAACACACACAGGGACCGGGGCGTTTGGCGTTTGACATACCGAGTGCAGTTCTGGAGCATCAACTTCTTTGTGGAGTTCCCGCAGTTCAAATTGCAGCGATGTTCGGTGTGTCAAAGAGGACCATCAGGAGGCGCATGCAACAATACAGTTTAAGGTATTTACACTAAATTCATGAGTTTTCTGTTTATGAATTGCTGCTCTCATACACTCGGAAAGAATATGACGTTTAAGGTAACATTACTTGATGTTGTGTTTTTCTTGTTTGTACAGAAAGACAATCTCTATTCAGCTGTGAATGATGAGGAGTTAGACCGTATTGTAAGTGAAATTCACAGAAGTCATCCAAACACCGGCTACAAGCTAATGCGTGGTCACCTGAATGCAAGAGGTGTGCATGTTCCAAGTGAGTAGATAATAATATGGGCATTATTTAAATGTATTTTTAATTTGGAGCTCTGCCCCTTTGAAAGGTGAAGGAAGCCCGCTTATGGAAAGACATCGCCTCTGAGATGTAGAATGTGTAGAAGAAATGTGAAGAGAAACACACATTTCAGGACGGCTGACTTGTATCATCAGGATAGACATGTCCTGTGATTTTTAGCCTCCTGTTTAATAGAGGTGGAACAATATCTGACAGTAATATTCTCAGCTGTCCGGATGTGCCCCTGCTGTAAAGGGTATAATATAATCATAGAAAAGCAAAATATCATAGGAGGCAAAAAATCTCAGGTCATCTCTGTTCGAGCATGTGGTATCTATCTATCTATCTATCTATCTATCTATATATGTGTGTATATATATGTATATGTGTATATATATGTATATGTGTATATATATGTGTGTATGTATATATATATATATAAATATATGTATGTATGTATATGTATGTATGTATGTGTATATAGATACTTTAAATGAAACATTTACTATAGATTATTGTCTCTTTAAAATCTCCCGAGCTTTTAAAGATCAACCTGTGAGCTGTAGTTTCTACAGTGCATACTATGCAAAGCTGTATTATTTTAAAAAACTGAATAAGTAACATTTCATTTCTCACTGCCTTGGTGACCAAAAATAACAATCTTGTGTAAGGACATGTCAAACTAGTTTTAAGTACAAGACTGATTATGCTTGTCATCCATTCAGGTTCCTGAAGAATATGGGATCGATTGGAACGGACCTCACTGCCTTCATCGAGGCACTGTGTCAGTCCCCGAGGTTCAGCTGGCCCGTGAGCTCTCAGATGAAGAGGTTGCAATTTTGCCAGCTCCAGGAGTTTCTGTTACTGATGCACTTAGACTATATGTAGAGACTGTGGAAGTGTTATCAAGAATCTTAGACTGATGTCCAACCCATGTTTTTATTTGTTGTGTTAGAACAAGCAAGGAAAAACTGAAAGTTTACTTTCCTTTTAAAAGAAAGGAAAAAAAGCTGTTTCTTTGAAGCTTCCTGTCTCATTATGGTCCACAGAATGACTAACATGAATGCTGTACTGTTAGCACTGAAGGTGCAGAACAGTTTGATTTTAGTAAATGGAAGAAAAAAAAGTCAACTACTGCACAGTGTGTTAATGTTTTCAAAGACACTGAACTTGTGTCAATTCATCTGAACTGTGTATGCATTGACATTAGGGCTGGGCAATATGGAGAAAATCAAATATCACATTTTTGACCTAACACCTTGATGTCGATATTGCAACGATATTGTAAGGTTGACAATTGGTGCATTCACAAAATATCTTCCACATTTAGATTTCGGATAAATAACTATCATATTGTGGATATAATGACTAAGTGGTAAAAGGCAAATAATAGAACAGCTAGAACAGTCTGGTAAGTTCAGAAAATGACATCACTTTACTGTAATGCAGCCTTTGAAACCAGGAAAAGACTAAACTTACCATGTAACGATATTACACTTCTTCAAAATCTAATGGTGCTTTTCCATTACATGGTACCTACTCGCCTCGCCTCGCCGTCGTCAAACTTGGCACTGCACTTACTCGTGACCAGAGCAAGACACCTGTCAAGTTTGAAATCCATCGGACTAACTGAGAGACATGCGCTACAGACAGACATTTCTGCAATTTATAGATGGATTAACCTTCAAAAAATTAGTAAGATACTTACCAAGATCTAGACTGAATCCAAACTGGAGTTTGGATATGATTGTTGTCATAAAGTACCGCATCACTCCCTCTCCGATAGCAACATCACCTGAAATAAAATACTGATAATAACACTGGAAAAAAAGTGGCGGCCTAATACAGGTAACTGGATTTGGTAACATTTAACAAGAAAGGGAGAAAAACTTCTATTGGCTGTAATTCTAGAATAGCATCCTTAATATTGATTATTCCAGATAACAAGAGTATATTGTGCACAATATGCAATGAAAGTTCTGTTTAACCGTGTAACTAAACCAACGTAGAGGTGAATAGCGCCACCCAGTGTATTGGAATGTGTTCAGTAGCTCTGCATCAATCCATTATCCGGAATTGATTTGTCTTGGCTTGATGCAGAGGGTAACCAATCAGGCGTTAGGTTCCGCCTACCAACTTTTGATGGGTCAGTTTGACAGTTTTAAGTAATTCAGGAAGCACTCCAACGCAGGACCATGAAATGTAAATGTAAATAGTGAAATTATTATATATGTATTTTACATAAAATGAATCGGTATTTGAATTAATTAATGACACATTTAATAACACATTTATGTATTTAATTCTAATTTTAATTAATTAATGACACATTTAAGTAATTATTTAATGGTGTATTTATTTATTTAATTGTGGCACTTTTAGTCCTCCATAGCGTTGGAGTGCTTCCTGAATTACTTAAAACTGTCAAACTGACCCATCAAAAGTTGGTAGGCGGAACCTAACGCCTGATTGGTTACCCTCTGCATCAAGCCAAGACAAATCAATTCCGGATAATGTCAGCAGGTCCTGCTTCTACATCCTCTGCTAAGTTTAAAATGTCTCTAACCAACTCCCTGGAAAGTTCACGGAGATCCTCCATTGTCTCTATCCAGGTTGGCCTACTCTACTTCAGACCAAAGCAATGGATCAGACTAGATTCGCGTTAGCCCCGCCCACTGACTTTGATGGGTCAGTTTGACAGTTTTAAGTAATTCATGAATCACTGCAATGCAGGATCATGAAATGTAAATGTAAATAGTGAAATAATTATATATGTATTTTACATAAAATGAATCGGTATTTGAATTAATTAATGATACATTTAATTACACATTTATGTATTTAATTCTAATTTGAATTAATTAATGACACATTTAAGTAATTATTTAATGGTGTATTTATTTATTTAATTGTGGCACTTTTAGTCCTCCATATACGACAGTGTGTTCCAGTTCCCGCCAAATCTAGCAATTTCGCACAACCATTGAAGAGGAGTGGGATAACGTTCCACAGGCCACAAGCAACAGCCTGATCAAGTCTATGCATAGGAGATGTGTCATGCTGCATGAGGCAAATGGTCACACCAGATACTGACGGATTTTATGATCCAAGCTCCTGTTTTTTTTTAAGGTATCTGTGACCAACAGATGCATATCTGTATTCCCAGGCATGTGAAATCTATAGTTTTAGGGCCTAACGAATTTATTTGACTGATTTCCTTGAACTGTAACTTGGTAAAATCTTAGAAATTGTTGCATGTTGCGTTTATATTTTTGTCCAGTATACATCAGGTGAAATTAACTAACCTTTTTTTTTTTTTTACCACTTTCACTAAACGCCACAAGAGGTCGTATTAGCTTGGTTGCTATGCCACCTCCAGTGTCTAGTCGGTAGTCGAGACAACCCTGCTACTTTTTTAGTCGTCTGGTCTGTATGTCTGGCATTTCGTCAAAGGCGGCGCATGACGGGTTGTATGCAAAACATGATGGGAAACAAATCATACCTTCGGAAATGTATATGTAAACAACGGAGAGAGGGTAGCTTTCCGGGATAGAGAGTCTGGCTTTTCATAATTGTTTAAAAGGTGCACATTCTAAAACGGTAAGTTGTGTTTAGCTTGCTAGCTAAATACATTTTAGCAAGCTAACGTGAGCTAGTTACCAGTAGATAGACATTGAAGGCAGTTTATAGTTGTAGCTAAATGATGTTCTCATGATTAAAAGCTTGAAACTACCTATGCTTTTTAACACTGCCTTTTCAACGCATGTCCACCGGCGCAGACTGCTTACACACCAGCTTGTAGCTACTAGCTAGCTAGCTAGATTGGCTACAAATGCTAGCTGGTTAGAATTGATTGAATGCAAGCCTGTGCTAACCTAGCTAACTAATTGCATTGCAATCTGTTATTTTGCTATGCATGTGACAGAATAGAGACTACGTTTATTAATTGGTTACTGACAGTTTATTTGATTTATAGAACCAATCTGTAGGCTGTAACATTTCCCCAACAAAAAGGTGGTGTCTGTCATTCAGAGAAATTTGAGTCAATTATAATAAAGAATCGGTTATGATTTTTAAAGCTTAGTTTACATTAAAGGAGTCTTGACTGGTTGAGTGGCTACCTAGAGCAATTTCATATTACTGTTTCGGGAATGTGGTTGTACAATTTATTGTGTTAGGTATTAATAGGCACTAATAAAGGGTTCATCTCATGAAAACTGTTGCCTACTTGTAGGTAAATGAAAGGATATACACCATTCATCCACCACTTCATATAATGTGTCCTCTGATTTATTCTGTCACAAACTTAACTTTCCATCTCTTCAAAAGCCTAGATGCATTCTCTGTCAATGGGGCAGGGCTGTAGCAGCAGCAGCTTAGGTGCTCCCTCTGGCTCGGTGGTTCAGGTGTGCTTCCCCAGCTCCCAGGCGTCTGTACTGGACAGCCTGAACCGGCAGCGTGAGGAGGGCCAGCTCTGTGACCTCTCCATCCAGGTCCAGGGGAAGGTGTTCAACGCCCACCGCTGCGTGCTAGCTGCATCCTCACCCTACTTTCATGACCAGGTGTGTGTCTTGTTCTGCTTGCTGGCGCGTTGCATAGCCAGACTGAACTTAGTTTAACTCTGATAGTGTCTCATGTAGATGGTTTTCGTCCAAGGCCTATTGCACTATGCAACTTGCTGCACTGAAGTGAGAGTTGACATCGATAACTTTGATTCTGTGCATTGGGACGTCGCCAGCCATCATTAACTGTCTCTTCAACCCCACCAGGTGCTCTTGAAGAACATGTCCACCGTCTCCATCCCTGCCGTCATGGACCCGCTGGCGTTCGAGAGCGTCCTGAGCTGCGCCTACACGGGCCAGCTGCGCATGCTCCGCGAAGACATCGTCAACTACCTCACCGTGGGCAGCGTGCTGCAGATGTGGCACATCGTGGACAAGTGCACAGAGCTCCTAAAAGAGGGACGGGTTGTGGGGAGTGGGAGCGCAGCTCAGGGGGTCATTGGGGGAGCGCAGGGGAACCCTGGATGCAGTAGCAGTGAATGCTCCCTAGGGGCTGTGAGTGCTCAAGCAGGGGGAAGCAACACCCAGCCAGCCGCTCACCCTCTCAGCCGTCCATCCCTGAGTGAGAGCCAGTCTCCCAGCAGCACCAACTACTTCAGCCCCAGAGACGCCAACTTGGGAGGGGGAGCGGCGGCAGCTGGAGCTGCAGGGCAGGAAGGCGTGAACGCCACTCCCAGCTACTGCACCCCTTCTAGGGCCGAGGAAGCCTTTCTGATCGAAGAGGAGGATGAAGAAGAGGAAGAAGAGCTCCTGTACCATAGGAAGCGAGGGAGCAGCAGGAGGAAACGGACAACCTCTGTCTCGGACCAAGAGGTTGGAGTCAGCGACAGCTTCGGGGTGTCGTCCTACCAAGTCGGGGACGCCTCCCCTCTCCAGAAGCGACCCACCTACAGCCAGCCCAGCATCATGCCCCGGAAGCAGTGGGTGGTGGTGAAGACGGAGAGACCCCAGGACGATGACCTAATCGTGGTGTCAGGGGAGGAAGGGCCAGATGAGGAAGAGGAGAGAGATTTGGAGTTGGAGAGGGAGAGGACATTCAACATATCTAACATCAGGACTCTGTCTGGAGAGCTGAGTAGCAGAGCGGACCATGAGATGGAGACACAGGTTAGTCAAACCCTTGATGCGAAATGTTTGTCTGTGTCTCTGTGTATGTGGCTACTTACCATTCTAACTTATCAGGAGAACAACTGTCAGTTTCTGTATTTTTTTTTATCGTTACCAAACTGAATCACTTTCTCTCATAGATGGATTACTGCCAGTCTTCTGAAGACTACCTCAAGTTTGACAGTGGTTTGATGGACCAGACTCCCCCACAGCACCTTCATGACAGCGCTGGTCAGAGTGGTGGCAGAGCCATCTCTGCCCTACTAGGCCATGTCCAGTCTGCTGCTGCTGCTAGAGCTCAGCTCTTTCCCATAGACATGCAAGGCAACCAGATCCTCATGTACAGCCAATCCTCTTTAGACTCCTCTCAACCCATAGGAATAGGAGGTGGTATGGCTGTGGCACCATTTAAAGGGCCAAACCTGGAGCATGGAGCGGTCCATTTGTCAGCACAGGGGGGTTTGGGCGGTGGCATAGATGGACTGGATGGGGGTGGTGGCGGGAGTTCAGGGAAGGTGTTCATGTGCCACTGTGGAAAGACCTTCACCCACAAGAGCATGCGCGACCGCCACATCAACATGCACCTGGACCTGCGGCCCTTCAACTGCCCGGTCTGCGCCAAGAAGTTCAAGATGAAGCACCACCTGACAGAGCACATGAAGACCCACACGGGGCACAAGCCCTATGACTGCCACGGCTGCGGCAAGAAGTTCATGTGGCGTGACAGCTTCATGCGGCACCGCGCCCACTGCGAGAGACGTAGCGGGGCCGCTGGCAGGAGCGACGATGGGGAAGGGTCCGACCGCACTGATGGCATCTCCCCACAGCACCTCCCTCATCTCCACCTCTCGACCAGCGAGGCCGGTCAAGGTGCCGTTGGTGGCAGAAGTGGGATCTCCGTCTTGTCCCCACATCATTCCAGTACAGGTAGCAGCAGCAATGCTGTCTCTTGCCTGACCATGGCCAGTGCCGGAGCGCACTTAGGGGTAACCTCTCAGAGCATGTTGCAGGGTCAAGGTTCTGTGTTTGGTCTGGGGGTCAGCCAAGGTGGGTGTGAGGAGGAAGTGTGTGAGGTTGGTGATAATGATAGTGTCACTTGACCAAACGGGTGAACACCATTTGAGTGTTTAAGACAAGGGGCTTTGGAGAGGTATTCCAATGACCTCTGGAAAGTGCCCCCCTTTGGAAAATGGCTATGGACCATTTTACAGTTCAGTATACTCTTAAATGTCAAGTTTATTCTGTATGACTGTTTTGTGGCACATGCTATGTGTCTAGTAAGAAAACCAAAAATCAAGAGACAATGACTCACCAACAACACAATGTAAACTAGAAATAGAGAGGAAAGTTGCTGTTGTAAGTGATGTGTTCTACAATATTATAAGCCTTTTTCTGCCAGAGAATGAGTGCATTTCAAGTAAAAGTGTCTGTGAAGAAGACCCCTGCAGTACTGCCATTTTGTTTCACAGGATGTCCTTCCACACGGGTGATGTGTTCACTGTCCAATTCCAGTGCTATGGTACAGTATTATTGTAAATATATCCTATTATATCAGTTACTAATCTGCTACCATTATGATAGGTGCAAAGCTATACAGTGTATAGTGTGTTTACAAGTGATCCTCATTAACATTGATTGTAGTCTACAAAGCATTAGTCTGAGAATTGGGTTACTTACAGATCATTCTTTAATCAAACTGCCAAATTCCAATGCATGCCTTGAGAGACAGAGTACTATTAACAGTAGGGTGGCTAAACAAAGCAGTATCCACCATGATTATGTATGTTTTTACCAAGGTTTTACCTTCTATGAAGGTTGTGGCTATGATATTTTTATTCAGGAGAAAAACTTGTCTAGAGTTAAGAGAAAGACCTGTTGCTTTTAGTGTTTGTGTGCTTATCTGTTAAATCATGTGGTAGAATGTGTCTCATGATTGCAGCAGTTGAGGAAATTGCATTTGAAGTGAGCTTAAACTAATAGTGTATATAATGAAATATATTTATGTTTAGATAGTTCAATATTCCCTATTTGATAACTCTATGTAACACTAATTTATATACTTAATTTGACTGCCTTAATATAACATACAGTGGGCGAAGGGTCTGGAAATATTGACACCCTTGATAAAAATGACTGTATAAAATAAATTTAAATACTGAGCTATATTGTATGCAAAAAAAAAAGGGCAAATATTATTTTATACTAATACAATTGCTCAGAGAAAGATTTTGTTTAACAAGTAATATTTTTCTTCTAAGAAAGGTAGGGGTAAAATTATTGACATCCCTGTTTTCAATACCTTGCGAGGATAACTGCACTGAGCCTTTTTCTAAAATGTTTTATGAGATTGGAGAACATTGATATCCTTTGTCTGCGCTTATGAACTGCCCTTTTCAATTCAAACCACAGGTTTTCAATGGGTTTCAAATCCGGAGACTGGGGGTTGACTAAGGTCAACGTGGCATCATGAACTTGACCCAGTACCAGGACATTTTAGCCAAGAACCTGGTTGCCTCTGCCATGAGGAGGAAACTTCGCCTCAAGTGGATCTTCCAGTGAGACAATAACCCCAAGCACACATCAAAATCCACAAATAAATTGTTAATTGACCACAAAATCTACTTTTTGCAATGGCCATCTGTCTCCAGACTTGAAACCCATTGAAAACCTGTGGTTTGAATTGAAAAGGGCAGTTCATAAGCACAGACGAAGGATATCAAGGATCTGGAAAGATTCTTTATGGAGGAATGGTCTAAGATCCCTTCCAATGTGTTCTCCAATCTCATAAAACATTTTAGAAAAAGGCTCAATGCCATTATCCTCACAAGGTTGTCAATTTTTACCCCTACCTTTGAGGGAAAAAAAAGTTTTACTCATTAAACAAAATCTATTTCTCTGAGCAATTGTATTAGCATATAATATAGCTCGGTATTTGAATTATTTTATACAGTCATTTTTGCTCATCTTTATCAAGGGTGTCAATTTCAAACCCCACTGTATATAGAGATAAAGTGCTTTTGGTCAATAGTGAGTTTCGTATTGACTCCCTCCTCTTAATACTCAAGTTGGCTGCTATTTGTGTGATATTGAAAGGGAATTCCATTGACTGTATCAAGTTTTTACAGTATGGTTTCAATAGAGGACTGTTCAATAACTTGCCTGGCTGCATTTCATAGCATTTATGTCACATAATCACAGGATCACAACTTCATGTAGCACCTTTTCATCAGTTGATCTCAAAATGTGTACCATTGTATGAGGCTTAACAGCCAGTATCCAGTTGTCATCTTTATGGCCGGACAAATATATTTTTTCATAAAGGGAATATTGTGAGGGAAAATGTAGAAAGCTTGTAGCTACTGCAAACTAGGTCTGAAATATATTGTTATGTGTAACTTCTGAATAGTGCATATTTTGGGTTACATATTATTTGATATTGAACACATGATTGTTGTTGCACATGCGTGTGGAACCGGAGTTGTTGCCTAATGCTTTGATCACACCTACAGCATCATTGCGCAAAATTTTACGCAGCATCATCTGGATATGTGTGCAACAAAAGTTCAACATTCACCTTCTACCATTTCTGTCAAGCCGTCTACGCATACAATTTGTTGCATACGTTCGATAAATCCAACGTATGCACCACACAGAACGCACTGCCTCTGCAATGATGCAAGGCAAACAGGCGTTTCATTGGAAATGATTGTACTTCTGGTGTACCAAAACATGTCTTTCTTAGACATTGTTACTGTAGGCTAAGTACATTAATGTTATCATCTTTACTAATCTGTATCAAAGGGCAAAATAAAACAATACCTGGTGCAATTTAGCAAGCTGTGCCTTGTGCTTGTGTCAATGTGTGATCTATGTTAAAAAACTTTTCTTAAAGCCCTTCAGTTGTCTTTATACAGTCTTATACTAAGCTGGCCCCTCCCTAGATTTTGTGTTGAACGCTCGTCAACAAAGCTTTTTTAGTGGCCAGCAAGCTTTCTCTGCCCTTAACCTTGTTCTGAACACCTCCAAAACAAAAGGTTGTGGTTCGGTAAGAAGAATGCCCTCCCACCCACACCAGTGTGATTACTACCTCAGTTTAGAGCTTGAGGTAGTCACCTCATACAAGTACTTGGGAGTATGGCTAGATGATACTGTCCTTCTCTCAGCACATATCCAAGCTGAAGGCTAAGGTTAAATCTAGACTTGGTTTCCTCTATCGTAATCGCTCCTCTTTCACCCCAACTGCCAAACTAACCCTGATTCAGATGACCCTCCTACCCATGCTAGATTACGGAGACGTAATTTATAGATCAGCAGGTAAAGGTGCTCTCGAGCAGATAGATGTTCTTTACCATTCGGCCATCCGATTTGCCACCAATGCTTCTTATAGGACACATCACTGCATTCTATACGCCTCTGTAAACTGTCCGTCTCTGTATACCCAACGCAAGACCCACTGGTTAATGCTTATTTATAAAACCCTCTTAGGCCTCACTCCCCTCTGAGATACCTACTGCAGCCCTCATCCTCCACATACAACACCCGTTCTGTCAGTCACATTCTGTTAAAGGTCCCCAAAGCACACACATCCCTGGGTTGCTCCTCTTCTCAGTTCAATGCAGCTAGCGACTGGAACGAGCTGCAAAAAACACTCAAATCTACATTCAGACTGTCATGGACACTTACTGCCACGTGTAGCTGCTTTGCGTGATGTGTTGCCTCTACCTTAAAGTCCTTGTGTTTGTACCATGTGTTGCTACCATGTTGTGTTGTGTTGCTGCCATGTGTTGTCATCTTAGGTCTCTCTTTATGTAGTGTTGTCTCTTGTCGTGATATGTTTTGTCCTACATTTTTAATCCTCCATCCCCACAGGAGGCCTTCTGCCTCTTGGTAGGAACGTTATTGTAAATAAGAATTTGTTCTTAATTGGAAGTTCAATAAAGGTTCAATAAAATAAAGTGTTCCGTTAATTTCTGTAACCTGTTTTTGCATTTGTCACTTCTTGTTTTCCAAATGTACAATTCATGTTTTACTTTACCTTCTCCTATGCCTTTACCCACAAAACACTTGGGGAGTGTTCAGCTGGACAACGTTTTGGAACGTTCAGATAGAAATATGGTATGTAGAACAAACATGCATCTCTGACATGTAGAATAAGTAATAATGTTGGCTCTATTCGTGGCATATCTATCTGCCATGTTCAACAACGTTGGGCAACTGAACGTGGCCCTGGTGGAATGGCAATTGATAAAAGTGGTTCTTAAATAAATTATGTTAAAAGGACAACTTACCTAATTGCTTTAATGACGAGATTTACCACAAAGCACTAATTTATTATCAACGTTTATTTAAAGGAAATGTGATCTTTGCTTCTCAGTGTACTAAAAGGAAAATTAGATAACAATTAAGAGGCCTTCCTCTGTAATCTTATTGAATTGGTCAAAACATCGGAATCCAATCAAAGCTTCTTAGGGAGGTTTGAAAAATAATGAGTCTGATTAATCATTACCACTGTTTGGTCTCAAGCAAGAGGCGTTATGAACGTTCCTTTGATGCAAACCAACCCAAACACCAACCAGCTTACTACATGCTGAGATTGACTTCCCCTACAACAATACCCATCAGCCTGAACACACCTATTTCTGCAAAGTCAATGTGAACATTTCTTCAGGGAGTTATGCCTGCATAAAGTAGGACACTGCACTACATTTCACGTTAATGCAAAGCTGTACCTGGCCGTTTAGATCAATGCATCTGCTCAATTGTGTTCGTTTGGCATCTTGAACACAAATTGATGGCCAGTCTGCCACCTAGTTATGCTTGCATATTACTTGGGCGAAATAGCGGTGTTCAGGCCATTAGGTTGTACTATGTGGACACAGCAACACCAACCATACAACAAATGATCCATGATTGCCCTGACAAAGTTGATGTGTAGATCCTGTATTGGCTCTGTATAAATCTTAAGATACAGTACTCCTGTGTTCAGCTGGTTCATCTTCTATTGCCAGCATTCTAGAATACTAACACAGACACGCATTCATTCACCCACCCAAAATAATTGACAAAAAAATATAAACGGGTAAAATAATATCTAATTGAACTCATTTTTACAGCTAAAATACAAAAATAACCTGACGTGATGCTGCTCCCTCCTCACACAATCCAGACGCTGGGCAAAAATTGGCATATAAATACAAAATGTAAACATTGGTGGTAAACTACCACATCCATCGCCAGTTTCACTCTGTAATGAAAAGTTTGCTCTCTCCCGTCTGAAAATTTGTGCATTTTCAAGAGTTCACATTAGCAGGCACTGGTTTGGAAGTCAAGAGGCAGTGATGGGATGGCCTGGTCCCAGATCAGTTTGTGCAGCATAAACAGACCTGGTTCCAGGCTAGCAATGGGAAGCCTGGACACCCGGTAGGGTGGGGGCAGAGGTCATTCCGAGTCCGATAGGACGATCACTTCGTCCGGGTCACACTGGGTGGCCACGTTGACCTGAAAATGACATAAAATGGAAGTTGGTAAGAGGTTTGCATACTGTACACAAGTGACTACGCCACAAACATTTTTGGTGATATGTCATGGCAGCGGAGCTAGAGCACGACACACACAGAGGTGACAGATGTTTGGGGGTTTTAGAGGGGTGAGACATGTTTCAGTGCAAGGGTATGATATGCTGAGCATAAGTGGGGGAAAATGTATAGTGCCGTGATACTTAAACATCAGCAATCATCATTTACTCTCACCTTGTTTTTCTTGGGAGGCGGGGTGGACTGGGAACTGGTGACCATCTCCTGGGTGGGAGTGTCTGCCCTGGTGGAGTCCGCCTGCAGGGGGCTCCTGGTTTCCACACCAATGTCCAGAGGGAGGTCACGGTCACGGCAGATGGAGAGAGAGCTAATTCATTAATTCAAGTCTCCACATTTGAAGATGGATAGGTATGTTCCATGGATTTTTTTTACATCATTCATTTGGGTGCTACAGCCTTACCTCCCATTGTGGTGCCTTAGACCTCCGTTGTGAGTCTTCCTGGAGTCCACCTCTTCTTTCCTCTTTCTCTTCCTGCTTCTGGAGATTTTGGGACTGGGTGGCCGGGGGCTGCAATTCGCTGACCTCGTCTCAATGATGACCGTGCAGGAGTCCTCATTGGTCGAAATCAGCACCGGTGACGGCGGCAAAGAGACCTGATTTGCCGCCATGGGGGAGGCTGAGGAGTCCTTAGTTTCCACACTTGTGCTTACAGATACTGCTGAAACGTGATTGGAGGAAACAATGTTTTCCTTTGTCAGGTTGGTATTGGATGATTCGTTCCCCTTGTCTACCTCCATCGCCTCTGATTGGCTGGGGCTGTCTGTGGGGGATTCGTCGACTAAGGAGGAGATCCGTGGGGTGTCACCCCGGGAGACGGGGCTGGTTCCTCTCATCACAGAGTCTTTGTCCTCCTCAGCATTCTCTTCTTCCTCTCCTCCATCCTGGTCTACGTCACTCCCACCATCCACCTCGTTCTCACTCTCGTTTGCTGCCTCTACCTCATTGTTGTCCTCCTCCTCATCATCATCATCATCATCATCCTCTGAAAAAAAAGAAAACCCAAATCAGTTGAAACCAGATTTTTTATTTGATTTCTCCATGTTGTCGCCAAAACCCAGGATAAACCGGGTTCAAACACTGAATTTGAGAAAGGTGCTGTGTAAATGCTAATTATTATCCTCATCACCTGGCCCTGCTTGTGATTTGCTGGCCTGGATCTCCTCCTCGATGTCTGGATCGGACGACTCGTCATCTTCATCATCCTCTTCCTCAGCTTGTTCCTCACCATCCTCTCCCTTCTTCAGGGGATTGTCATCGGCTGTGGTGGCCTCCAGCTCAGATGACTGACCCTTCCATTGACACACACACAGAAAAGACAGACAGTGAGTGGTGACAGATACAGTAATTTTATGTAAATAAATACCATGTATTTTCAAAGCAGATGTGGAAAAGCTTTGGCTGATTATAACAGGTGAGAATTACACAAAATTGTTCAATCTCCAGTCATTTCAAAAATTAAATTGTCTCCTTCAAACCTACCTCTTTCTTCTGCCTCTCTCTCTCTATCCGTTTACTCCTCTCCTCCTCCTCCGTGTCGTCCTGCTTCAGGGCGTATTTGGAGATGACCTGCTCCAGGCTGGAGAGAGCCACCTCCCGGTTAGAGCGCAGCTTACGGGCCAACGTGGGGTCCAACAGGGCAGGGTCAGTGGCTGGTAAGAGCGGGGAAAATGAAAGATGGGGAAAAAAGAGGAAGTGTGAGAGTTAGTGACTTCGTAGTCAATTTTCCTAAATAGTTTCCACACGTTCGACCTGATATCCACAAAGCAGCATACTGGTGTCACTGTGTAATTGTGTCAATTACCAGGTTTTCACAGCTTGGTGAAGTGTGTAATAGTGATTGGGGGGGTATGGGGAGGGGGGGGTAGTTACATATCGGGATATTATTTTTGACGATATTTGTATCATTTTGACAATATCACAATATTATTTTTCCTCTAGTTTGCTGTACCTGCACCAAAACTCCAGTATGTTTCCTTCATAGCTTGTTCTCCATATTATTTTTAAATGGGGAGCAAATTTATTTTCAGCACTTTTATTTCCATGACTGATCAAAACTTGTTCTAATGGCTCGGTCTTGTCCCTCTGCAGCAGACATATGGTGAGCAATATGTTTGGAACATTGAATCGCAATAAAATCACAGTATTGAATCGCAATACATATAGAATTGTGAGAATCACAATACATATCGTATCGGCACCTCAGTATGGTGATAATAATGTATCATGTCGTGAGGTCCATGGCAATTCCAAGCCCTAGTGTGTAATTTCTCTTTATTCTTACACACAGAAAGACAGACGTCAGACAGACGGAAACACACAGCTCCAACCAGGAATGTAGAGGTGTGTGTTCTACGTTCTCTTACCTGGTTTGTAGAGGTCTGTGAGATGCGAGCCGAAGTTGTAGACCATGTCAAGGTGGCGTCTCTCCTGCAGGCGGTTGCCAGTCTCGCGGAAGGCATCCTGAGCAATCTGGGTCAGCTGCTTCCTGCTGAGGTTGAGGCCGTGGCGCTCGTTGGCCCGACGGATATGCTGCAGGATGTCTGTGTAGTCGGGTGGATTCAGCTGGGCCTCGGGACTGTTGATGAAACGCTCAATCTGCGGGTGGGAGTGGAAGAGCAGGATGAGGAGGGGTCAGAGTGTTCTGGATCATCATGAGCAAAACACAAAAGGACAGCCAAATCAATTGCTAGAAACACAAGCATTTCGCTACACCCGCAATAACATCGGCTAAATATGTGTATGCGAACAATAACATTTGATTTAGATTTGAATGTTTTGTTATTGTTTTCATGCATTTATTACCTATTTATTCCTTGATTTCGCTCATACTGGGGTTAGATTTTAAATTTCATTTCATCCATAGTCTATATAACATAAATAAGCAGTGGTCAAAAAGCATTGGGTTGTCAATAAACAATGAGTTGGTTGATTATGTCATGTGTTAGTTACCTTTCTGTTGACCTCAGGGTAGCGTGTCCCATTGTATTGGATCCTCTGCTCGATCACTCGGCCTGTCAGACTGCTGCAGCCCTTCAGCTCACAGAGCTTATCATAGATCTTCATCATCTGTGAGAGAGAGAGAAAGAGAGAGAAAGGAGAGGTTTTCAGTGGCTCAAAAAACATGATACTTCTATCTATCAAAGTCATGTACAGTTAACAAATTTAGTATGTGGCTCATGCAGGAATCAAACCCACAGCTCTGGTGTTACAAGCGTCACACCCCAACCAACTGAGCCATTGGAACCAATAGGCCTTGGTGTCCTGACCTTGCGTTTGAGCTTGTGCTCCTGGATGTAGCTGGAGTCCTCCTCCTCCAGCTCATTGACACTCAGCTCCTTCTCCTGCAGCCGCCGGATCTCATCATTGTACATCTTCAGCAGGTTCTCCAGGTATGCAATCTGAGAGAGAGCGAGAGGAGAGAGAGAAGAGAGCGAGAGAGAGAGAGATGAAGATATGCCTGGCACATTCCTCCTTATGATGATGAACTATCTGATGCAAAATATTACAGTAATCTACACCAAATTCAATGCTTTTAAACCCTTGTGGGAGACCAAGTGCACACTTTGGGCAGAAGAGGAAGGGGGATAAAGCTATAGAGAAGTCATGGACACTGTCCATTCTTGGTGCTGCTGACCTGTCTCCGGGAAGCCTTCTTCATCTTCTTCTCCTTCTCTTCCTCCTCCTCCTCCTGCTGCCCCGAGGTAGACGGTAGCTCCTCCTTCGGTGCCTCCTCTTCCATCGCCTTCTTCTCCCCGGCGGTAGGCTTCACCTTCAAGACAGTCTGCCTCCTCTTGTCTGAGTGCTGTTTGAGGACGGTGCACAGCTCGTTGATGTAGACAAAGGTCTTGGTGCGGCGGGCCTGGGCGCGTGTCAGGCAGCGGCCCAGCGTGTTGCGGAACTCCACCGAGGCCAGGAAGTCCGGTGAGGCCTTGGAGTGCTTGGCGTGCAAGAAGGTCATGACCTCGGGGCAGTCCTGTGTGTGGGCCGAGCAGTACTCTACAAACTGAACAAAGCGAGGGAGGGGAGTGAACGAGGGAGAAGGGTTTAGAAGAGTGTTCTTCAATCTTTGCACTGGGAGGGGGGGGACACAGGGTTGGTGCAGACTTTTGTTCCAGCTCAATACAAGGGCTTAACGATTAGTGGATTAGTTATAATCAGGTGTGTTAGTGCTGGGATGGAGCAAAAGCCTGCAAAACTATGGGATTTGAAAAACACTGATTAAGAGTGATGTGGGAAGGCCCCAATTCGAAAGGGTCACGCACCAATTCATTATGATTTCAGTGATCTGACATGATCGCGATGGACTAATAGCCTGCAAAGACTCATAGCCACAGCCGTAGTTGTGCTTGCCAGTGTTGCAGCTCCACTGACATATTTGTAGTGTGACTGTACCAAACATCTCCACCATCCATTCATCCATCCATCCATCCATCCATCCATGTACCCTCTTACCTCAGTAAAGAGCTTCTGGTTCTCTGCTTTAAGAACATGGCTTTCTTTCTTCGCCGTGGCGAAAGGAGATTGGGTGATGTGAGTAGGAGCGGGCTGTTGGATTTTAGGGGGAGTACGATGATTGGCTGAGAGTTTAGAGGACGTGGAGGAAGAGGGCTGAGGCCTCTCCTCTTCCTCATCATCATCATCAAGGATTACAATGCTGTCCATCACTGCTGCTGAGGCAACCGCCATCAGAAAGGGACTATTCTTTGCTGAGGGAAGGCAAAAGTAACAGTATCAAAATGATGCCTTGGGAAAATTCAAAAGTAACATACCACTGTTATGCCATCTGAAACATAGGCCTATAGTCTGCTCTGTTCAGTGGCTCATAGCTCAAATAAGGTGGTGTTGGTTTAGTGAGTCTATCCAATACACTACGCCCTTCAAAGTTGTTATATTTATGGTCAACCATTTTAACAATACGAGAATGACACAGGATCAGGCACAAACACCACTGCTACCTATTTTCCATTGTAAACTCCACCCCTGTCCTTTTTCACAAGCACGAATCAAAACAAATATTATAACAACAAACATTGTTTGTACTTTGTAGGCTTATCAACAACGAAAACAGACACGGGCCACCAGTTCATACAGTAACCTTAGCTAGCAAGCTAGGCTAACATCAGGGAACTCTTGCTAACTAGTTAATTACTAAGTATTTATTTGATTAAACGAGATGGAGCTGATTGAAACTTCTGTCAGGAAAATACCACATTTACTAGATTGTTTACTGCAAAAACACTCCAAAAACCATTGTTGTGTTTGTTGTTTCCTTGTTGGCTAGCTAGCTAGCGTGCTAACGTAAGTTAGCAACAAGCTAACGTTAGCTGGCTGGTTAAGAAAGCGCCAACCTCTCTGGGTAAAATGGTAGGGGTATGACAAAGACAACATGTAAACAAATAATTTTACTAGCTTTACGTATGAAATGCAGATGTATATAATATAGCTACTGTTTTAAGACAGTGGTTAGACGGTTAGCTATGCACAAAACAATGATAGTCAACTTACGCGCTTGATACCGAAATTTCTCCCCCCGAGGAGCTCGGGAACATTCAAGCCTACCATTGGTTGTTGGCTGATTGTCGCTCAGTAACATCGTCGATCATTGGCTATTCACTTTACTCTAGTTTCACATGTCAGGTGTTTTGTCCAAATTGTCTACATTTGCCGGTGAGCTTTTTTAAAGCTGTATATGTCACTTTTTTGGCGACCCGAACTAATTCACATATAAATGTGCGTTATGGACCTGTCATTCTTCATTGAAAGCAAGTTTAAGAAGTGCTAGATCTGTTCTATGTGCTCTATTTCTATGCTTCTCGTTCTTAAGTTTTTGAGTCTTTTACTTTCGGTTTTGTACACCAGCTTCAAACAGCTGAAAATACAAACAAAATTGTTATGGAAAATATATTTCACAACGGTTTACAGTAGATGGTAAAATGATTTTCTACACTATACTTGCTTGTTTTATCACATAAACTGAAACTATTAGAATTTTAGCAACCAGGAAATGGCGGAGCGATTTCTGCATAGGGCATTTACCTTAAACAATTTGTTATTTTGTGTTTCTGAGACTCATAAGATAAATATTAATAGCATTAACATAAAAAATAATAATGTGTATTTAATTTGGGATCAGGGATTAGGCGAATACAGTTGCGCTCCTTGCAATTGAGAGTACATCCATATGGTAAAACTAGCCAATAACTCAACTCGACGATTTACGATGGAGTTGAGCAGCGACGAGAGTGGGCTAACTGCACTTGTCACTCTATACTTATAAAAATGTCCATTCTTTCATGCCTACCTTGTGACTATGTTCGTCCTGTGTATCAGCGTTCTTTTATTTGGATGCTGCAAAAAATGAGTGTTTTACGCGACCTCTGCCAAGGGAGCCATTGTTTTAACAGAGAAGGAGAAACCGGTCATTCAACTGTATAACTTTTTGTTTTGGCAGGGGATGCATAGTCTATAAGGCATTTTTTTTTTTTTTAAATAAAAAACGATGGATTCAAAATCTAACTGACAACTCTATAACAATCATGAAAAGCACAGAAACACAGTAAGCATTCAATAATGGATATTGATAAAAGTATGGAGTGGTAGTACGTGCTTAAAGTAACTTCCTACTCCATTGAAAAACAGTGGATATGGGGTGCAGTTTGACAGACGTCATATAAAACGGTACTTTTATTTTAAAAAACGATGGATTACAGCACCAAAGAAAATAACACAGTGACACAGGACAAACATGTACAGGGTAGGCATTAAAGAATGGACATTTTTACAAGTATCGACCGACTGAGGCTTAATGTACACACTCGTTGCTGCTCAACTCCATTGTAAGTCGTGGAGTTGAGTTTAGTCAGCTAGGTTAAAACCAAAGAAAAACCTCAAGTACAGTTGAAGTCGGAAGTTTACATACACCTTAGCCAAATACATTTAAACTCAGTTTTTCACAATTACTGACATTTAATCCTAGTAAGAATTCCCTGTCTTAGGTCAGTTAGGATCACCACTTTATTTTAAGAATGTGAAATGTCAGAATAATAGTAGAGAATGATTTATTTCAGCTTTTATTTCTTTCATCACATTCCCAGTGGGTCAGAAGTTTACATACACTCAATTAGTATTTGGTAGCATTGCCTTTGAATTGTTAAACTTGGGTCAAACATTTCGGGTAGCCTTCCACAAGCTTCCCACAATAAGTTGGGTGAATTTTGGCCCATTCCTCCTGACAGAGCTGGTGTAACTGAGTCAGGTTTGTAGGCCTCCTTGCTCACACACGCTTTTTCAGTTCTGCCCACACATTTTCTATAGGATTGAGGTCAGGGCTTTGTGATGGCCACTCCAATACCTTGACTGTTGTCCTTAAGCCATTTTGCCACAACTTTGGAAGTATGCTTGGGGTCATTGTCCATTTGGGGTAGACCCATTTGCGACCAAGCTTTAACTTCCTGACTGATGTCTTGAGATGTTGCTTCAATATATCCACATAATTTTCCTTCCTCGTGATGCCATCTATTTTGTGAAGTGCACCAGTCCCTCCTGCAGCAAAGCACCCCCACAGCATGATGCTGCCACCCCCGTTCTTCATGGTTGAGATAGTGTTCTTCGGCTTGCAAGCTTTCCCCTTTTCCTCCAAACATAACGATGGTCATTATGGGCAAACAGTTCTATATTTGTTTCATCAGACCAGAGGACATTTCTCCAAAAAGTACGATCTTTGTCCTCATGTGCAGTTGCAAACCGTAGTCTGGCTTTTTTATGGCGGTTTTGGAGCAGTGGCTTCTTCCTTGCTGAGCGGCCTTTCAGGTTATGTCAATATACGACTCGTTTCACTGTGGATATAGATACTTTGTACCTGTTTCCTCCAGCATCTTCACAAGGTCCTTTGCTGTTGTTCTGGGATTGATTTGCACTTTTCACACCAAAGTATGTTCATCTCTAGGAGACAGAACGCGTCTCCTTCCTGAGCGGTATGACGGCTGCGTGGTCCCATGGTGTTTATACTTGCATACTATTGTTTGTACAGATGAACGTGGTACCTTCAGGCGTTTTGAAATTGCTCCCAAGGATGAACCAGACTTGTGGAGGTCTACCATTTTTTTCTGAGATCTTGGCTGATTTCTTTTCATTTTCCCATGATGTCAAGCAAAGAGGCACTGAGTTTGAAGGTAGGCCTTGAAATACATCCACAGGTACACCTCCAATTGACTCAAATGATGTCAATTAGCCTATCAGAAGCTTCTAAAGCCATGACATAATTTTCTGGAATTTTCCAAGCTGTTTAAAGGCACAGTCAATTTGGTGTATGTAAACGTCTGACTTACTGGAATAGTGATACACTGAATTATAGGTGAAATAATCTGTCTGTAAACAATTGTTGGAAAAATTACTTGTGTCGTGCACAAAGTAGATGTCCTAACCGACTTGCCAAAAGTATAGTTTATTAACAAGACATTTGTGGAGTGGTTGAAAAACGAGTTTTAATGACTCCAACCTAAGTGTATGTAAACTTCCGACTTCAACTGTAAGTCATTTTCATTGTCAAGTTGTGTGGAAGCAGAAGCACCCCTATTCAAAAGATCCTAGGATTTTCATATGATAAGTACTCCTTATCAACTTATCACATGACCAATAACACAAATTATAACATCTGCTAAACACGTGTTTGTGACAAATAAAATTTGATTTGAAATTAAACAACGTGGGAAACTGTTTTGAAGATGAAGAATTTATTACATCCCATCACAAATAGTCCTCATTTGCTCAAAATTGTTGCTCATTCCTGGCAAATACACTAATCTAACAGTTCTGATATGGTGGTAGGAACATCAATAACAAAACAACAATTCACTGTAGCCTATACCGTCTATACAAGGCAAGATCAAATTAAATATTACCCAAAACAAAACAAAATGAAAACAATATATAAACACACTCCAGGGAATTACTAATTTTCTGATGAAAAAAAAAATGATATTCCAATTTAAAAGATTTTGTCTTATATTCACCTTCAGAATCCATAAAAAAACTAATAATGACAGGGTTCAATCACAAAACACAAAATGATCTACATCCACATGTACACACAATCTTTTTACACACGCTCTTGAGTTCTTCTAGAGATGAATTCACAGTTGTAATGTCAATATTTAAATCAGTCGCCTATTAAAATATTTTTCTCCCCTGACCCCTTGTTAGATCATTCATTTTCAACTGCGGTCAGAAACTCAATATCTTCTTTCCATGTACCACCTTCCACAAACGGTACACTTATATTCCTGAAATTCCAGCTTTGTTGGTTCCATTACACACTCACCTGGGAATCCCAGGTGTTTACACATTTACTTCACTTTCTGTAATTGAGAGAGGATAAGGATGAGCCCAATGTGTATAAACTAACAAAACAGACAATGGGAGAAATCCAAGGACCTAATTCAAAATGTACTAATACATAAAACATAATGTAATCATATTACATAGTAATCCAGGGGCTGGAGTTTTAACTAGAGGGGTACAGCTTGAGATAAAACAAATTTGGGCAAGACAGTGTTAGCTGGGAAATATACATAGATACACAGTAGTTACATTTAACTACAAAATATGTCTGACAACATTAACGAAAGCGCAATTACCTTCTCTTGTGAGTTAGTATCATCGGACCCTATAAAGGCAAGAAAAGGTCAAGCATTAGATTGACACACAAGATCCAAATTCATTCTTTAGATGGAAACAGTAACTTTATGGCTTCAACATATTTCTTTGTGTATCTTAGTTCAAACCGATTGTAGTTACCAGAGCTAAATGTCCAGGAGACGATCTTGATCAAACCATAGAGCCCCAGGGCCACGGCAACCATCGCCATAGAGTCCTCAATAGAGGGACCACTTACACCTGATTGGGGTGAGGAGATAGGGAGTAAATTTAAGACATACTCAGGATAAGTTGTGTTGTGTCAAGTCCAATTTATTTGGCTTTTCAGATCAATGTAACTGCATATCAGAAATTATACTGGTAGGCCTAGAGACACTGCTATATGGACCCATGTATTGCCCCTAACCACAGATTACCTTACCCCAATCCTAACCTTTACCTTTACAGGGATATAAATTTCTGGCTCTGAATCAGTGGACCCAGGGGCAACATCCATCAACTCAATGCAGTTCTATTAAATGATCTCTCACCAATGACATTGAGGGTGACGCTGGCCCGCCGGGTGCCTCCAGGGTGGACGGCCACACAGGTGACCTTCCCTCCACGGCCAAGGTCCAGCTTGGCTGAGTCTAACTCCAGACGAGTGGTCTGGCTGTAGGTGTTGTCTGGGCCCTGCCTGTGGCCTGTCACGCTGCCCTGACCCAGGGGCCTGACCCTACCGTCCAGCCCTGTTAACTCCCAGTGGAACTCCAGGGAGAGGGGGGAGAATCCTGACGCCTCGCATTGCACCTTCACCACCTGTCCAGGCACGGAGAGAGGGAGTGGGGAGGGGAAGATGGAGAGGGACGGCGGCTCTGGGAGAGATAGAGGGAGAAATAGGAGTGAGAGAATGAGGTAAGAGAGGATGATACACACGTATGGCATGTATTCTAATGTCATTTAGTTGACCATGACATACCATTATAAGAATGTACAGTATATGGAGTTACAGTAGTTATTTCAGTGAATATACTATACATGTAAATACATAGGGGTTGAGATTCTACCAAACAGTTCTAAAACAAACATTGTAATGCTTTAGTATTGGCAGACTAATCAAGCATATTCATCTCTCCTCACCTACAATCTCCAGCTCCACAGCCACCTGAGCCAGGAGATAGGGCAAGTACACCGTACAGATGTAGGTTCCTGTGTGGCGCACTTGAGCTTCCTGCAGGATCAGTGATGCATTTCCTGTCTCGTGCAGAGCCGTGAAGTCTAGCCCCGCTCCCTCTTCCTGGGTCTCGGCAAATCGGTCACTCTTACCGTCGTAGGCCAGGACCAGACGGCCATCGCCCCTGAACTGGTAGCGCCACTCCACAGCGAAGCCAGAGACAGAGAGAGGAGAAGTGTCCTCCATCCAGAACCCACAGTCTAGAACCACCGGTTCCCCGAGTCTGGAACGGACCAAGGGCGTTCTACTGGACACACTGAGCACCACTGGGAGAGAGAGAGGGGTAGGAGAGAGACATTACACTTTTACACTACTTTATCTGTGACATTACGTAGTAATAAACATCACTGGTTTTTATACTTCTTTCTTCATGGCGTATGACAAATTCATTTCAATTACGGTTAATAATAAGTCATTATCACTGTGGTGTTGGTAACTGTATGCAATTTTGATTAGAAGTCCATCTTTATCACTTGTAATGGTTAAATACAACAATCTGTCTGACTTTTACAACCCTTGCTCAAGAAGAATGTCATTCCTTTTCAATCATAGGGCTTTTTACCAGCGGGTTCCTTGGTTGCCGTGGGAGCACGCATGACACTGGACAGGCCCAGCTGTCTGTCAAGGCCCTGCAAGGCGGCAGAGTACCAGTCAGCTTGTAGGTAGATAGGACTGTGGGCAGAGTCAGTGAGTGGGACTGCCCATTGGACGGTGGAGGGTTGGGGCATGAAGGGGTTGATCTCGCACTGTGGCTTATGGACTGAGCCCTCTGGTGGGTGCAGAGAGGAACTGCAGAGGGTGGCTGCTGGGTCTGATGAGAGAGAGGGGGAGATTTGTCTATAGAAGTTATCCTTTCAATTAAATAAAATGTATTTTTCTGAAAAGCTCTGCCTAAAATGACAACACTCTTGTAGTCTTGTATAATTTAAATTAGAGGCTTGGTGTTAGAAGATGGCGAATTGTTGGGCTGTAACACCAAATTGACTGACTGCACCTTTATCAGCCACTGGTTTGTCACTCAAATCTGTCATAGTTTCTAGAGATTGTCCTATTTAATGTATAATGATAAGTACTGACCAGTGATGTAGTAGACTCTATCATGGTTGATGTCTGCAGATGGTCCCTGCTGTGACTTGGTTTCTTCACTCTCTGGGTCTGTATTGATATACAGTAGTGACTTCTCCTGCATCATTGCAGCAGGGAATCCCCCACCTCGACCTGGTTTCTCCTGGACAAACCAGCACTCCAGAACTGGACAGCTTGTCCCATAGACTGGAAGAGAGAAGCATGAGAAAGTTGTATTAATATGTTGTGTTAATAATATGTGAGACCAGCAATGTGGATAGCTGAGAAGATGTAAACTACTGTATATTAGCTTAGTAAGAATGGATATGAAAAGGCAATCAAAAGACCAAATAGAGATGCTTAGTATTCAGACAGTGAAAACAAAAATACTCTAAGTTTACTCTATTACTGTAAATCTCTATTATTGACCTGTAATAAATAAAAATACAATTGCATGCGTATGAATGCATATATGATGTATGCTTGTTTATGTGTGGCTGTCATTTCACACAATGATCTAAATGTCTAAGCTACAAAGTAACAAAGTATCACAGGTGAATACAGTTGAAGTAGATACAGAGCAGCAGTTGTTTCAAATTGTATCACATATTAAACATGTTCAATATTCCTCAATATTTAAAAAACAAAAAAGCTACACAGATGCTGGAGAGTTGAAAGGAAATACAGTAAGAAAAGTCGACAATTTTACCGTGTATGAAGTAAGTAAAGGCTAGAAACGATAGCTTGTAAATTGTTGAAATATTGGCCATGGTTGTCTTCGAAAGTGTCACCGACTGTTCTGGTGTAGTTAGAAGTTGTTAAAAAGCATGGAGAAATATGATTTTGTCGTCGGACTTCCCCTGCAGCCTGCAACTCCCCTGCAGAAACTACTTTCACTTTCATTTTGCAGACAGACATGCGCATAGCTAGACGAGGCATAGATAATGATAAACCACCATGGTGTACAATATTAGGTTAAGTCAATACAGTGATTTTATGAGGCACAAATTGCATAAATATGTTGTGAAAACTAAATTATGTTACAAACTCAGAGAGCTCGTGCACAACATGATTTGCCGCGCAAAGAAATACGACGACGTCAACACATTGCAGAATGCACACTCAACACAAGATGGTGCTCCAACACTACTTTCAAACGCGTCCCAGAGTGGTCAAGATCACTTGATTTCTTTGAAACTGGAATCTGGGGACATTAGAGTTTATACCTGGCTGGCTGCTTCTGTTCGAAATTACGAACGTCACATGGATTTCGATACAGTGGCATGAATTAATACATGATAGGTCATTATTTTATGAAAGAGTTAGCCCCTGCCTGTCTTGTATATCCAGTCAACAGGTGAAATCTGCTACCTTTTAAATAGAAAATTAAATAGCTTGTTTTTCATTCTTCCTGAATTGGAATGTCACAGAGTTTCCTGACTGTTTGCAGAATGCAGAGAAACAAGATGGCAAGAAGGAATAGGGTAATCTGATCCAAGATTTATGGTGAGGCAACATCTATTTTGATGACCGAGACTGAGTAGGGTGAAGTTGCCCTAAAACGCTGATCTTGGGTCAGATTTGCATTTCCCCCACTAATGGTTAAGGTTAGGATTGGGGGAGGGGAAGCTGATCCTAGATCTGTTCTTAGGGGAAACTTTACTACGCACGGAGCTACAGAGACACCCAAAAGTAAAGTGACTCGTCAGGTGATTTATTTGAAACAGTAGTGAGGAGAGTTACAGTCTACTTATAGATGGCACTGTGGCATTGTTCATCCTTCACTGTAGCCGATGCATCTCTGGAGAGACCTGAAAATAGCTGTGCAGCGACGCTCCCCATCCAACCTGACAGAGCTTGAGAGGATCTGCAGAGTAGAATGGGAGAAACTCCCCAAATACAGGTGTGCCAAGCTTGTAGCGTCATACCCAAGAAGAGGCTGTAATCGCTGCCAATGGTGCTTCAAATTCATTTGCAAAAAAATATCTAAAAAACCAGTTTTTGCTTTGTCATTATGGGGTATTGTGTGTAGATTGATGAGAAAAAAACAACAATTTAATCAATTTTATAATAAGGCTGTAACATAACAAAATGTGGAAAAAGTCAAGGGGGCTGAATACTTTCCGAATGCACTGTATATGACTTTATTGTCAATTGTCACAAAGAGACTGATGTGTCTTTTTCCTTTATCACATCTGGTATACAGTGCCTTTAGAAAGTATTCACACCCCTTGACTTTTTCCACATTTTGTTGTGTTACAGCCTGAATTAAATTTAGATTTTGTGTCACTGGCCTACACACAATACCCCATAATGTCAAAGTGGAATTATGTTTTTTGATATTTCTACAAATTAATCAAAAATGAAAAGTTGAAATGTCTTGGGTCAATAAGTGTTCAACCCCTTAGTTTTTTAAAGTATATATATTTTTTAACCCTTTTTTCGTGATAGCCAATTGGTAATTACAGTCTTGTCCCATCGCTGCAATTTCCGTACGGACTCGGGAGAGTCATTGGTGCAGCTGGCTTCCGGGTTAAGCGAGCAGTGTGTCAAGAAGCAGTGCAGCTTGGCAGGGTCGTGTTTCAGAGGACGCATGGCTCTCAACCTTCGCCTCTCCCGAGTCCGTATGGGAGTTGCAGCGATGGGACAAGACTGTAATTACCAACTGGGGAGAAAAAGGGGTAAAAAGTATCCCAAAAAAACTATAGGCACAGTTATGCACACAAACATGTGTGCGCACACACACATACACATGCATGCACGCACACACACACACTAATTACTGTACACAGACAGCTCTTTCATTCTCTTCCTCTCACTCTCTCAGATGGTCACACAATCCACAACTTGCACGGCTGTGAGTGGAATGATGAGACTGAACTCAAAGATTATTTCCACTAATATGTATACGATGGTGAGGATTTCATTTAATTGGACATGAACAACATGAGTTGGATAGTCTCCGTACAGCAGGTAGACACCATCAAACAGAAGTGGAACAACAACACCAATGATCTCCAGTATCTAAAATGGTACTTCACTAAGGAGTGTGTTGACACTTTGAACCTCGCCAGCAGCACTTTGACGAGGATAGGTACAGACAGACACTGAGACACATGGCGTCCCATTCAATCCAAATCTATAACCAGTTGTTTCTGGCGTGAGGCACAACAGCATCATTCCTCCACTGCTGTTTTGAGTTCATAGTTGATTTATTTTCTTCCCTTTTCTTTCCTCTCACTCCTTCTCTCCAGCTCCTCCCTCAGTGTCTCTGCTCCAGAAGACCCCATCTTCTCCAGTGAACTGCCACACTACAGGTTTCTACCCCAGTGGAGTCATGGTGTTCTGGCAGAAAGACGGACAAGATCAGCATGAAGATGTGGAGTACGGAGAGACTCCCTAATGAAGATGGAACCTTCCAGAAAATGTATTCGCCTCACAATGGAATCTGAGGATTGGGAGAACAACAACTAAACCTGTGTGGTTGAACACAAAGCAAACATCACCATCAAACTGGATCAATCTGTGATAAAAAACAAACAGTGGTAAGATTAATCATATCTTATAGTATGACAGAGAAATACATTATTTAGGATAATATTCACTGTGTGTGTGTGTTCATAAACTCAGATAAGCCTCCTGAATCTGGCCCCATCATCATTGGAGTTGTGTTGGCTGTCATCCTCCCAGCCCTCATCAGCATAGATGGGTTTATTATGTGGAACCAGAAGAGAAGGACAGGTGAGCAAGGACAGAATGGATATTCTGTACTTATGTGACTAGGCACATTATTTATCATGCTGTCTCAGTGTGCCATTATGGAATTGCATACATGGAGTTGGAGTAGCCTGGAGTAGCCTACCTTGGGAAAATAGTGTTTGAACTTGGTGCAGGTTGGTGTGATGCTTAATACAGCTTTTGAACAAGTCTAACTTGTTGTCTCCCTCTGTTTTGTATAAGTCTCTGAGGATGATGGTTCCAACCCCTCCATGACACAGCAGCACCAGATACAGCATGAGGTTTCTCTCTCACTAATTAAAGCAGTAGGCCTATATTAGAATGTCTTTGTCTATCCATTGGCTGCCAGTATGTCTGTCTAGCTACCCCCGTCTGTCTGTCTGTCTGTCTGTCTGTCTGTCTGTCTGTCTGTCTGTCTGTCTGTCTGTCTGTCTGTCTGTCTGTCTGTCTCTCCGTCTGTCTGTCCGTCTACCCAATGGTATCTGTCTTTATCTGTTTGTCTGTTTCACAGAAGAGAAGCAGAGAAAGGAGCGCTTTCATTGAAGGACAGTGAGGACTGCTGAAAAGTGGAATGACGTGTACCTCAGCATCGTATACCATAAAGTTTACATGACAACAGAGTGTGTTCTACATAACGATGAATCGGATGTATAAAAGGTGACTGTTTACAGTTAATACCATAGTCCATTGTGTGTATCTGTACTTTTTTTGGTTTGATGCAATGCATTTGAAACTCCAACTAAAAGTGAATAGCTTGCCTTTGATACGGCATCATGAAACCTTGGCTCAGGCAACAACATACATGTTTGTGTCATCACCTGGCACGGGTTGGGTACATCCGGCTCAGTAACAGAGCAGATTTGAAGAGCAGGGCACTGTGACTGACTGACTGATGCTCAGAGCCTCAGACTCCAAATGCAGGACCAAACTATCAACATCATATTTGGTGAACACACATTGGCCTAAGCTACTTTCTTATTGGAGGGTCTAAAGTGCATTTACCAATTAAAATATTTTGTAACACTTCATTTTAAGGAGTCCTTATTACAGTGTAATTACACTGTAACAAGTATTGTAATTAATTGTAATAAGTCATAGTTACACTGTAATAGCAACATGTAACTGGTGGTAATTGCAGTCAGTAATTACAGGGGTGTAACAATGAATGCTTGTTACCATGCTTGTTACCATGCTTGTTACAAATGTTAAAGTTTCCGATAGCATCCCAACCGAACCATATTTCAGCCTGTGATAAGTGTTAGCCAATTGAAAACTGACTTCCTCATTGACATAACTCTGCAGTAAAGGGCTCTGGAGACTGATGCCCAGGCCCAATGGCAAAAAACGGGTTCACAAACAGTTCACATCAAAAAATACTTTAAATTGTTAAATAATTTAACGGTGCATTTGACAGTGGGTTAATTACTTTAACGATCAATAAAAAAAAGTGATACATTAATAAAATGTTATGGTTAAAATTGTGAGAGTAATTTGTGCTTGTCAAATTGTAAGCCTATTAAGCTTGGTTGAATAATTGGTTTATAAATCCACTTAAAATAATCATAAGACAAACTCTTATTCCATCATGCAACCTTGCAAGGGTTTCACTGTTGAGGAACACTCTCAATTTTGGATGAGATGCATTGTTGTAATTATATATTTATCCCAGGAATTAAGGCATCATGTCAAGATCTGCCTATCTGCGCAACACGTTCGAAATAACGACGACCTCGAACGTACCCACGTGTTGACACAGATGTCATGTAACAGTGCGCAAAGAACAGGGTCGAGAAGGTCAGTGTGCTAAATCCAGACATAAAAGACTGTCGCAAAAGAACCAAAGTGTTGTAGATCAAAAACGTCAACACAGGAGAGCGAAAGTATGTTTTCCATGCAATTTGTTTAACGGTTTAGCATAGGTACATTTCATTACCAAAAGTATGTGGACACCTGCTCGTCAAACATCTCATTCCAAAATCATGGTCATTTATATGGAGTTGGTCCCCCCTTTGCTGCTATAACAGCCTCCACTCTTCCGGGAAGGCTTTCCACTAGATGCTGGAACATTGCTGCAAGGACTTGCTTCCATTCAGCCACAAGAGCATTAGTGAGGTGGAGCACTGATGTTGGGCGATAAGGCCTGGCTCGCAGTCTGAGTTCCAATTCATCCCAAAGGTGTTCGATGAGGTTGAGGTCAGGGCTCTTTGCAGGCCAGTCAAGTTCTTCCACACCGATCGTGACAAACCATTTCTTGATGGACCTCGCTTTGTGCACGGGGCATTGTAATGCTGAAACAGGAAATGGCCTTCCCCAAACTGTTCCCACGAAGTTGGAAGCACAGAATAATAATAATAATAATATGCCATTTAGCAGACGCTTTTATCCAAAGCGACTTACAGTCATGCATGCATACATTTTTTGTGTATGGGTGGTCCCGGGGATTGAACCCACTACCTTGGCGTTACAAGCGCCGTGCTCTACCAGCTGAGCTACAGAGGAATCGTCTAGAAAGTCATTGTATGCTGTAGCGTTAAGATTTCCCTTCACTGGAACAAAGGGGCCTAGCCCGAACCATGAAAAACAGCCCCAGACCATTATTCCTCCTCCACCAAACTTTACAGTTGGCACTATGCATTCGGGCAGGTAGCGTTCTCCTGGCATCTGCCAAACCCAGATTTGCAGACAGATGGGGAAGCGCAGACAGATGGGGAAGCGTGATTCCTCACTCCAGAGAACGCGCATGGTGATCTTAGGCTTGTGTTCGGCTGCTCGGCCATGGAAACCCATTTCATAAAGCCCCCGACAAACAGTTATTGTGCTGATGTTGCTTCCAGAGGCAGTTTGGAACTTGGTGGTGAGTGTTGCAACCGAAGACAGGCGATTGTTATGCGCTACATGCTTCAGCACTCAGCAGTCCCGTTCTGTGAGCGAAGTGGTAGTATCTGAGCCGTTGTTTCTCCTAGACGTTTCCACTTCACAATAACAGCACTTACAGTTGACCGGGGAAGCGCTAGCAGAAATTGACTTGTTGGAAAGGTGGCATCCTATGACGGTTGTCACACCCTGATCTGTTTCACCTGTCTTGTGCTTGTCTCCACCCACCCCACACCAGGTGTCTCCCATTTGTCCCCATTATCTCCTGTGTATTTATACCAGTGTTTTCTGTGTGTCTGTGGCCAGTTCGTCTTGTCTCGTCAAGCCTACCAGAATTTTTCCAGTCCCTGTTTTCTAGTCCTCCCGGTTCCGACCATTTCTGCCTGCCCTGACCCTGAGCCCACCTGCCATACCATTCTGCCTGCCTTGACCTCGAGCCTGCCTGCCGTCCTGTACCTATCTGACTCTGACCTGGTTTACGAACTTCTGCCTGTCCTTGAGCTGCCTCTTGCCTGCCCCTTGTCTATTAATAAATATCAGAGACTCTAACCATCTGCCTCCTGTGTCTTCATCTGGGTCTCATCCTGTGTCGTTATAATGGTGCCACATTGAAAGTCACTGAGCTCTTAAGTAAGGCCATTCTACTGCCAATGTCTATGGAGATCGCATGGCTGTGTGCTCGATTTTATACACCTGTCAGCATCGGGTGTGGCTGAAATAGCCGAATCCACTAATTTGAAGGGGTGTCCACATAAAAAAAGGCTATTCACTATACTATAGGCTACAGATTTTAGTCACCACAAGAATAGTTATTTTTACATTATTGAGTAGGCCTATATCTTTGTTTAATCTAATTAATCAAATTATTAATCTAACAATACAATTCGTTTTATTTTGTATGAAATGTAAGCTATTTTACATGTTGCAATAAAGTTGACTAAAGTAGAAGCTCATCTTTTGTTTGTATGTATTTTCACTTGGTAATGAGTAATAAGTAATTATATAGAAAATGCTCATAGGTAACTATAAAGTTAAACTTCATTTTAAATAGCTAAATCCTGTGTAACAACTAGCAACAACCATGTACTTAATGCAGATATCCCAGATATGTACTCTGTGGTGAATTATTGTGTTTATTTTTTCACTTGGATGGCGATTAGATTTTCATAATGGGTAACTTACTTTGTAGGTGCACAATAATTACAAGTAAGTACATCTCAAGATAAACTTAATTTAAACTAGCTAAATCCTGTGTAACACCTAGTAATTGCACTGTACTTATACAGATATGACATGTACTCTGTAATGTACTAGTGTATTTATCCTCCCACTTGGACGGCGCTTCCAGAAGTCTTAAAATGAGGGCCAGGTTGTCAGGATGGGTAATATACTATATAAGTACACAGTATAAGTACCCCTCAAGATGCGTTTCATTTTAACTATCTAAATCCTGTGTAACACCTAGTAATTACATTCTACTTATGCAGATATTACATGTACTCTGTGGTGTACTAGTGTGTTTATCCTCTCAATTGGATGGCAAGAAGGTTCAGGTTGTCATAATGGGTAACGTACACATTAATTATAAGTTATTTCTTTATTATAATCTGGGATGACACCCTTATGGTAGACCCTAGTCAGTGAGGTTGACCTCTATCTGATCTGTTTTTGTAAACGCAACCAAGTTAACCCAGATGGGACACTTTTTGGGGGCAAGTGCTAGCAACAACATTGAGTGGAGATTTTGAAGAGTGCGTGCTCGCGGGTAGCTAATTGGAGCCTATTGAGCCT